TAGAGCCAAGAAACCTGGCCTACTCAGCCTCAACAGACATTACGCAGGCCTTGACGATGGCCATCATCAGTTCTTTTTTCCTTGTCTCCGCGGTTCAGGGTCCGCATGCCTGTGAGGAGCTCAACAAAGACGCAGCCGATGGCACACCTTCTACGACCGGGCCAGAGCTGTCGCCGCCGATGGGAATCTCGCTTTGGCTGTACTGGAGTCTGATCACCTTGATTAGGTAGCCCGCTCGGTCGTCGCTCCCGCGGGTGAGTCCAAGATTGCCCTTTCTTCACCATTCTCTTGCTGGATCATATGGGGGGGGGGGGGGAAGGGGGAGGACGAGGGGGGCAGCCTCTCCACCGCCAACATCGTTTTCACGAGTGGCTGCTCTCGCGATAGGTCGAGGCCCCAGGCCCCAAGGATATGATCGAGCAAGAGAATGCTGTGCTAAGGGCGAGCTGGGACCAGGGCGGAACGGCGTGGGGCGAGGCCTCTGTTGCCTGCGCAGCCTTTCCTGCGCAGATCCAAGCGCATGCAACCGTTTTCGACGTCTTTGGGTCTCGCCTTTACCGCTCGCCACTGGCACAGTGCCAAAGCTCTCTGTCGCGTGGCTCCTTTAACCATCACTGCATCGATGGCTGTAAGGGCTATCGATACGTGGTGAGCGAGGGTGGCCAGGCGAGAAACGAGACTCGTTTCGTCGCACGCGAAGGATCGGATCCGCGGCGGGCACAAAACCGAACAAAGTGCAGGCCGGCTCAAGATCGAGAAGGAGAAAGACATCATTAGCATCGCGTGGTTAAGCACCCCCCCGGCACATGTTGTGGGTGTGGGCCTAGGACCGCACGTAGAGCAATCTTTGTCAATTACGTGTCGTGGATCACTACATGTTCTCCATATGAGACACCGACGTGACAACATCTTCTCCCTCATCCCCTTCCTCCCATCCACCATCCCCCTTTTTTTCCCTCTCATTACTGCCCCCCTCCCCCATCTCCCGGCCCTTCCCAAGCCTCCCTACTCCCGTCATCCACTTCCCCTATCCCCATGTTGATTCTCCCGCTTTCCGCCACGCCCCTCTCTCTGTGCCTTTTTCCGTAGCCCAGGCCGTCTCGGCCCCTTTGGTAGCCGCACTCCAAGCATGCCAACAAACAGACAAACAAACAATCAATCAAACAATCAATCAAACAGACAAATAATCATAATTCCATCGGATCCCTCCCATTGTCACCACAAACAGATAATAGCACCCATACCTTGATGCAAGCCCACGCCAGCCATCCTTGCAGAAAATCACATCCATAGCCATAGCCATAGCCACATCCAACCACACGATCACGCCCATATCCACCACAACCACATCCACATCCACCACATCGATGATATCAAAATCCCCCTTCCCCTCCACCCCCCCCCCCCCCCCCCCAACCATTCTTGGTATGATGACTGATGCACCACCGCGTGGATAAAACGTGATTGACGAGTTGGACAGGCAGGCAACGGCCACACGCACGCAGTCGCACACGCCACCACTTGACTCTGCCCACACCAGGCCCGCCGCACACATCATGGCATATGCTATAGTGGCCATGCCCACGGTGGAACAGCTGGTGGCGCAGCTGGAGAGTGACGTCGACAATGGCCTGCATCCGTCGTCGGTGGCGGCGAGAGCAGCAACGCTAATGGACAACGGCGGCAGTGGCGGAGACCGGTTGAGGGATGCAGAGGCTCAGAACGGTGGCAACAGCAGTGGTAGGGGTAGGGGAGGGAATGATCCTGCTTTGATGTCCGCTTCTGCGATGGTCGATCTCATTCCCATTTCTATCATCCTGGCCCTCATCGCTGCCATTGTTTGGCGCTACTCGCCGCAGCCCGGTCACAGCTCGCCCGGTGCCATCGCTCTCATCGTCCTCCTCGCGCTTCAGCTCGCGTCAGCGATATTTGTCTCTGGTATACTGCTGTATTTGCGTGTGCGGGATCGGAATACAGATCGTGCGCTGGGTGAGATGTTGCCTCACCTGGTCGAGGTTGTTCGCGGCGGCGTTCTCGATCGCATCGAGCCAAGCGAACTCGTACCCGGCGACGTTGTCCTCCTCCGCGCCGGCGATGCTGTGGCAGTCACCCTGCGGGTGGTGGCTTCGGATGGGTTGCAGGCTGACGCGTCGGGTGTGACTGGCGAGCAGGCGCTGTTGACCCTAGATCTAGAGCCCCGCCCGACCAACATGCTCCGTCCGGGCACCCTCATCGTGGCAGGCACAGGCAAGGGCATTGTGCTTCGGTTTGGTGGCGCCTCTCCTGACGACGACAACATTGACCATATGGTCGATACAAGCCGCTCACAGGCTCCAGAGCCGACCGACGCCGACGTGCGCTACTCGCTCCAAGGGCGCATCACCACGACCTGGCGCGCCGTCGCTGGCCTCCTTGTCGCCATTGGTATCGTGGCTTGCATCCTGCGGTACCTTGACACACCTTCCGGCGAGCGCAAGGCCGCCGTCGTGCTTACTGGCACCATGCTGCTTGCGGCGATTGCAGGTCTCTCGTTCCGCGTCTCGTTTGCCGAGACGCTGGCGTCGCTCGCCAAGGGCATGGTCAATACCAACGTGCTCGTCAGCCAGCTGTCGGCTATCGGCCTGCTGGCGCGGATGACCCGGATAGTGGTTCCGCTGGAGCATCTGAACAACTCAGAGGTCGTGTTCTCGTCGTTTGCGGTCAATCCGCACTTTCGCACAGCGCTGCAGCGGAGCCCGGAAGCCGGCCGCGGCCGCCCACTGTCGCAGCGGGTCTCGGAGCTTGAGCTGGAGGCCGGCAAGATGCGCGAGGTCGAGCATGCTCGCCGCAGGCGGCCCAGCAGCTCAGACTCGAGCTACTCGGACTCCTCGTCATCGACTTCGGTGAGCAACGGACGGTCGGCGTCGGCGACAGCCGACAGAGCCTCCAGTGGAAGTGGTCTCCCGTGGTCGCTGGTCAGCCAAATCGACGCGTCGGTTGTCCATTACCCGCCCGAAGTTGATGCGCTGTTCCGGCTGCTGATTGCGCTGGCGCCGGCGCCAAACACCGAGCCCGGACCTGGTCTGGAGCGGTCTCTTGCCGCGGTTGCGCGTGGCGTCGACCATCACAGCTCGTTTTCAGTCCCGACAGCCCTGGCGTCGCTCAAGCCGGTTGCACTGCAGGCTAGAAGCCAGCCTGACGGCCTGGTGGTGCGCGCATTTAGGGATCTAACCTTTTCGTCATGGGAGAGCTCGGGGGGAGTCTTTGCCGCCTCGTCGTCACACGTCCACTGTGTGGCGTTTGGCGAGGTTGAAGCCGTCGTCGCGCTGGTGGCCAAGACAAACCCCATGTTCGACACGGCCGTTTACTCGCGGTCTGTGGCGGCGGCCGCTGCACACGGGCGCGAGGCCTTTGCCGTGGCCTACGCCGCCGTTGCGGTCTCCAACCCCGGTGCGCTGCCGACGTACGATGACGTCGCGGGAGCATCGGGCTCCAAGGTCAAGGTGGCCAAGGCTGGTGTGCCGCTGGAGGATTTGAGCGTAGCCGCTGCTCTTGCTGAAGGCGAATTTGCCATGGTAGGCTTGGTTGCGCTGGAAGGCTCTTCGATCCACCCACAGTCTGCAGCTAGCATCGCGGCGCTGGGTGCAGCTGGTGTCCAGGTCGCAGTGCTTGCACCGTCGACCACACCGCGAGAGCTGGAACGCGTGGCGCGCGAGCTCGGGCTCGAGCCCGACAACGTCATGCCTGCGGCGGCTGTGGCGGCTACCGAGTTCCCACCCATGTTTGCGCCGCTGGTGGCCGGCGGCGACCGGCGGACAAGCCGCCAGCTGGTGGCCGGGCTCCGGGCTGGCGGCATGTGTGTCGGCGCATTGGTCCGCTCCGCCGACGATGTGGCCGCACTCTCGCAGGCAAACGTCGTCATCGCGACTGGTATCTCGGGCTCCGAAGTGGCCAAGGCGGAAGCGCAGCTCATTGTGCTCGACGACTCGCTGTCGTCAGTGGCAGACGCTGTGACCCGGGCCAAGCTTCTGCATGTCTACGTCTCGCTTGTTGCAGCCGTGTGGATGACGTTGCTTCCGATCCTCGCCGTGCCGTTCATCGTCTACGGGGCGACCGGTTGGCAGACGCTCTTGCCGACGCCTGCGCTGCTCGCCGCGCTCCTCTCGTCGTCGATCATTGCTGCCTTTGGTGGCTGGCTCGGCATGACCTCTCTCTCGCGCGTGAGTGGGGTCTCCGATGCCGCGCTTCTTCCTCGTCTCAGCTACGCCATCATGCCAGCCAAGCATCTGGTCACGTGCCTAGCGGGGGGGCTCGTGCTGGGCGGGCTCAGCACGACCCAGTTTCTGTTTTCCGTCAGTAGAAGATCGCACCTTGATCATCTGCGGGTGAGCGCGTCGCACGATGCCATGTATGCGTCGGCAATCCAAGCAACGCAGGTGATTATGAGTGCTGCAGGGCTCGTCTCTGGCGTGGCGTATTGCATGCGCAGGTTCTTTGGCGCCGAGCTGACCTCGCGACTGCTCACGACGATGGCCATTGCGCCGGCCCTCCTCGTCATCGCCATCTTTGCCTTTGAATCCTCAATGGGTTTCGGCTACACTGCTCCGAACGAGTCGTTGCCGGTTCTTACCCTTGTCGTCCGCGCTGGTATGGCGTTTATTGCCGCTAGCGGCGTGGCTTTTACCTGCTCGCGGTCAATTCTCCTGTCGCTGCTGGAGCTTCGCGACGCGTAAAAGCCATCAGTCTCCTACAGCGTTTCCAGGTCGAGCACAGCCTGAGTAAGCTGAGCAATCTGCTTGGACTGGGACGGAGCAAGGGTCGAGTCCTTGGTCGCTTCCGGCGGAGTGAGGAAGGCTCCATTGTCCGAGAGCGTCCAGCCTGATGCAACAAGCTCTGTCATTGCTGCATCGTTGTCCAAGCCAAGCATGGCGGCAGCCCTTGCCACGGCCACCACCTCAAAGGCAGCAACCATAGCCGACTTTGCCGCCGACCGCAGGGCCTGGATGACAACTGCCGGCAAAGCTTCCACATCGCCGTCCCAAGTCAAGCCAGCCAGGGCAGCATGCGCATCAGCAAAGCTCTCCGAGTGCAAGGCAGCCGAGACGTCGGCCAGAGCCTTCAGCCTAGGATCGACAGGCACCTGATTCTCTCCTGCACCAGCGCCAGTCCTCGCATCATCATCACCATCGTTAGCCACACATCGCTTGACCACATAGCGAGCACCCGTGAGGTCACCCTTGACAACATGTGCCGCCATGAGCACGAGGGCCACATCACCCAGCGGAGAGAACGGGTTCTGTACAGAGAAAGGGAGGGGGGGTGGGGAGGGCATAGGTGAGTGATGATCGTGGTAGTGGCTGTCTCTGTCTCTGTGTCTTTGTCGCTGTGTCCCCATCTCCATGTCCGTACCGCCAGCTCGGCTGCTGTGCACTCTTCGATGACCTCCTCCACACGGCCGTCAGCAAGGGCAGCCACAAGGGCATGGATATGAAGTGTGAGAGGCATGACCACTACAAAACGTGGAAGGGTACGTGGTCGAAGGATAGGAAGAGGGTGGGGGTGGTAGAGTTAGGGGGGTGGAGGAGGGGGGGGAGGGGGGGGGGGAGTAAGGTGGTGCTTTGATCGGCCTTTGGAAGGTGTGTCAGGCGGTGGGCGGCGGTGGTCGCACTCGGCCAGATGGTGGCCGACTTGGCTCCCGCACACCCATCCATCCATCCATCGCTCCGGAGTACCCTCAGCTGGTGCCTCCTTCGCCCCGCTCGCCGAGCAGTCACTCGGCCAGATGGTGGCCGACTTGGCTCCCGCACACCCATCCATCCATCCATCGCTCCGGAGTACCCTCAGCTGGTGCCTCCTTCGCCCCGCTCGCCGAGCAGTCACTCGGCCAGATGGTGGCCGACTTGGCTCCCGCACACCCATCCATCCATCCATCGCTCCGGAGTACCCTCAGCTGGTGCCTCCTTCGCCCCGCTCGCCGAGCAGTCACTCGGCCAGATGGTGGGCGGTGACCTTTGGAGTCGGCAGGAGCGACCACAGGTAGGCACACCTCACTCTCGCCCTGACCTGTGTAGGCTTTGGAAGAGGGACAGGATGGACCAGTTCCACTTGTACAAGGAAATAGGAAGGGGGAGGTACTCTACGGTGTACAAGTCGCGAGTCAAGGGCTCCATTCAATACGTAGCGGTCAAGTCTGTGGACAAGGGACGGAGAGCAGCCATTCTCAACGAGGTCGGCACACTGGTGAGACTTCATCATCCTCACATCCTCAACTTCTACAACTGGTATGAGACCACCAATCATCTTTGGCTCATTGTTGAGGTCTGTACTGGTGGCGATTTGGCTTCCATGCTGGCTCATGATCATGCTCTTCCCATACATGTTGTCGCCGCTTACGGCGCTAACATTGCTGATGCTCTTCACTATGTTCATGCTGCTGGCTTTGCTCATGGTCATCTCAAACCATCAAACATCCTGCTCAAGGCAGATGGGACTCTCAAGCTCTGTGACTTTGGTCTTGCCACAAACGTGGCCGATCCGCCGCTACCGCGCCCCGATCCGTCTGGAGTCGATGATCAGAGCCGGGGCTCACAAGGCCACGACAAGCTTGTTCTCGCCTCCTCAGAGGGCTCGCCCAACTACATGGCGCCGGAGCTGTTTTCGGCCTTGGGTGTGCACTCGTTTGCCTCAGACTTGTGGTCGTTTGGTGTCGTGCTGTTCGAGCTCGCCACCGGTGCCCCGCCGTTTGCCGCAGACTCGCTCCACGCCACTCTCGAGGCCATCGTAGCCGGCCCGATTCCTGCTCTCCCACTTGGAACCGATGACGCTGCCGCCCAGCTCGCAGCCCTCCTCAATGGCCTCCTGGTTCGCCACCCGGGTGCTCGCGCCTCCTGGGCTGCCGTCCTTTCCTCGTCGCTGTGGGGCGACAACGCGCCCGAGCTCCTCCACCTCCCATGCCAGCCGGCCTTTGAGGCCTACCTCGCCTCGCTGCCTGCCGACGCTGCACCTGCCGTCGACATCTCTGCCCTCGAGGCCGCCATCATTGTGCCGGACGACGAGTACGCCACGCCGCGGAGCCCAGATGCTCCGCCGTCGGCCCCGCGTGTCTCCACCCCAGCTGCTGAGGCGCCGCACTCGCGCATCGCACTTCCGCGCGACGACCCCTCGCGCCGCACCCGTGATGCCGTGGTCGAGTTTCGGGCCTCGGGCCCGGCGCCCGGCGCGGCTGCCTCCATCGCCTCGGTCATCTCGCAGACCATCGACGACCACTCGCTGGCAGTTCCGGGCCCGGCATCGCCGGCTGCCTCACCGATCTCCTCGCCGCGCTCGCCATCGGGTCACTCGGGTGCGGACCACCCGGATCCAGACGCTGGTCCCTCATCAGAGCCGCCGTCAAGCCTCCCGCCGCACCTTGTCCGCCCACTTACCGCGCCGTCGTCGTCGACGCCGACCCGCGCGCCGACTCAGGCCTCACCGCGCGCTGAGCTTCCTGCCCCGCCTGACACCGCCGCCGGTGACACGCTTCCGCGCCAGCCGCTTGTCGAGCTCGCCCCGCCGCCGCCACGGACGCTGGTCAACCCCGCCCACGTCGTTGAGCACTTGTTTGCTGCCGTTGACAACTCGGTCAAGCCCATTGTGCGCAACAAGAAAATCGAGAAGCTGCCTGTCCTCGACTATGACGTCGCCTTGCTCCCGTTCGAGGAGCTCTTGCCGCGCGACGTGGTGGCCCTCAAGGAGACGCCCGGGGCGCTGGAGGACTTTCTTGGCCAGGTCTACGCCGGGCTCTCCTCGTCGGACGCGACTAGCCATCACGTTCTTGTCTACCTCCAAGCGCTCAGCCTCGACACCGACGTTGCCAACATTGTGGTCAACTCGTCGCTGCTCAGCCTTCTGGTCAAGGCCATGCGCCGCACCAAGGTCCCGCACGCCAAGTTCAACTACGCCCGCCTGATGGGTATCCTCGTCCGGCACGCCACCATCATTGCTGACGACGTGGCAAAGTCGGGCATCGATGTTGCCCTCTGTGAGACGCTTCGCAACGCTGATCCGACCCTCGCCAAAGAGGCCATGGCCTCGCTCGGTGAGCTCCTCTTTTACATCGCCTCGCGCGACGAAGGTCCTCCGCCGTGGTCGCTCCCGTCGTCGGCCCTCACCCTGGTAGTGGGCCACATCAAGGACCCAGTAGGCGCACCGATCGCTGCTGCATATGCCGTTCAGACACTGCACAACATCGGCGTCACGTCGGCGCCGTTCTTTGCCCCGCTGGCCACCCTCGATCTCGCCCTCGCCCTCGTCCGCATGCTGGCGTCGGCAAGCTCGACGCTGACGGTGGCCATCGCCAACACACTGGCGCGGCTCTGCCGCGTCTCGTTCACCCGTGCGGTCGAAGCGCAAGTGTCTGCGGTCGAAGCGAGTAGCTCGGCGGGCGCTCCCGGCACGGTCCCGGCCCACCTCGCACCACGGTTGCTGGAAAAGGCCGGCGTCAACTGGCTCATCGGCGGCCTCTCGTCCGGCGCGACCAAGGTCTGCGCTGCCATGCTCAACATTCTGGTCCTTGGCCTCCTCACCGCACCGCCTCGGGCGCAGCTGGCGGTCATCTCGACGCGCGGTCTGCTGCCGACGCTCCTCTCGGCGCTCGACCACAAGTCGACCGATGTGCGCGGCAAGGCACTGGCCGGCCTCGCCGTCGTGGCATCGGTCTCGCGCGAGGGCCTGCTCATGTGCCTTGAGTTGCGGCTGGCCGCCAAGCTTGCGGCGCTCCCGCCCGCGCCAGTCGAGCCACTGCTTTGCTTCTGGCAAGGCCAAGCGTTTGCCGTCACGGCCTCTGCCGTCGATGCCGTCATGCACGAGGTGGCCTCCCAGGGGCGAGCCATTGCCGCGCGCTCGGCGCCGTCGTCGATGCAGATCAAGGCCTTCAAGGCTGCACTCATCCCGTTCCCGGCCGTCACACTTGCCCTCGAGTCGGACGCGCTCGCCGCCCACCTCGCCCTCGTGCCACTCATTCGCGGTGCTGGTCTGCTCCTCTCGCTCGTTCCGCGGGCCTCGTTTGTCTCGGCGAGCGAGTTCCGTACGCCTCTCCTCGACAGCCTCGCTGCCCTCGCACGCCATCGCGATCTTGTAGCTGGCCACGTCCGCGACATCCGCGATGCGATCCTCCAGCCGCTCACCGGCCTGCTGGCCGGCGGGGACGCCGAGACCCGGTTCCTCTCGCTGCGCCTAGCGTCGGACCTGGTGCTGGCGCTGGCGGCGTCTCCCGAGGAGGAGCCCGAGACTGCCGCGTTGGCGGCCTTGCTGAGCAAGTGCATCCTGCCACGTGCCCCGGCGCTGCTCAGCGACGAGCTGCCGATCCCTGTCTACACTCTGCGGCTGCTCGACACGGTGGTCGAGACCTGGCCGTCGCTTGTCGGTGAGCTCGTCAACCTCGGCCTCCTCCCAAAGCTCCTCTCGTTCTTTTCTGTCGAGAACAAGCTCAACAACGTGCATAACGTCAAGCTCATCGCGGCTCTGGTCGCTTCACCGGCTGTCTCGCTGGCGTCCGTCCACGACGCTGCCCTCGTTCCGTCGCTCAACGCCATCCTCAGCTACGCTCTGGCCAACGATGTAGCAGCCTTTTTCGGCCCGCTCCTCGAGGTCATGCGCGCTCTCCTCACCCGCACCATCAACGTGCTCCTCACTCACATGACCGTGGCCTCGGCCGCCGAAGCCAACCTCTCTGAACTGCCTGGCGAGCTGCCAGACGACGTCTTTGACCTCGTGGCCAGCAACATGGAGCTTGTGACCTCGGTTGGCTCGCTTGGTCGGCTGCTCTCGTCTTCTGAACACGCACCGACTGCCGCAGCCGTGCTGCAGCTTCTGTGCAAGACGTACGGGCCGTCGCTTTACCCGCAGCTCCTCAAGCCGCCGCTTCTCGGCCAGCTCGTCGCCGCACTCACCGCCGCCTCGTCCAAGCACCTCGTCCTGAACATCCTCAAGATCCTCGGCTGGGTTCTCGAGTCGCCGCAAGCCCGGCTGGTGGCGCGGGCGGCCGACGGCACGCTCGTCGGCCTCATCGAGGAGCTCTCTTCCCACACCGACGCTGACATTGCCAAGCGTGGCCTCTCAGTGATGGGTAAGCTCCTTCGCGCCGGCTAGCTAACGTTACTACCGACCTAGGGCGGCGACGAGCATGCCCTTGGCGGCCAGCCCGGCGCCGCCGATGTAAAACGGTGCCTCTACCGCAGAGCCCGAGAGCATGGCGCCGAGAAGGGTGGACGAAAACCGCGTGATGCCCTTGATCGAGTGGGTGACGCCGATAAAGGCGCCGAGCGTGTCCTTGGTCGCCAGCGACGAGACGTAGGCTATCTCGATTGGGTCCGAGACGGCCGCCACCACCGCGGCGACGGCGTGGAGCGCGTAAAAGGCCCACAGGGTCGGCGCGAGAGGGTAAATACAGAAGAGGATGCCCTGGACCACCAATCCGCCCAGAATGACCTGCCGCACCGGATAGGTCTTAGCAACGTTGGCGGCCATCGGCGAGATGGTGACACCCAGCGAGACTAGGTACTTGACCGTGGAGGTGGCCGAGACTTCGGCCGGTCCCGAGCCAAACTTGGACGCCATCAGCGGTGCCATGTCCTTGGTCGGCGAGACGATCCCGGCCACAATGAGCGCCAGCACCAGCGGGTGTGCAAGCGACGTCCTCATCGCGTCGCCAAACGACCGCGTCGCCGGAGGCGCTTCTTGGTCGAAAGGCGCCGACACGGCGGCTTTGCCTTTGCTCGCCGGCTGGTCGCCAACCCGCAACCCGGTTGCCAGCAGAGCGGCGATAAAGAAGAGAGCGGCGGCGAGAACAAGCGGCGTTGACGGCGGCCAGTCTGCCAGAGCGTATAAGATGGCTGGCGCGGCAAAGTAGGCGACCTTCCAGCACGTCTCCAGCAGCGAGAGCATGCGGACGGCCGAGCTCGGATAGGCCTCGTAGAGGATGGCGGTGAGCAGGGCACCGTTCGACGCAAAGACACCCGTGACCATGCGAGCGGCAATGAGGCCTTCCACCGACGTCGTCTGCGCAGTGACGGCCAGACACACGCCCGACCCCACAAGCATAACCACCAGCAGTGGTTTCCGCCCGTACACATCCGACGCATGCCCCACCAGCGGCGATGACACAATCTTGGTCAGCGAGTATCCGCCAAGCACTAGCCCGTACCTCATCGCCTCTGAAGTGGACCAAGCCCAGCTCCCCTCTGCCGACGACGACGAAGATGATGATGATGATAGGGGCGATGGCGTCTTGGGAGAGGAAGCAGCCAAGCTATCGGCAGCATGCTGATCGCGAGCATCGGCAGCATGCTGATCGCGAGCATCGGCAGCATGCTGATCGCGAGCATCGGCAGCATGCTGATCGCGAGCATTGGCAGCATGCTGATCGCGAGCATCGGCAGTATGCTGATCGCGAGCATCCGGAGGATGCGGATCGGACAAAGAGGGTGATGCGGATCGGACAAAGAGGGTGCGGCAGCCGGCAGAGTGCCCGGAGCATGAGTGGTAGATAGCGTTGCGGCAGGCGATGGATGGAAGGCCGCCGTGTCTGTGATGGCGGTGGTGGTGGGAGAGAGTTCCACCGGATCGTCCTGGGCAGTCATGGCCGCACGGGTGAGGAAGGAGGACAGGGAGATGGATGGTAAAGGCCAAAGCATACACAAGTCCGATAACAAGTACAAGTCCGAGCTCCCCATGTCCATGCCAGCTCATGCTGCCCGTAGCAGGTGGCGAGAGAGAGAGATGGTCGACTACTCGCCGGAGAACGGCCGACGGCTGAACGGGCAGGGGCGAAGGCCGTGGGGTGATGGGGAGGGCCATGGTCATGATGAGGGCAATGGTCATGATGAGGGCAATGGTCATGATGAGGGCAATGGTCATGATGAGGGCAATGGTCATGATGAGGTCGATGATCATGATGAGGGCAATGGTCATGATGAGGGCAATGGTCATGATGAGGTCGATGATCATGATGAGGGCAATGGTCATGATGAGGGGGATAGCCATGAGGGCCATGGTGAGAACAACAACCATGATGAGGGCAAGGCTCATGGCAATGGCAATGACAATGTCTGGCGATAGTGATGATGCTGACAAGGCAGCAGGCACCGGTACGGGCGATGACGATGGTGCTCATGATGGCGATGGAGCTCACGACAGCGACAGACATGACCCATGATGGCGATAGACAAGACTGATGACAACTATGAACAACCGTTTGCAATGAAATGACGAGTGATGAACAACGGCTGGTCACGCCCATCACAGTCAGCGGAGAAGGTGGAGTGCGCCAGCACCACCACCGCCGCCACTGGCACCGGCCACTGGCCCGGCCCGCCGACTCACTCGTCTCGAGCCATGTACACGGTTCAATCCCTGCTCCAGACGGCGCTCGACGCGGCGTCAACCACAGGCACGCCGCTAGCAGAGGTAGCAACCTCAAACTGGGATGTAGAGAACCATTTCCGTAATGTCTACAACCCCTCTGATGTATGTCATCTCCCTCTCTTCATACCTCCCACACAGGCCCTGTCCCCTCCCCCCCCGTACCCCCCCCCCCCCCTTTGCGACTCGACCTCAAAGAGTGACAAGAGGGAGAGGGGGACATTTGTGGATTTTTGTACCACCTCCCACGGGCTTGCTACATGTCCGACACCTCCCCCAACTCACTACCTACCTTGTACATATGCATAACTATCTGGAATCGTCTTTTCTCGCTTCTCCTTTTTTGCTTCCGTCCGTTATCCTGCTGAAACGCTGCTGGTCTGTCCTTGAATATTTCAAATCGATTTCAAATCGTCCGAATCGTCGTCGTCACCAACGCGGCTCTCACCTCCATCATCTACAGATCAAGTCACTCAACCACCTCGAGCACCACAAGGTGGCCAATGGCTCAGTCGTCCGCTTCAGATGCATGGTGCAGGACAACCTTGACACTCTGCTCTGCCGCGCTGTGGTCAAGCTTGATCCGGTGCCCGGTGCCGAGGAGGAGGATCCTGCTCAGCCGCGAGGCTCGCGCTATCTGTGCGGCAAATACCGCCACACCGTCCCGCTGCCTGACGGCTACGACGTCGACGACGACTTCCGTGCCTACTCGGACCAGTACACCTACCACTGTACTACAGTGCCTGGCGAGACTCCTTGGCTCCTCGACGACGAGGCCAACGAGCTCCGTTTGCCACCCTGCCCAACTCGGCCCCGCCCTCGCCAGCCCCGTTCGGCACCCCGTCACGCAAGCGGCGCACCCGTTCGCGTGATGACGACGATGACGACGATGCTGGCAACATGATGGCCCGCGCCCCGTCGTTCTCGCCCTCGCCCTCGCCCGGCCTCGGCCCGGCACCTGGCGACATGGATCTCGGCTCACCGTCGGCCTCGCGTGAGGGCACGCCCGCCGCGTCGTCATCCATCGGCCCGGCAGCCAAGAAGAACCGCCCGCTCGCCGCTGCCGCCTCATCGGCCGCCGCCGCTTTCACCACTCCGGGTGCCACCCTCCGTAACCTCAACGATGCCATCGTCAACCTGCCCGGCACCGGCGCAGGCGCCGGCCCGGCCTTTGGCGCCATTGTCCACTTCTATGACTCGGACCCGTCGCTCAAACTCAACTCGATCATTGATGTCGTCGGCATCCTCGAGCTGACGCCAGCAGAGACCGCGTTCCGCAACCCTCATGATGCTGAAGGCATCGACTTTTACGAGGAGCACATGGCCCACCACCCGCCGTCGTCGCTTGTCCCGCGCATCCACGTCCTCTTCCACGACACCCGTGCCCATCCGCTCGCTTCCATCCCGCAGCCGGTCGTCGACCCGGACGCCTCTCGCGCCGCCCTCGCCCTTCCTTTGTCGGTCGAGGCCGCGCTCGGCAGCTCCGCCGCCGCCGCCGCCGCCGCCGCCGCCACCCGCGCCCACCTCGCCGCCGCTGCCGGAGGCGACGCCCTCGCCGCCGAGTACCTCATGCTTGCCCTCGTCTCGCGCGTTACCTCGCCGCCCGAGGCATCCAGTCCGCTCGGCTCGTTCCACCTCAACCTCTCCGGCGTTGTCGGTGGATCTGCAGCCTCGCTCTACCAAGCCATCTGCGACGTCGCCCCGCTGGTGGTCGGCGTCCCGCTTGCCATCGACCTCCTCAACGACCGCTCGTTTGTTCCGCACAAGGACTACACCACCAACCGCCTCGTCGCCGGTGTTCTCCAACTCGCGCCGTCGACCATGCTCCTCGTCGACGAAACCGCCATGGCTTCGGGCCAGGTCTCGCAGGTCGGCGTTGCCAACCTCTTTGCCTTTGCCACCATCATGGACCGCGCCGCCCTCGAGTACGACTTTGGCTCCTCGCAGGGCCTCGCCTACGACAACATCACCGTCGCCATGGACACGCCCGTTGTCGTCTTCTCCGAGGGCACCTCTATGTTTGCCTCGTCCAAGAAGCAGGCCTTTGGCAACCTCTCCCGTCTCCTCGAGCTCCCGCTCGAGCCGGCCGCTCCGTCATCGACGTCGTCGGCGCCGGCACCCACCGTTGACCACGCCACCGCCATGCTTATCCGCCGCTTCCTCGCTGCTGTCCGCTGGGCGCCCTACACCTTTGACGACTCGCTCTCTGACGCCATCTCGGACGAGTTCACTACCCTCCGCACCGATCCTACCCTCAACATGGACCCGCAGCGCCTCTCGCTCTGGCTCACTCTCGCTCGCTGGCACGCCCTCCTCCACGGCAAGTCCTCCCTCGACATGGACTCGTGGGCCGCCGTCAAAGACATGGAGCGCGCCCGTCTCGCCCGCGTTGCTGCCAGAGCCGCCGCCGCCGCCGCCTCCAGCTAGCCCCAGCCAGTCAGCCATTGAATCACGGCCCATCCGTCACTGTCTCGCGCGTTTTACTTGCGCCGCCGGTACCGCTGCTTGCCGCGCTCCTTGAGATTCGCCTTGTGGTTCGTCTCCTCCTCCATCCGCTTGAGGACCTTGGTCTCGTCGATCGAGAGGTACTTGGACTTGGGCAGGATTGAGTCGGCGAGCACGTCAAAGTAGAGCTGCTTGCGCTTGATCTCGAGCTTCCGCTTCAGCTGTGCCTGCTTAAACGAGACCTCGTCGTCGTCATCGTCAAGGTCACCGTCGTCCAGCAGGATGTCCATGGCCTCGGCCTGCTGACGGAGCCAGTCGTTGTTCGACTGCGTCTTGCGGATCCGGTGCTCGAGGTTCTCAACCTCGCGCGCGAGCCGAATGGCCTTGCCCAGCTTGCCCACCTGCATCAGGTCGACCTCGTAGTCGGGCAGCCCGTCGGGCTTGTTGAGCACGTGGCAGATGCGTTGGTACGTCTTAACCTCCTTCGGCTCGACGAGCATGACCGAGACGCCCGACGCCGACGCACGTGCCGTCCGCCCCGACCGATGCACGTACAGGTCCGCCGACCGAGGCAACTGATAGTGGATGACGTGGTCGACCTGCGGAATGTCAAGCCCGCGCGCCGCAACGTCGGTCGCCACAAGAACAAAGTTGGACTGCGTCCGCAACCGGTCGAGATTCTTCAGCCGCTGCCGCTGTGCCATCTTGGCATGAATCGCTGCTGTCGGCACCTGCAGCACTGCGAGCAGCGGCGTCAGCCGCCGCAGGCAGGCCACCGAGTTGACAAATACCAGCGTCTTGCCGGCGTTCTTCAGCAGCAAGTAGTAGAGATGCACGTCCTTGTCCTCCAGCGGCAGCGCAATCTTCGTCTCCTTCAGCGACGCTGCAACCACCGACGACCGCGACAGATCCACAACCTTGGGCCGCCCATGGAACTTGAGCCGTTGAAAGACTGCAAGCAGCGGCGCGTTCGCCTCTTCTGCACGGAACTCCTTCCGAAGCTCGTCGTCCAGCGCAGACTTTCGCGCAGACTTCTTCAGCTGCCGCGCCGTCTTGGGCTTCTGGACGTTGTTCTTCACCGCCCGCCGCGTCTCGTCGTCGAGCGCCATCGTCGCCGAAACACCAGCGTCTGTCGCCTGGCAATCCGCGCCGACGCCAATGCCTTCATCCGCGCCTGCCCTGGCAGCTTCCGCCCGGCCACCTCTTCGTCAAACTCGGCCTCGATCGTCACCGGCGCAGAGTCCCGTGACTCGGGTAGAAGCATGAGAATCGACTCAAGCTCTTCGTACCGACCCGGCTGCACCATCCGGTCCGCCTCGTCGAGCACAAAGAACCGCAGCCCAGTAAGATCCGTCAGGTGCTCGTGCCCGTCCTGCATCATCCGCCACACACGCCCTGGCGTGCCCACCACAATCTGCGGCTTGGTGTTGAGCAGCCGGACCTGCTTGTGCTCAGAGAGCCCGCCCACAATCACAATCGTACGCACACCCGTGTGCACCGCAGCTGCGTTGATGTGGTCACGGACCTGCACCGCAAGCTCGCGCGTCGGCACCAGCACAAGCCCCTTCAGCCGCTTGTCGTCCGGCCACCGTGCCTCGGACACTAGCACGCCCTGGATCATCGGCAGCCCAAACGCGAGCGTTTTGCCGGACCCAGTCTCGGCCGCGCCCACAATGTCGCGGTAGTACTTGACTGTGTCGCCCACCACTGCCTCCTGGATCGGCGTCGGCTGCGTAAAGCCGAGGTCGAGCAGGCCACGAACCACGCTCTCACTCAGACCCATCTTGGTCCACGTCTCGCCGTGTTCCTCCACCGTCAGCTGAGCTTGCGCATTCTCTTCCTCCATATCCCCCACGCCAGAGCCAGGGCCAGAGCCAGAACCAGATTCTTCTTCCTCGGCCTCCACCTTCACCTCGGCCGCTGCTTTGGCCGCTGCCTTGGCCGCTGCCTTGGCCGCTGCCTTGGCCGCTGCTCTACGCGCAGTTTTGGTCTTGTTCTTCGCCTCGTTGGCCTCCCGCACCATCTTGGCCTCGCGCGCAGCCTTGGCCTTGGCTTTGCGCCGCTCGCGTCGAGCAAGCTGCTTCCGCCGGCGCTTTTCGGCGAGGTACTCCTCCTTGGAGAGATCCTTGCTGATCGGCGGCAGCTTGGAGCCTGCACTTCCACTCTTGGCGGCAGTGCCAGAGGCAGCCGACTTGTCTTCAACCTTGCTGGCAATGACCTCCTCCGCTATGGCTTCAGCCAGCTGGGCAACAGAGTTGCCCTCGACATCGGCCTCCATCAGCTTGCGGGTCATGGCCTCGACATCATCCTCGCCGACAACCCCCAGCTCAACGCCTGTCGGCAGCTGCTCCAGAACATCACCATCCAGCACCTCGAGCGAGACAAATCCCGAGTCTGTCCATCCATGTGTGGTCATGGGATCCATGTCGACCGTCCGCCAGGTGGCCCCGGCGTTGTGCAGGACGGCACCACCCGTGTTGAGGCGAGAGAGAGGATCAGAGTCCGAGCTGGAGTCGTTGTCTTGGAAATTGGTGGCCATAGGCACCATCTGGTCATCCCCCGTCCACTCTCGGACTTGGACCTCGCCCTTGTTGCCCTTGCCCCGCTTCCGTCGTCCCACCTTGACCTCCTCTCCCATCCCCTCTCCCGAATCGTCACCATCTTGCCCAGATGGATCCGAGCCATCCTTGCTCCGCTTACGCTTGGTCTTGCGGGCCTTGTTTCCGGTCTTCTTCACGTCCTTGGTCTTTGCAGAAGACATAGAAGTAGTATGTGACTTGCTCTTGCCCTTGCTCTTCTTAATACTCATGCCCTTGCCTTCATTCACCTTGGAGAGCAGCTCAGGGGGAGGTGCCACACCCGCGGCAACCATCGACGCAAGCATCTCAGCATCCGTCAGTTCACCAGACATGATTGATTGATGGTTGGCCCAAGTCAGATGTTTTCTGTCACTGACAGCCCCCACCCCCTCCCCCCCTCCCCCCCTCCCCGGCCCCCGGCCACCCCGCCCCCGGCCCCCGGCTCACGCCTGCCCGACCTCGGTCTGTTGCGTACACGCTCCCATAGACAAGCACTCCCAGCCAGTACGAGCTTCGCCACAGACTGGAAACCACATACCTTCTGTCTCATCCCCCTCAAGCATGCCTTTCAGATCGATGTAGTGACCAAGGATGTCGTCACAGAGAGGGGGAGGCGGAGGGAGTGAGGGAGTGGGGACGACGCCGAGCGGTGCGTATAAGCGCAGACAACGGCACAGACGGCGCGCTTCGTCTTGAGACTGAAGAAGATGTAAGGCTGTTACCAAACAGCAGGTTTGTGGTGTCGGTCATTGATGTAGAGTCGCAGATCGTACCCAAGTAGTGCATGGTGCCGTACGCCAAGCTTACCTTTGTCTCCAGCCATCATGCTGCAGTTCACGACCTTTTACGGAGATCGGTGAAAAGCGAACGTCGATCCGGATCCACTCTCCTCGTCTCCCCTCCCCCCCCTCGTCCCAGCTACCGATGTCAATCACGCCCACGCGTCACCACCTCACCGTACACGACGACCATGGCACAAGATTCAGGTAGCAGCGAGCTACTGGAGGCATACCGTGCGTTTACGGACCCCTCGACTCCCGGAAACGAGAGGTCGAGCCACTTGAACACGGTACTTCTGGCGGTCCATGGCGGTGATCGCGGGCTAGGCGAGGTGGTGAGCGACCTCGCCGCCGAGGCCTTCCTCAACTCGCCCGAGCCCACTGTTCGAAGGCGCTCAGTCCTGCTTGTGGCCGAGATCATGTGCCGTCTCCCACAACTTCCGCTCTCGTCGGACGTCCTGGCCTTTGTTGCCCTCTTTCTTGCCGACCGCGTCAAGGATGACCATACCCTCCCCGAGGTTCTCCGCGGCCTCCGCGGCCTCGTGGTCAACCACGGGAAGGATCTGGCCGAAGAATCGATGGCGCAGATTCTCTCGGTCTTTGTCACCAGCATCAAGGGCATCCAGAACATGGCCCAGCCCGTTCGCCGCGAGTACTACACCCTTGTCGAGGCCATGCTCGCCAGCCCCGCCTTTGTGGCAGTCGTCAACGCCAGGGCCGGCGCGGACTTTGTCTTTGCCTTTATCCAGGCCATGGACGGTGAGAAGGACCCGCGCAACCTCGGCCCAGTCTTCCGCATTGTCATCGCCATCTTTGCCTCCATCCCGGCATTTGAGCGTTTCACGGAGGATCTGTTTGACATCACCTCGTGCTACTTCCCCATCACCCTCCGCACCCCACCGTCATCGACCCCGGCCTCGCTCGGCTTCTCCGTCGACGAGCTCATTGCTGACCTGCGGAGAGTCTTCACCGCTGCCGATGACCTCGCCCTCTACACCCTCCCGTTCCTGCTCGACAAGCTTGGCGCCTCGCTCGCCTCGACCAAGGCCGAGTCGCTCTCGGCTCTGGTCGTCGCCTTTGAGTCCTTCTCGCCGCAAGCGCTCGCCCCTGGGCCGGCGACATCTGGTCTGTCCTCCGCGAGGAGATCATGGCCGCAGACGACATCGACTTTGTCCGTGCTGCCGTCCCGCTCGTCCGTATGTTCCTGGCCCGTCTTGCCGGTGACTCGGTCTCGCTCGCAGGCCTCCTCACCAAGGTCGTGACAGACCTTAAGGCTCCTGTTCTGGGTGAGCCTGACGCCCAGGTTGCCAAGGTCTGCGTCTCGCTCCTCTGCGCCGTCCTCGAGTCGAGCCCAATTGCAGCCCGCCGCGTCTTTGCCGACGTCGTGCCCAAGGTCCTCGCGCTTTACGCCTCGCCCAACGTCCGCGCCTCGACCCAAGCCACTCTCCTCGGCTACATGCTCGGCTTCATTATCGCCACCATTTCGGCCACGGAGCTGCAGTCGGCCGACGTCCTCACCGAGCTCTTTGCTCCTGTCCTGCCGACTTTTTTGGAGACGTTTGTGCCACTTGTCCGCTCCCGCTCCGACCCCATCATCCGCAAGACGTCGGTCATGGGCCTGCGTGCCTTTCTGGCCTCGTCATTGGCCATGAAGGTCATGCACAGCCTCGACGACTCGGCCGTCGTCTCCGTTCTGGAGCTCTGCCTCGACTCGGTCCTCACCGACGACGACGACCGTGTTGTCGATGAGGCGACCGAGACTCTTGTCGCCGTCGCCAACCTCACCGACTTTAGCTACGCCATCGACTGCTTGCTGGCCGTGGTCGTCACGCCGCTCACGAACCTCTTTGCTAGTGAGCTGGCGCGGACCGAGTCCGACATGGACACCGCCCGGCCGCCGTTTGCCCGCGTTCTTAAGCTCCTCACCTCGCTTGCCGGCGCTTCGCCGCAGCTCTTCCTCGCATCCTCGGGCACCTTTTCCTCTGCCGTCCGCGCGACTTTGCTGGCTCCGGAGAGCGCGACCCTTGTGCTCGATGCTCAGCTAGCTCTCCTGCGGGCGGGCAAGGTCCTGCGGCGCGGCGCCCCCGACAACGAGGCGCTGGCCGAGCGCGTCACCATTCTCGCTGCCGACCATCTCACCGCCGCAGTGGCCGGCGAGTGCCTCCCGTTTGCTCCCAGCGTCTCGGTTCCGCTGCTGGCCGAGGCAAGTGCCGCACTCCCGCCCGCTGACGTTTTTGACGCTCTCTCCACGGCTGGAGTGGCGCCAGACACGCTACCGCTCGGCGTGCTCAGCGGCATCCTCGGTGGCGTGCCGGCGTCGGCTGGAGCTGTGCCTGCCGGCCCACCCGCCGACGTTGTGGCTGCCGGCATGCGCCGGGCACTAGCTGCGCCCGCTGACGATGCCGCGGGCCCGCTGCTTGGCCTTGCCGTCAACCGCTTTGGCCTCGAGAGCCCAGGTATGGAGGGCGTGGCGCAGGCCGTCTCCTCGTTCAAGCTTGCCGTGGCAGACGCTGCATCGGCCCCGCTGGAGCTTGCGGCGCATCCCGCACCGGCGTTGCTGGGCTGGATGGCGCGGGGCCTGGTCATGGGCCCGGAGTTTAACGCCGGCCACGAGCTCGTGCTGGCCCTCCTCTCGCGGACTGCGCTGGAGAGCGAGGGCTCCGAGGCGTTTGCTGACGCGGTTGGGGTGGTCATGGGCGTTGGCGGGCCGCGGCCGTACGAGCTCCTGTTTACGCTCGACACAGGTGCCGCACTCCGGCTCATGTACAAGCAGAGGCTCTTTGCCAGCCTTCTGCCACACCTGCTCGACGAGTTTGAGGCAAGCAACGAGATCAACGTGCTCATCGGCGTCTCGCATCTGGTGCGCGGCGTGCCCAAGGCTGTGCTCGAGCCGCAGCTCGAGCGTGTCCTTCGCTTCTCATCTCGGCGCTGACTTCTGAATCAGTGGCGCTGCAGGTGGCGACGGTGACCTCGTTTGCTGCGCTGGCGGTCGACGTTCCGGCGCGAATGGCCGAGTTTGTCGACGTCCTCGTCCCCACCCTTATCAAGCTCGCCGGGTTTGAGGGCTCGGTGGCAGTCCGCCTCGCCGCCGTCCGCTGCCTGGAGGCGGTCACCACGCTCGGAGGCTCGCAAGTCGGTAGGTTGCAGAAAACCGTTCTTCGCCAGCTCCAGCCGGTGCTTGACGACTGCAAGCGGGCCGTCCGCCTCGCCGCCGTCCGGGCGCGCAACAAGTGGGCAGTTCTGATGTAAACCGCTCACCAGCTCCAGCGCTGCCCGCTAGGGCGCTACCCGCGGCGCTTGTACAGGCACGGCTCGAGCGTGATGGCAGCCTTGCTCAGCTGTGCGTGAGAAGGCATGGAGAGCTTGCGGAAGTCGAGCATGACAAACATGGTGTTTTTCTCGTCACGGGCCTCCAGCTTGTAGCCGAGCGAGCAGATGGAGTTGACAAAGGTGTCGATCGAAGGAATGCGCGACTTGACCTCGGCAATCTTGAGAATGCCCTTGACAACTAGGACACGCGAGGCCTCGGCCACAAAGTCGATGACGTTGGTGCCCATAAGCGAGAGGCAGAAGACTGCAACGTGGATCGACTCGTCCGGCAGCGGCGTGTTGGCCATGTCGCAGGCAATGACCGACTCGTTGGCAGCAACAAGATCAAACGAGTAGACCTCGGGCTGGCGGACCGAAGCCGCAAGCTTGGCCTCGCCACAGCCAAAGTCGGCGATGACAAGCTCTTCCGGTAGCTTGTTGAGCCACTTGATAATGACGTCGACCGGGTTGGCCGGCCACTTGACCACCTGCGCGGCAAAGCCTGCGTGGTACACATCGAACAGCGAGGTATCCTCCGAAAAGATCTTGAACGACTCATCTCCCGGCCGGGTGTACAGTTGCTCGTTGAGCCACCGGAACCGCGCTCCCTTCATCAGCTTGGTATCCGCGTGCTGCGCCTCCATCTGAGCCGGCGGAAGCATTGAGGAAAACAGCGGCATATCCTCCCCGCCTGAGCTCCCCGCCGATGCCATCGCCAGCTCCGTGCCCTTACCCTTACCCTTGCCCTTGCCCTTGCCTTTGCCTTTGCCCTTGGTCTTGGCCTTGGCCTTGGCCTTGCCTGATGGCGCCGGGGCGGCGCTTGCAGCTTTCGCCTCATTCCGCGGCTTGCGCATCTTGACCGGCGGCCCCTGGCCCATTCCGGCCTCATCCACACGCCTCCGCTTCACCATCGACGATCCATTTCCCTTGCCAGACTTTCCCGACTTCCCGCCTCCAGATTTTCTCCCAGACTGGCCTCCAGCCGCACCACCACCCGTCGCCCCGTGAGGAGACGGCTCCTGGCCGTGGCCCATCTTGGCCATCCGTCCCGACGGCCGACCAACAGCAGCAGCCGCTGTGGAATCCTTTGCAGCACCGTTTTCGGATCTGGCCTTTCCACCATTACCATGGCTATTCTTTGTACCACTGGTGGTCTTCTTCTTGGCAGCAAGTTTGCGCTTGAGCGCCGCTTGGAGCGCCTTCTTGTCCATGGCGCCGTCAGCTCAAAGTCGAGTCTCCCTCGATGGGCGGCGGATCACTTAGTCGGTGGCGTGTGTGGTGGAGTCTACTTCGCCCATGGCTTGCGCGGACAAGGGTGCGTGATTAGATATCGATGACGGAATATGCGCTGTGACAGGTTGATAATTGATACATCCCTTGCATCTGACTCAAACACCCGATCTCTCAGCCCAATCGGTGGCCAGCTTGGGGAAGGGATCGATCTGGCGATGAGGGACATCATCAAGCATGGATGGTGCGGACAAGGGCAGGCAATAAGATGCAATGATGGCTATCGAGTATTGATCATACACTGTGATGCGCTGATTCTTGATTCATACACCCCTTTACCGCACCCCTCCTGGGTTTATCTGACCGTGTAGGTCGTCATCATCGGATCATCCAGCATGCCGTGCCATGGCTCGCGTACACACGATATCATGGTGAGAATTGGGCGCCCAGAGAGCGCCCTGTCGTCGTCGTTGCGCATCGTCATCAAAAGGGTGGGCGGGTGGGTTCCCGCTCCGTTGGAGCCGACTGTGTCCACGCCATCGGAGCGAAGTACGGTGTCAGCCGCCTCGCTTCGATAAGCCGGCCGCGAGTGTTAGCGACTTGTAGCAGTCGCGGCAACTCTCAGTTGCCGGCCGAGCGGTCGCTCCGCTGGCTCGACGGCCTGCTGACTTCGTGTGCCAGCAAGTATGAGGCACCCACCCAGAGAGCGCCCTGTCGTCGTCGTTGCGCATCGTCATCAAAAAGGGTGGGCGGGTGGGTTCCCGCTCCTCCGGAGCCGACTGTGTCGACGCCATCGGAGCTCATAGCGATGAGAATGAGGGTGCTAGCTGCTTCGCTTCGCTCAGCCGGCTGCGACTGCGACTGAGCTGTGTGGCAATCACAGGCATTTCACGTTTGTCTTGAGTCAAGGAGGAACGGACAAGAGAGTAAGACGTCGGCATTGACCTCTCTCTTCTTGCTTTGGTACAAGCGAGCAAGTTCTTCGAGTATTACCACATAATGTTGCTCCCTTCTATGAACCATCTCCTTTGCATCTATGTGGTCCTTTTCCTCGCCTTTGGTGACACTGCGTCGGCTGCCCTTCCCCACCAGTTTGTCCGCGTGGTGGCCAATTTCCGCTGGCCAGCCACATGCGCCCAGATTGACTATCCACTTGACAGCACCAATTGGGCAAATGCACCAGCTGCTGCTCAAGGTTTGACCTCGAGCTTTGCTCAGGCATCTGGAACTCGCACTAATATTCTCGGCTGTTCTAACTTTGGCTTCTCTCTTCGGGGTACAATGGTCGGCATTGAGGCATCCTTTGAGTATGTGGGTCGGCGAGGCGCCCAACTGGACGCAGGCTACACCGCATCTCCGTATGAGGCGTATGCGCTCCAGTTCAATCGGGGCATCACCATCATCGGCGATCCACTGCCGTCTACAACACAGCTCTCTAACGGATGGCCAAACAACTGGCAGTCCTTTACATACGGATCGCCGTCCGATACCGTCGGCGTCTCACTCTCCAACAACGACATGCAGGCCAACAACTTTGGCTTCTACATCATCGTCTCGGACTCGAATGGGGGTCAGGCTATGAACATTCGTATCCGTAGAATGTCCATCACCATCCACATGCAAGAAACTATCGATTTCAACGCCATCGGCCCAGCATCTGGCTCTGCTGGATCCACCATCACTATCACGGGTGCCGGGTACGACCAGCTTGACATGAGCCAGGTCTATTGTGTCCTCATCGAGGACAGCATCAACGTTCCTGCAACCCGAAACTCGGACACCTCCATCTCCTGTACCATGCCGCCGCGCTCGCCGTTCATCAGCCCCACGGTATCGCTCGGCATTCTCCCGCAATCAGGTGAGGCGATTATTGCCACAGGTGCCACCTTCACCTACCCGGCCATCACCCCCAGCACCATCACTGCCATAGGCCCGAGCCAGCGGTTCTCGCGCTCAACCAACGCCGACTCGCAGACCATCACGCTCACCGGAAGCTTCACCTCAGGCTCACAGGTCTTTGTCGCCCTCACCCCGTCCACCTCCTCGTGTGATGCGCGATTTGTCTCGTACAACATCGCCGGCGCCAAGGAGTTTGTAATGCGACTCGACGACCCGGCCATTCCCATGTACGGGGACTTTGCGCTTTGCCTCTCGGTGAGCGGTGATGTCGACGGCATGTACATGAAGCAGTTCCTACCGGCGACGCGGATCCACATGGCGACGGCCGAGGCCAACTCGGTTGTCTTGATGTGGCCGAGAGTGATTGGGCAGACCGACTCGCCGATGCTGCAGCTGCAGTTTGTGGGCAACCGCGACTACGGCCTGCCGTCCACCGAGCTGGGGCTTGGTACAACCGGCTGTCCATTGGGATCCATCACCAACAAGGTGGGGTATCCGAGCAAGAGCGGATCTGTGCAGCTGCCTGTGGGCCCGGGCGGTGACCGGCTCGACCTGCGACTGTGCCTCAAGACGTACGGCGACCAGTGGGTTGAGCAGACAAACGTGGGGGTGGTGTCTGTGGTGGCTGGCGGGATCAGCGGCGTGAGCCCGAGCGTGTGGGGCGGAGGCTCGAACCCGGCGATCACATTTGCGGACGCCAAGGCGACGGACATCGGGACGGTGCACGGGTTTGTGGCTAGTGCAGCGGCATGCACGCCGGGCAACATTCTAGCGAGTGCGCCGCTCGGTGGCCCACTGACGAGCGCTCTGGAGCCGGTGACGAGCGGTGACGTGATGTACAAGGTGTGCCAGTCGCAGAACAACGGTGGATCATGGCTCGACACCTCGCAGATGGTGACCGTCACGTCACGCGTGGCCGGCACGCTCACGAGCGTCTCGCCCAACTACTTGGTGTCGGACGCAACGACGAGCGTGACGTTTGTGGGCGTGACGTCAACGCGGACGACGTACGTGCGAATCTCGACGCAGGCGGCAAGCTGCAGCGACGCCAACAAGGTGGTTGATGTTGCGGTGACGTCGTCGAACACGGCGAGCCTGCGACTGCGCAACACGCTGGTATCTGCGCGGGAGCTGTATGTGTGCCTGTCGACGTCGGGGCCGAGTGGGCCGTTTGTGCACCAGGGCACGTCGGCGTCGGTGGTGATCAACGTCATGTCCGTGACCAACTCGGTGCTGGTGAGTGGGGTAGGGCCGGCGGCGATCGGCAACGGAGTGCCGACGGCAGTGTCATACACGGGGCCGGGCTCTGCGGGGCAGTTCAGCGGAGCGCGGCTTGCGCTCGCTGTGCCTGGCGGATGCAACTCTGGAGCGCTGCGGTACTTTGAAGAGGTGTACTCGGCCGGATCGGCTATGGTGACGGCGACGGTACCATCGTGGGCCGGGACGAGCTTTGTGGATCTGGCCCTGTGTTTCCAGTGGCAGGCCGGAACGCCGTTCATCGAGCAGAGTGCGCGGGTGAGGGTGGCGATGGCGTCTGCACTTGCGGTGACCGAGGTGGTGCCGTCTGCGGTGCTCGAGGGCAACGCAGTGTCGCTTCAGCTCGTGGGTGCCATCGGGACACCGTCGACGCAGATTGCGCTTGCTCCGGTCGGTGACTGTGGCGCTGGCAACGTCCTCGTGACGTCGTTTGGTGAGGGTGATACTGGGAGCTCCAAGGTGCTTTCGGGTGGATCGATGCCCGCACTGGGAACCAACACCGCTGTTGTGTGCTACTCTGTGGACGGCGGTGGGTTGTGGACCGAGCAGACGCTCGGGCGACTGTCTGTGACGACGGACGCCAACGCCGGAACGGTTGCAAGCGTGTCGCCTGTTGCGATCGGGGCCGGGCAGACGGAGACGCTCACGGTGGTTGGAGCACCGGGCGGCACAGGCCGGCTTGCGCTTGCGAGTCCGGGCAGCTGCCAGAGCGGGCCGCGGTATGGCGGAGTGATGGCGTACTCCGGGTCCACGCCGCCGCCGCCGCCATCTCCGACACCGGTGTCGCTTGGGGCAGGAGTACCTGTTGGTGGGCGGTTTGTGGTGTGCTACTCAAACACGGCTGGGTATGCCGATGCCACCTGGTCAGAGCAGGTTGCTCCGCTGGCGTCGATTGTGGTGGTCCAGGCAACGTCGACGAGCATTGCGAGCGTGGGCGTGTCGACGTTTGGAGTGGGTGCGACGCCGAGCCTCGAGCTGACGATGGGCGGGAGCGCGCCCGGGATCGAGTGCGGGTCTTGCTACCTCGGGTTTGTGGCGAGTGGCAGCGGGTGCAGCAGTGGGCCGATTGTGGGGCTCACGGCACTGGCGATCGGGACGGGAGCGAATCCGGTGCTCGGGACGGCGATTTTGAGCAGCGGAACATACGACGTGTGCTTCTCGTCGGGTGGCAGCGGAGCATCGACGATGGTGAAGCAGACGACGGCCGGCAGCGTGGTGGTGATCGAGGCGACGACGACGACGGTGACGAGTGTGTCGCCGCGCGTGATCGGTGTGGGGTCGGGCCATCGTTTGTGCTGGCTGGGGCGGTGGGCTCGTCGTCGACGTACGTCGGGTTCTCGCTCGATGGCAGCTGCTCTGGGCCGGTGTCTGTGACGCAGGTTGTGGCCGGTGGCGAAGGCGGGTGGGTCGCGAGCGCGCCCGGGACAAGCGGCAACTACAGCGTGTGCTACTCGGTGTCGGGATCGGGCGGGCCGTTCCTCAAGCAGGAGCTTGTGTACGTGGAGGTGATTGCGGCGAGCTCGTCGTCGGTGACCTCGATGTGGCCACGCGTGATCGGATCCGGAGCGGCAAACACGTTTTACGTGAGCGGGGCGGTGGCGTCGCCAATGACGGCTGTGGCGTTTGTGCCGAGCGGAGCAGACTGCAACAACGACGGGCTCCGGAGTGGAGTGATGCGACTGACGTCGACGACGATGGGGGTCTCGCCGACGTTCCCGATCGAGGACGGCGGGAGCGTGAACCAGGTGTGGGACACATGCTACACGGTGACGTACGGTGATGCGGGCGAGAACTGGGTGAAGCAGAGCCCGAGCGGAGTCGTGGACGTGACGGTTGTTGTTGCGGTGGCAGACGCGGTGGCAAGTGTGGCGCCGTCTGTGGTCGCTGTTGGACGGGCCGAGCCTGTGGTGTTCAGTGGACTGGAAGGAAGCGTGAACGTGCGGGTCGGGTTCGGGATCGGCGGGTGCGCAGGCACGGTTGTGGGCGTGACCAACGTGGTGACGACGGGCGCAGCGACGATGCTTGGAAGCGCGCTCCCGACTGCCGGCCTGTATCGTGTGTGCGTGTCTGTGGACAACGGCGGGCGGTACGTGGCGCAGACGTCGACGGTGACAATGGAAGCGGTGCGTGCGAGCAGCGGGCTGATCTCTGCGATCTCGCCGAATGTGGTGGGGACAGGCTCGATGCCTGCGTTTGTCGTGAGCGGGACGTTCAAGCAGACGAGCTTCAGTCGGATCGGGTTCTCACTGTCGAGTGACTGCAGCGGCACAGTGGCCGGCCAGCTCGACGTGTCGTTGGGAACGAGCACGCCGTACACATGGGCGAGCGGGCTCGTCGTGAGCGAAGCGCAGACGTTCACGGTGTGTTTTACGGCCGACGGAACGAACTGGGTGGCGCAGAGCGAGCCGGTGCTCAACGTGGCGGTGGCACGGGCCAACTCGATCACGTCGTTCTTGCCAGCGGTGCTCGGGGCCGGGGCAGGCGGTGCAAACGTGGTGGCTGACGTGGTCGGGCCGCTTGGGTCTGCGACTGCGTTCATCGGGTTTGACAGCGTGGGCTCCGGATGCACGGCGCCGGTTGCGGTGAGCGCGTACAACGTGAGCGGTGAGCTCGATCTCGGGTCGTCGGGCGGGCTGAGTGCCGGGACGTACGCGCTGTGCTACACGGTAGAGTCGCCGTCGACCGGGTTTGTGGAACAGACGAGCGCCGGCAGCGTGCGCGTGGTCGAGGCGCAGGCGGCCGATGTGGCCGAGGTCCTGCCGTCGTACATGGTGACGAGCGTGGCCGAGGCGGCGATTGGTGTGCGGCTCGGTGTGGCCAAGGATGATGTGCCTGTGGCGACGGCGATGATCGGGTTTGATCCGACGGCGAACGGGTGCAGCGTGGCGGGTGTGCTCGAGGGCGTGACGGCGCTGCAGAGTCTGACAGAGGCGCCAGCGAGCATCGCGGCGTACCAGGGCGGGTGGCTGTTTGGCACGCGGGCGGGGAGCACCGTGACGACGACGGGCAACGGGACGGTGTGCTACTCGGTGGACTCTGGAGAGACCTACGTGGCGACAGAGCTTAGAGTGGCGCTTGGCGATGTGGCGCCTGCCTACGGGCTTGGTGCCGTTGTGCAGCCTGGAGTGCAGACGGGAGTGGCGTCACGGGTGATTTTGCGCGGGCTGGCGGCGACGTCTGGGCCGACGACCAAGGTGGCGTTTGTTGCCAGTGGATCGGCGTGCAGCGATGGCGGGGCACGGGTGTCCGAGGTGGCGATGACGGGCCATGTGCTATCGACGGTGGAGCCGTTGCTGCCTGCGGATGGGAGGTACAGCGTGTGTGTGAAGGAGGCCGGCGGCGGGAGCAGCTGGACGAAGCAGGACGTTCCAGTGGATGCCATCGACTGCACGACCAAGACGTCGTGCGGCGAGTGCCGGGCGACGCCGCTGTGCGGATGGTGCGTGGGCAAGTCGCAGTGCGTGCTCAACTCTGTGCTGCCAGACACGTGCGCTGTGAGCAGCGCCGTGTGCACGCCGTTCCTCGGAACGAGCTGTGCGCTGGAGAACTGCCCGCGTGTGACAGGGATCTCGCCGGCGATTGCAGTGTCTGATGGCGGGACGCAGATCCGGGTCTCGACAGAGCTTGCGGCAAACGTGGCAGACCTGGAGTGCCGGTTTGTGTACGACGGGACGATTGTGGAGTCGTTCAGCGCAGCGTCTGTCGAGTCGAGCACAAGCGTGCTGTGCAGGGCGGCCGAGTCGCAGCTGGGCATTCTTGGAGCAAGTGTGTCGTTGACGCAGAGCGTGGGGAGCGCCAAGCGTGTGGCGTATGGAGCGAGCGGCGGAGCGTCACTGTCGTACTACGAGTGCGGGGCAGTGAGCGGATGCGGCAACTGCTACGACGCGGCAGCCCGGCCGGAGTGTGGATTCTGTCTTCTGGAGGGTGGATGCATGTCGCGGCAGGCATGCCTGGATGCGCTTGGATACAACGCCAGCTCGTCTGTGGGGCTGAGCGTGGACGCGGTGTGGGTGCATCCCACGAGTGAGTGGCCCGATTGCCCTGTTGTGAGCTCTGTGGCGCCCGCGGTCGGGCCGACGACGGGCGGGGTGGAGCTGACGCTGACGGGGACGCTGTTTGTGGACGCAAACGGACGTCTTACAGGCGCGGGCACACGGTCGAGTGGCGATGTTGGACTCGAGTACCAGTACCAGTGCGTGACGAACGACGTGGACAAGGCAACGAACGGAAGCGTGGTGTCGTCGACAGAAATGGTGTGCGAGCTGCCCGAGTCTGTGAGCGATGGCGATGCGGCATTGCGGGTGATGCTGAATGGGGCGGAGATTGCTGTGGCGTCGACGTCGTTTGGGTACGTGCCGCCACCGGCGCCGATTCCGCCACCGCCGTCCAAGACGACGCAGACGGTGCTGCTGTCACTGGGCGCGTTCCTGTTTGTGGCGATTGTGGCGGTGGCGATCATTGCGGGCTTGTTGCTGAAGCGGAAGCGCGACATGGAGAAGCTGACGCGGCCACCGGAGATGTCGCCGAGCGAGATCCAGAGCGTGGTGTTTGGGTCTGTGCTCCCGCTGGGCATGGACGGCAAGTCGCTGCTGCCGCTGCTCTCGCGGTTTGTGCACGAGATTGTGTTTGACTACGAGATGATTGCGCTCCTGGCCGAGGTGACGCCATCGACCGAAGTGGACCGGGTGGCCAAGGCGGCGATCATTGTGTACGAGCACGCCGGGCTGGCACTCGATTTGCTGCTGTACCAGGTCTCCCGCGAGGTGACGACGACGCTGACGCTGCAGACGCTGTTCCGGACCAACTCGATGGCGACCAAGATGTTCAAGCTATACTCGAAGCTCAAGGGGTTCGAGTATGTGCGGAGCACCCTGGGGCGGCCGATCAACAAGCTGATGCTCGAGGACGATGTGGACGTGGACGGCCTGAGGGCGGGCAAGGGCGGCGGAGCGCAGTTCCAGCTGCTCAAGCTGACGCAGACGCTGTTCAACGCGGTGCGCGGGTCGATTCCTGCTGTACCGACCGAGTTCCGGTACCTGTTCCGTGCAGTGCAGGGCGCGATCCAGGAGCGGTTCCCTGTGCGGGCGGATGAGCTTGCACCGCTGATGGCGGAGGCGCTGCGCGAGGGGCTGGAGGAGACGTCGACGCTATACGCACACGGGGCGGAGGCATTTGTGCAGATTGCCGGTGTGTCGGACCAGGTGACAAACAACACGGCCGAGCTGGCGCAGGTGATTGCGCCGATGGCGGAGAACCTGGCCGAGTACGAGGAGAGCGTGGAGGAGCTTGCGACGCGGCTGCAGCAGATGTCTGAGCTTGTGGAGAAGCTGTCGGGAGCGACGGATCCGGAGTCGCCGGCAGCACGACGGCTGCTGCTGGACCTGCAGGCGTCGCACAACTCTGTGGGAGTTGGCGGGTTCTTCTTCCTGCGGTTCCTTGTGCCTGCAATCACGGCGCCCGAGGCATACGGACTGGTGCACGATCCGCCGGATGTGGGCCAGCGCAAGCTTCTTGTGCTCCTGGGCAAGGCGATCCAGAACCTGTCGAACCAGAAGGAGTTTGGCGGGAAGGAGAAGCACATGGTGCAGATGAACTCGTTCATCACGTCGAACGCAGAGACGATTGCCAAGCTCCTGGACGATCTGGCGCATGTGCCGATCAACGCGCCGGGACGCGACGAGCTGGAGGCGTCTGTTGTGCCGACGAAGCACCTGGAGGGAGCACTTGTGTTCCTGTACAAGCACGCAGTGTCGATGCGAGGCAAGATGCTGGCCAAGCTGCAGGAGATCCAGATCGGGTCTGTGGAGCTGTCGGCCGAGGCTGTGGTGCAGCGTGAGCGTGCGGCCGAGTTGCTCGGTGTGGTGCTCGACGAGATCGAGGCGGCCAAGTCATCGGGCGCGTCAGGCTCACGGCTGGACTACAACCGGCTTCGCGGGCTGCCGTTCATTACGAGCATGGGCAAGGTTGGTGACAGTCTTGCTGGCAACCCGCAAGGGTGAGCTTGAGGTGGACGCGCTTTTACAACATAATCGTGGATGCCAAGATTGGTAAATGCTGACAAAGCTGAACGCCGTGGACTGGGGTGTCGTGCGTGAGGGTGGGGGGGCGATCTTAGTTGTTTTACTTCGGAGCAACACTTCATGTGCTACGTACCGAAGTGATTGGATCCAACCAGAGCACTATGATCAAGCAGACCACCTCCAACCATTGTCCGACTCTTGTTCATCTTACCATTTCTACGTCTGCTTCTCTTCCATCGCTTTGCTTTCTTACCCTTTGCAAAAGCGCCACCGCAGTCGTGAACAAGCTCCGATCCAACTTGCTTGGGTGTTGGCGGGATTATTGATTGTAAAATTTTCCTCCCTCCCCCCCCCCCCCTTTCGCCCAGCCACTCGGAAAGGAACGGGTGGCGACGTGTGGTGGCGGCGGACAGTGAATGAGGACGAGTGGCGAGGCTGAGAGGCGTTATTTTCTAGCGCGAGGCTACTTGTTGTGGCAAAGAGCCACAATTGCCGAAGCAAGAGTGATCAACGTCGAGAGACCGACTGAGCGATCAAGAGCGCGAGCGAGCGAGCTGGACCAGGATAAGGAAGGCAAGTAGATAGCGTGAGAGAGCAAGGGAAGAAAGGGGAAGGAGCAAGGGAGAGGAACATTGGAGTTGCTCATAAGGTACATAATTAACAACTATGTCTGACGCTGAGCTGTGGAGGCTTGTGGACTCGCGTGCTCCGCTCTCTGCCCTCCTGCGCCACCCGCTCTTCCTCACCAGGGTAAAGTCTGGCTCGCTTCTCATCCTCGCTCTGGTCACCACCTCGCACTCGCTCTCCACCCTTCTAGACATACTCTTTGGCCCCAATCTCGCGCATGCACATGCTACTACTACTGGACAAGACTCTCTCTGCTCCGCTTCTTTGTCACATTCTACTACTTTGCATACGCCCGGTGCCAATGGCTCGTCTTGTGACGCGCTCCCTTCGCCCCAACACGTCGATTCTGCAGTCTTCCATGATGATGACCTTGATCACCATGACCATGATGCCGGCGGCAACAATGTCGCCAACATAGTCGAGGATGGCAACTCGAGCAGTGACAGCATGGCTGGCTTGTCCGACACAACCGACTCGGACGACACGACCAACGCGGCTACCGACAAGACCAACACAACCGACGCGACCGACACGACCACCGACTCGGTTGACATGACCGACACGACCGACACGACCACCGACACGACCGACACAACCACAGAGTCGGACGATGCCACAGACGATGGACCGATCGCGGCAGACTACACCCCGATTCCCGACGGAGAGGATCATGATGGTGTCGGCATGGCGCTCATTCAGACGGCCCAAGGCCTGCGCGGGCCGCCAGTGCCAAAGGGGCAGGCCGAAGTTGGCCGGCTTGAGCAAGAGCAGGCGCTGCTGAGCCAGGAGGCTGGGGAGCAGTACGATGCCGAGTTGGCCGAACTGGCAATCGAGGTCTTCCGGTCGCAGGCGCGCCGTGTCGTCACTGCTATGACTCTCGACCATGTCCGCCGCGTGCTGGAGCGGGTGGCCACGGTGGCACCGGGAGTGTCCAGCACCGCAGCTGCCTGGCTGCTCGAGCCTGACACGCAGCTTGCCCACCTGGCTACCATCCTGGAGTTCTTGCTCACCCACTCGCCGCAGCCGGTCATGTCACAGCTCCCGCTGGTTCCAGGCGTTCTTGACGGCATCCTCGCCAACATCCACCGGACTGGCATGTTCAACCTCATGCACGCCCTCGTTGTCCACTCGGAGCCCGACGTGCTCTCGTGGCTCTTCTCGGCGGCTGTTGTCGAGAAGCTCATCGCCAGGCTCAGCCCAGATGCCGCGTCCGGACGTGCCCCGTTGGGCGCTGCCGCACTGCTTACCGCTGCTGATGACGCCACCGCCACCGCTGCTGCCGCCGCTGACCTTATCATCGCCATCCTCGAGTGGTACCCGCGTGCTGTACTCAAACAGGCAACCACTCCGCTCTTCCCACTTGTCCTTCCGCTCTTCATCGAGCAAAATCTGGTAGCCATCGTCACTACCCTCGCCGCACTCGCCTCGCCACCGACACAACATGCCTCGTTTGACATCCTCCCCACCGTTCGCGTCGTCCGCGCCATTCTCTACTTTGTCCACTCGCCGCAATGGCTTCCGTCACCCGGCACTTTGCAGCGACCAGCTACCAAGGCTCACGAGCTTCCCGATCCCCTGCCGCTGATGGCCACCATTTGTCTCGACACCCTGCCCATCGCCATTCCGCCGCTTGTGGCCCTCCTCGACGTCGCCCCGCCGGCATGGCCACTGCCCCATTCGCGACAGCGGCTCGGCTCGCTCCGTATGGCCGTCGCCGAGACGCTCACGCTCTTCACCACGTTTTCAGGCGACGTGCCCGACATCCTCACTACCCTTGTCCGCGAGAACGCTCTCCGCCGGATGACCGACCTGTTCTTTGCTTTTCCGTCGGCCAACACCTACAGCTCGGTCTACACCACGCTCGTCTCCACTTTGCTTGTTGCTGCCTACGTCCATCCCGAGCTGGTGGTCGAGCTCGCCGACTCGGTTGCTCTCCCGGTCCGCCTTGCCGAGCACACGTTGATGACGCTGCAGGCGCCCGGCCCGCGGCCCAGCAACATGGGCCACATCATCGCCCTCGGGAACGCTATCAAGGACAACGCCCTCCTCGCACCGCTCCTTGCCGACTCGCCGCCGTGGCTTGCCTTTTACAATGTTTTTCTCGTCCGCGCCAACCGGCGCGCCGACGGCCGCCTCTGCGAAACGCCGCTACTGGCCGTCTCGCCAGCCTCGCGCAAGGCCCGCAAGCAAGAAGCCAAGGATATGCGCCGCGCCATGCGCGAGTCGCTCGAGCTTGCCCAGCAGCGCAGTCTGGATCAGTCGTCGCCATCGTCGTCCAACGACGCCGTGGCCGAACAGCCGCCGCGCCTCCCCTCTTCCCGCCCGGTTCACCTCCCGCGGCTCGCCCTCGTTCCCGACGATGCAGCCCGCGAAGCGCAGGCCATCGTCGACGAGGCTGGCCCGCGCTTGCGCGGGCCGAGCCTTCTCCGTGGCGTCAGCGACGCCCACTCGTCAAACGGTCCAGGCACACCGCGCCCTACCGACTCGTCTCAGCTGCTCTCGTTTGCTGAGATGCTCTCGGCGCTCGAGACCCCTGCATCCGCGTCGGCCTCGGCCGCAGACGCTGCTGCAGACTCGAAGGATGGCAACGACGGCGCCGTCTGTGAGCCGGCCGGCCGGCTCAGCAGCGCTCACGAGCCGACGCCGGCACCGGACTCGTCTACCGGCCTCGACTCGGTGCTCGGTATGATGACCGTTGCCACCGTGCTTCTCGCCGGCGTGGCGACCGCCGTGTGGTGGGCGCGCGCAAGTCGGCCGTTTATCAACTAAATGACGTCTATCGTCACAGCTCGACCGCGTCCGAGATCATCGGCGGCGGCTCCTTGACGCCGGCGGGCGTGAGGAGCGCAGCGCTGTCGCTTGGCGGCGGCGGTGCGAGGCTGACATCGGCCGGCGAGACTGAGCCGTCGTTCGACGAGCTGCTCGAATCGTCGCGGACAATCGGGGTGAGCGTGAGTGTGGCAAGTGCCACTCCTCCTCCATTGTCGTTGTCGGCACCCAAGTCACCGAGCGGGTCGGTCTCGGGCGCTGTGTAGTCGTCCTGCTGGATGAGCTCGTCAAAGACCTCGTCAGTGAGCTTGATCATCGACTGCAGCTTGGGCTCCGCTGCCGACGGGCCGGCCTCAGTGGTGTTGAGGTAGTCGGTCGACGTCGAGCCTGCACCAGCGTTGAGGTACTGCTCGGTCTGGTCGAGGACGAGCTCAAAGACCTTGGCGGCCTGGATCCGCTGCGACATGATAGCTGCTGGCAGCTGCTTGCCGCCGAACGAGTGGTCATGCAGCCGCGCCACTATCTTGTCGCGGTTGGTGCGGGCGTGCTTGAAGAGCGTGACCACGGCCGACTCGAGGTGGCGCCGCGGGACTGGAGCGCGATCGAGCTGCGCAATCGGCGTCGACGACGCAGGCACTGTCGAGAGCGTGTCAAACAGCCGCGCCACTGCAGTCTGGTTCTCGAGAATAAAGTCGTTCATCTGCACCATGTGCTTCTCCTTGGTGCCAAACTCCTTGCCGTTGGACAGGTTCTGCAGCACCTTGCCGATCATGACCAGGAGCTTGCGCTCTTCGGGCGTGGGCAGCTCGTGGACCATGTTGAACGCCTCGGGCGCAGTGAGCGCAGGCACGAGGAAGCGAAGGAACATAAAGCCACCGACGGCAATCGAGTTCTGCACCCGCTGGTGCTCCTCGAGGAACCGTTTCGCCTCCTCCGAGTTGGGATCGAGCGCGCCGCGGAGCTGGTCCACCACATGGTTGACCTTGCGCAGCTGCGACGTGAGCGATGTGATCGTCGACTCAAAGTTGGCCAGGTTCTCCTGGACCGGTCCAAGAATGGAGCCGAGGACCGACATGTCCGACTGGATGTGCGGCGCGAGCGCCGCAAGGTCCGAGAAGCAGTTGTTGCCCTCGATGTACGCCTCGGACGTGTCGTCCAGGTGGTCGCGCAGCGAGTCGGCAATGTACAGCCCAAGGTCCTCCGAAGAGACAGGGAACTTGGACTGCATGCGGAGCCGGACGTGCTGGAAAAGGTGGCGGAACTCGATCGGCACCGCGTCCTGCGTCGCCTGGATGGCGGCAAAGACGCGCTGGCACCGCTCCAGGAGCGCAAACCGCTCCAACGCGTTGTTGCCCGACGACTTGGTCTTGATGGCATCAACATCGCCCACCCCCTCGAGCAAAAGCAGGTTCACCTGCCGCCCAATCGATTCGTGCAGGTAGTCGAGGCCCTTCATCTTGGAAAACGTCTTGAACAGCTTGGTGGCAAACGAGTTGGTGCGGAAGAGCGTCGACTGCGAGAGCGCGAGCGAGACCTCGCGCGAGACCATGTACAGGAGCATCGAGAGCGAGAGCCCGCGCGACTCGTACACCATGTTCACAGCCTTGGTGATCTTGTCCATCTCTGTCGCCTGCGTCACGTCACCAATAGTAGCAATGAGCTCGTGGTCCATCACCACAGTCTCCACAAACGACTGCAGCATGCCGGCCATCTTACGATCGTCGGCCGAGAGCGTCGGCGGTGCGCCAAACATGATCCGCTCCCGGATCTCCGGCGTGAGCACCGGCGGCCGGAGCAGTGCCTCGCGATCCTTCCGCCGCTTGTACACAAGGCCGAGAATGGCAGCGAGAATGCAGAGCACAACCGCGACAGCACCCACCGCAGAGCCGATGATCATCGGCGCGTTAGAAGTCGGCGACTTGGGAAAGAGCGCAGGGTCGCCCAAAAAGTTGAAAATGACTCCTGCGGCAGGCACGTACTCGAGCCCGCGCCGCCGGAGCGAAAGCTCCACCGGCCCGGAGCTGGAAATGCGCGGCGTGACAACCGTGTACTCGGTTGTCGACACAAAGCTCGCGTTGACGCTCACCGAGCCGAAAACCACCTCCATGCCCTTGACGTCCACAAAGTGCGTTCCGGTGAGCGTAATCGTCGCCCCGCCGGTCACCAGCCCGTCGGTAGGTGCCACCGCAGAGATCGTCGGGCACTCGGAGCCGCCCCAGTCGAGCGGCGCCGGGCAGAGGTTACTCGCCGAGCACGTCTGAGTCTCCATGCAGTACCCGCACTCCGGCCGCTCCGCCGTGTAGCACCCGTCGCACACAGCAACGTCTTCGCAGATGTAGTACTCAAAGTTGACCACGGCGTCAGTGGCAGTGTAGAGCTCAGCACCGGCGTAGAGGCGGACCTCGGCAGCTGTGAGCTTGAGCTCTGACGGCGGCGCCACGCACTCAACCTTGGTCGAGGACACAATGGTGGCGTTGACCCGGGTCTTCCGAAGCGTCGCGGGATTGAAAAACTCACACTCGAGCTTCTCGTCGATCGGGTCGAGCGCAAGCGTCGTCACAAACGGCACCACCGAGCCGCCGGTGTACACGCCGCGCGCCGGGACACTCGGGTCCTCGCTCAGCGTCGGGCACGCACCAAACTCTGCAGGTGTACATGTCGGACAGATAGCCTGGACCGGGCACGCCTCGGCCTCAGAGACACACGTGGACGTCGAGAGACACCATGCGCAAGACGGCGTCGTCCGGCACGACCCACATGACGAGTACTGCGAGCACTCTTGCACCACAAGCGTGGCCGCCGGCGACGTCTGCGCGACGTACGAGAGCCCACCGTTCTCCGAGTAGCACACCGAGTGCCGTCCATCGTCAATGAGCGTGATGTTGGCGCCAGGAACAATGCTCAGGACCCGATCCTCCAGCCGCTTCGACGCGTCGTCGCACGCCATCTGCGCCGCGTCGGCCGCCTCAGCACCAAACCCGAGGTTGACGAGCGAGACGTGAGTGAGCGGCGACAGACGCGCGCCGAAAAAGCGGACATCCGAAATGACATTGGCATCGACGTCGCCGACCGAGAGGCCAGTGATAGAGGTCGGCGACGCGCCATCGACAAACACGGTCCCAGCTGCGGTTGTGATCCAGCTCTGGCCGTCGTCGACCGAAATGCACACGTAGTGGGTGCCGATGTCCGTGACGCCGGCTTCGAGGGTCTCGGACGCACCCGCGAGGTGGGTGAGTCCAGTGAGCCCATCGCGCCCGGACCGTGCCTCACACAGGCTCGAGTTGTGCGAAAAGCCAAGCCACGTCGTCGGCGTCGAGACAAAGCCCGCATCGAGGGTAAGGGTCAGCGGCTCAAGGACGTGCGAGAGCCAGAGCTTAGGCAAGATGTCTGTCACGTCGCTCGCTGCAGCGGCAACGCCAGTGAGCGAGACCAGCGTCTGCTCGACAAAGCCCGAGCTCGGCCCGGTGACCGAGTAGCAGAGCTTGTATGCGCCCGGCGCCGAAATGCCTCTTGTCATGTTGAGCACCGTGTCCGAGACAGCGGCGCCACCTGCGGCAAGCGAAAACGGCAGGAGGACGTCAAAGCTGCCCGCCGCAGCGCACGAGCCGGTCGTGATGCCGAGGTACGAGGTCGGAGTGGGGAGCGAGCCGCCGGCATGGGTGAGGGTAAAACCAACAGCACCGACGCCAAGATTCGGCGGCACAAGCGAGGAAAACGAGTTGGCGGCGGCAACCTCGACCTGGAGCGTGCCGACAGAGGTTTGCTCGACCCAGGTCGTCGAGTCCACCGTGAAGCAGACAATGTAGGTGGTGGAGGATCCCGGGGTGGGCGGGACGCCCCATGTCATGGCCGACGCCGGCGAGCTCCACGTCGTCATGTCGATCTGCCCAAAGATGGTACCCGAGCAGCTGCCGATGCCAAAGCCAACCTTGACGTTGGCAGAGAGCGGGACAGTGCCGGCAAATGAAAAGGCCGGCATAGTGCCAGCGCCAGTCCGCAACGGCGACATGGAGGTGAGCGAGGTCGGGACGGCACGGACGACGGCAACAGATAAGTCGTCGCCCTGTGCCTGCCAGCTCACGCCGTCGTCAACCGAGTAGCACAGACGGGCGGTCTTGCCGGACTGGGTGAGGCCTGATGCGAGCACGACGGTGCCGGACGGGGTAGGATACGAAGTCGTGCCGTCGAGCGTGGTAGCGCACGAGGTGGTGTACGAAAAGGCAAACTTGGTGGTCGGCGTCGCCACAAGACCACCGATGGTGAGGACTTCGAGGGCGTCGGCGGCAACAATGCGAGGGGAGATCGAGGTGAGCGAGGTCGGGGTGGCGACGGTGACCGTGAGAAGCGACGGGTTGGTCTGGAGCACCCAGTTCTCGCTGGCGACACCAAGTGTGACAGTGTAGCAAAGCGCGTAAGTGGTAGGGCTGACCTCGTCAAAGGCCGAGCCGAGAGCGACGTTCGTGGCCGCAGAGAGGGCGGTGACGGCGGTCCGGTACGACGCCTGGTTGCACGCACCCGCCTCGTCCTTGACCGCTGCAGGAATAAAGGCAATGGCAGACTTGGGTGAGACAATTGCGTTGACAAAGTTGATCGCCGGCGTCGTCCGCGAACCGATGACAGTTGGCGTAAAGCTGGTGATCGACGAGCTGAGCGCCGAGATAACCTCGACGGTCTCGCCCGACGTAGTGTAACTCACGCCGCCATCTACCGAGTAGCAGACCTGGTACGTGCCATCGATTCCGAGCGCCGGTGCAATGGTCAACTTGGACGAGGCCGTCGAAAAGGCTGAGACCGAGACAACATTACCTGCTGTGCTGCAGTCAGGGTCAGCGGTGACACCAAGGAAGGTGTGTGGCGAGAGGAACGGTGTCGAGACGGTCAGCGTCGGCGTCATGGTCGCAGCAAAAATGGCCGGGGAGACGGCAGTGATGGCATTGGCGTTGGCGGCAACGGCGGTGAGCGTGACGGCGGTCTGTTGCGTCCAAGACGTGCCCGAGTTGGTCGAGAAGCAGACCTTGTAGGCGCCAGCCGAGGGAAGCCCGGCAGGCAGGACAATAGTCTGCTGCTCAAGAGCCGCAGGCATGGCGACCGTGACCGGAGGCTCCGAACTGCAGGTGGTGAGTGTAAAGCCAATACGACACGTCCCGCAGCCGATGGCAACAACCGAGCCAGAGCGGGTGAGAACAACCGAAGCAGGCGCGCCGACACCGACAGCAGCCGGGGCCACTGAGCCAACGACAGCAGCCGAAGCCGCAGGAAGGACAAAGATTTGTGCGGGAACCGCGATCTGGCCAATCCACGACGCGGGCGGCGCCGGAGAGGCTGGATCAGTCGAGTAGCACGGCGTGAACACGCCGCCCGACGGGAAGCCGGCCGAGAGCGTGACTACGCCGGGACCGCCAAGTGCAACGCTGCCAATGCGATCCGAGAGGCACGACGAGCTGGTAAAGGCGATCTTGGCGTTGGGGTCGACCGGCGACGGCGTGCCAATCGTCACCGTCGTGGCACCGGCCACGGTCACGAGCGGATCGACAGTCTCGATGACGAGCGCGTTGGGGTCGTTGGCAACAGGAATGGAGCCGCCGATGACCTGGTCGGTAAAGGTGATGCCCGAGTCAGTCGAGACACACAGCGCAACCTCGGTGACGGCTGCATCGAGGACAAGGGTATTGGGGAACGTGACCAAGCTCGAGGGATCGGTGAGTGGCATGCCGGCGGCCAGATGGCCGGCCACGTCGGCGCACGTGCCCGGCAGCGCAATAGCGACGTGTGTGAGCGACGAAATATGCGGGCCGAGCACTTCAAAGCCGGGCTTGGACGCGTTGACCATGGTCTGCGGCGTAAAGCCCGTGATGAGGTTGGCCGACGGGAAGACAACCGTGACTCCCGGCGAGGTCTGCTGAACAAAGGTCGTCCCATCGTACGAAAAGCAGACGTCGAGCTCGACCTTAGGAGGGCTGACAGGCCAGGCGCCTGGCAGCGTCACGGCGCCGTTGAGCGTGGTGCTGCTTGCCAGACTGGAGACCGGTGTCTCGAGCAGCCGGAGTGAGGGTGAGGAGCAGCCGCCGGGGTAGGCAAGAGCAACAGCGGCGGCTGGAAACAGGGCGGTGTTGGCGCCGATGGTAAAGACAAAGGATGTCGCGACACCGTTCGATACCTGCTGCGCGCCAGAGAGGACGGCCGAGTCGGTTGCCAGCGCGTCGACGGCCACAAACTGACTGGCGACTCCCTGGTGGACCGGAGTGACACCAGTCTGGATGCAGACATAGTACGTGCCGGGCGAGACGGTGACGGGCACGCTGATTGCAGAAGAAAAGATCTCAAAGGTGGCGACCTCAGCGACGCAGGAGTCCGTCGAAGAGACAATATACGCCAGAGTTGTCGGGGTAGGGACCACGCCAACAAAGTCGATCAGCGCCTCAACATCTCCTACGATGCTGCTTGGCGAGATTGCGGTGACAGCAGCGTTGGGCGAGGTGACGGTCAACGACTGTTGCGAGTCGACAAACGAGGCGCCTCCGTTGACGGAGCCACAGACGGTGTAATCACCGGCGCTGAGAGTCGACGAGGGCGGGACGGGACGCCCGGAAAGTTTGTCTTGGACGTCACCAGCTCTGGGTCGGAACAGCGAGGGTTGCCCGACACATCAAAGCCGTAAACAGTACCGGTCTCGGTGAACGCACCACCTTGAAAGTCGAGGACAGGGAGTGAGCCAGCACCAATGACTGCAGGGTTGATGGCGGTAAGGAGGCCGTCGCGGACTTGGAGCGTAACACCGGACTGGAGAACCCAGGTGTTGGGGTAGACCGAGAGGCAGACGACATAGTCGTTGCTCGAGCCAAAGTCACTGCCAGAGACAGCAAGCTCGGTGCCGGGCTCCGGAAAGTCAAATTGTGGCTGGACGCTGCCGTCGCACGAGCTGACTGCAAAGCCGATCTTGGTCGTTGGCCCTGCAAACGCAGACGCGGCCTTGGGCACGACACTGAGGGTGACGGCCGTGGAGACGCCGATAGAGTTCGGCGTGATGCTGGCAATGTCGTCAGCGGCGGCGGCAAAGAACTCAAGCGTGACCCGGCTTGGGTCGACCTTTTGGAACGGTCCGTTTGACTTCTCGGCCACACACAGGTGGTAGGTTCCTGCCGTGGGGGCCGAGGAGGTGAGCACAACCGAGTTGCCCGACACAACGGCCTTGCCGATTGGATTGTTAGTCGGACACGCCGAGGGCGAGGCGACAATACCGGCGTACATGATGTTGTCAATGCCCTCAGAAGACAAAAGGTTCAGCGTCAGTACGCCGCCAGTGCCGCCGACATCGGCGGCAAAACGCGAGGTCTGGACGCCGTCAATCATCGTCTCGACTTCAGAAGCCATGGGAATGTAGATGTACGAAACATCATCAAGTGGGTCGTTGGTGCTGTCGAGGAAGATCTGGAGCTTGGCGAACGAGCCCTTGGCCAGTCCGGGCATGACGCACGTGATAAAGTTCATGCTTGCATCGATGGAGGCAGCATTCGAAAACGATCCGTCGTTAAAGTTGCATGTGATGGTGGTGGACACGTGCACAAGGTTGGTCATGTAGACCTTAAAGGTGGCGCCCTGGAGCGACTGGGTCGGGGCCGAAGTGACCTCGACCACGACGGAGCGCTCGTAGTAGGCAGTCATTAGGCCGGCTTCGGCCGCGATACCGCCATTGACAGAGCAACCTGCGCGCCTAAAATAGTGTTGGATGCCAAAGTCGGCACTGTTCACCAGAGTAGCAGTCAGAGGACTATACGGCTGCAGAAGATTAGACTCGCCTCCAAACTGGTGAGTAGAGAGACCAGCGGGCAGAATGGTTGCGTCCGTATTCCAATTGCCGATATAAGTGCCTCCGTTCCTCAATGCCAGGTAAAAGTTTTGGATCGAATCCCCGGCGCTGGTAACAGTGTTGATCTTGAACTCCAGGCCGGTAAAGATGGCGTCGGCATGGGCAGCAAGTCCGAAAGACGAAAACTGCAGGCTGTTGCAGTACTCGTCATTGCAGAGGTTACAGGTGGCGTACGAGCCGTCGGGACCACCCTGCGCATTGGCGACATCACCGTTCCAGGCTAACATCCCCGAATTCAACTCAATCACAGAGCTCGCATAGCCGGAGACCGACTCGGCAACCATGACGGTCCTCTTTGGCCCGGCAGAGACCGGGGCGATGACCAGGGCCACCACGAGCAGAGCGGCAACGACTCGAAACGACAGCGACACCATGACGATTGCAACAAAGCCTGTGACGAGTATGTCAATAGTGAGTACAGACTCGGCGGTGGGGGTGAAGTGTACAAGGAAGAGCAAAGGGGGGGGGGTAGAGCGGTAAGGGGGGAGGGGGGGAGGGGGGGGAACGAGCAGGGATGGCCGCCCGAGGTGAGTTTGACCGCAAAGAGCCGACCACCACAATCGGGCATGTTCATCCATGAACAATTGTCATTGGGGAAAATTGGAAGGAGGAGGGAGCCAGTTTCCCTCTTTCCCCCTTCGGGTGGCAGCACGTGTGCTGGGTGGTGGTGTGGTGGTGTGGTGGTGGGGAAGGGGGGGAGGGAATGGGTGGAAGGGGGCGACGAGCAGGAGGGAATATACGTACTGTTGTTGGGGATGGCAGCCTCTGGTTGGGTGTAGAGACCGTTGTTGGGAAAGGGGAGGAGGGGCGGGGCGGGGAAGGTGGGCAAGGGAGCTGACGGTGGTGTCGCGTGGCTGGTGAGAAGTGATGACCATTCCATCAACGTCATTTTCAGTGGTTATACTGAAAAACTGAACGAGACACAGCGAAACGTGCGACGGCAAAAATTTGTTGTCATCGAATAGTCATCAGCAGCCACCGTCTGCCATCGGCATCAAGCCCACTCACAATAGCAACTAGCTATCACACGGACGATGAATGTCCCTGGAACTGTGTCTCTGGCTTGTAGAGTTGATTGGCAACTTGCGGCGCAATGATCTTCTGTACCATGCCCGGAAGCTGATGCCAGGAGCCGATCCAGCGATGCTTGCCACCCACACGCACACCTCGGTCTGCTTCCCATCAGATGACCAGCGGTGATCAACACACAGGCAGCAGCCGGCGAGTGTGGTGCTGTGGGGAATGCGTGTGATTGGCTGCCGACATCGGTGTAGCGGAAACGTTCCGCAACGACGGGCAACGGTTTCATTGCGTGAGGAGCGGCACAATTTGTCAACGGCAACCAGCAGGTCTCGCCAGCATCAGGACGACCACCTGACTTCCTTCATCTCATCATCATGGCGGGCGAGTTCAATGGTAACATCCGCGACATGGCGTTCTGGCGTGGCGCCGTGGCCGAGTTCCTCGGCACTATGTTTGTGGTCTTCATCGTGACCTCGGTCTGGGTCTCCAACCCAGCCATGGGCATGACCGGCGACCTTGCTCTGGCCACGGGCTTCACCTACGCCGCCGCCCTCTACTTTGCCAAGGGCTACTCGGGTGGTCACCTCAACCCGATCGTTTCCCTTGTCGCTGTTGTCTTCCAGCAGGTACGCCTCCTCTTATATCCCGCTTGTTGCCCTCTAGCTCGCCCTCTAGCACCCGCAAGCGCCCGCTGCTTGCCTCCGGGCCTGGGTCCAACGGCTGTCCGTTGCGGCCTAACGGCCGTTCCCTCTCTGCAAATTTTTGGCCTTCTGCGCGTCGCCTTCTTCCTTGTCTCCAGAAGCGGCACACCCACGCTCACTCACATGAACCTTGTCTTGCATGGTACAGATCCACGTCATCCAGTTTGCTGTCTACTTCCTCATGCAGATCCTCGGCGGGATCATCGGCTCGGCGTTTGTGCGCGCGGCGCGCGACGGCCAGCACCAGAACCAGTGGCTCGGCGCTGTCCGCGTCTTCCCCAACTCGACTGATGGGCAGGCGTTCCTGTGGGAGTTCATGGGCACGCTCTTTGTCCTTATTGTGTTTGTGGAGACCTCGTACGGCAAGGCCTTCCGTGCCGGCAACATCGCGCCGCTGGCTCAGGGCACCGCGTACTACGCCGCCACGGTCGCCACTGGCCGCTGGACGTCGGCCTCGCTCAACCCGGCCCGCGCCTTTGGCCCGGCCCTTGTTGCTGACCGGTGGGACGACCACTGGCTGTATTGGATTGCTCCGATTGTTGCCGCCGTCGTCGTCATCATCCTCGGCGCCTTTGTCTTCAACGTCGCCAAGCCGATCGGCATGGGCCCGAAGCCCGCCACCGCCCAGACCGATGAGGAGGAGGGCGCCCCCATGCGGGTTGTTAACCCGGGCAAGTAGCTGCGTGTGTTGATCGAGTCTGACCCTATCCTGTCTGTCCTCTCCTGTCGCGTCGTGCCCTGTCCTTCCTGGCCTCGACCGCGACCGCGACTATTACAACCGTCCACCTTTCCCATACACAACCTCTCTGCCTCACATCATCTTCTCACCCCCCCCCCCCCACCATTGTTGCAATCCAGAAGTCCAAACCATCCATCCCTTTGCCTCGATAAGATCAGGATCGCCCCCCCCCCCCTCCCCCCCTCCTTTTTTTTCCCCCGCTACCGTCCGCCCAGCAGCGGGTGGCGGTTCCTTGGCGAGCCGAGTCGGCCAAAAGCCGATGGCCATCCTCCATCCATCACATCACCCAACTCTCTGTCTCGACGGAGAAGCGGCGAGTTAGAGAAGGCGAACGAGCAGATACAAGCCAGCCTTGCAGTTTCCAAGAGCTAGTGTAACGGACCAACAAGGAAGAGATACACACGTAGCCAAGCATGTCTAGCCGCCGACCCAACCGTCCCAAGACGCAGCGGGGCAAGCGTGCTCTCAAGGCCCGGGAGGCTAAGATTGTGGAGGACTCCAAGAAGGCCCTGCTGCTGAAGGGGCCCAAGTGCTCGGCCGGTGTGACGCAGCTGCTCCGGGAGCTGCATGCCATGCGCCGGCCGCTCTCTGTCCTCTTCAACCGCAACAACTCGGTCCGTCCGTTTGAGGATGAGGAGTCGATCACGTACCTGACGGGCAAGAACGAGGCCGCCCTCTTTGCCCTCGGCACCTCGACCAAGCACAAGAAGAACCGGCTGATCATGGGTCGGACGTTTGAGAACCAGGTGCTGGACATGATCGAGTTTGAGGTCGTCAACTTTACCTCCATGTCCGAGTTCAAGGGCAAGGCCAAGTCATCCGTCGGCTCCAAGCCGCTCGTCCTCTTCCAGGGCGAGCGCTTTGAGACTGATGACGTATTTGTCGCCACAAAGTCGCTGCTCATGGAGTTCTTCCTCGGCAACACAGAGCTGACAGAGCTTGATCTTGCCGGCGTCGAGCATGTGGTCATCGTCTCGGCCATGCCGGGCGACTTTATCCACATCGGCCACTACGCCATCGAGCTCAAGAAGTCCGGCTCTCGCCTGCCGCGCGTCGAGCTTGTGGAGATCGGGCCCGAGTTTGACCTGGTCATGCACAGGACACACTTTGCTGATGCCGCCCTCATGAAGGACGCCATGTTTGTGCCCAAGGACCTCCGCCCCAAGAAGGTCAAGAACGTCTCCCGCGATGCCTTTGGCTCGGTCGTCGGCAACATCCACATGTCGCGCCAGGACCTCACCGAGGTCAACACCCGCAAGGTCAAGGGTCTCCGCCGCTCGCGCGACAAGGCCCTCGCCGCACAGGCTATTGCCGAGGCTGCCGCCGAGGTCGAGCTCGAGGACGGCGGCGACGCCGGCCCTGCCCGCAAGCGCTCCCGCCGCTCCTAGCCGGTTCATGGTACGATTCTCGCCCCGCGCCAGGCTGAACAACGTACGGTAAAGTGAGCGATTATCACACACACACACACAAACCTGATGTTGCTCCGCGAGCGCAGGGCGCCGAGGCGGTCGGCGGGCGCCATCGCAGTGTCCTCGTGCCGCCACCTCGGGGGCTGTTCCTACACGGCTCAACACACTACGTGCGCGCTCATTTACTGGCAAGGGCAGGCCTAGCCCTGCGAGTGCCACGCGAGCTTCCACCACGGAATCAGCCGCGACGTCGACTTTTGGTAGAGCTTGTAGAGGTGTGACCGCGCCGGCGACGCCATCATCCGCTCTTCCACCAGGACGGTGACCTGGTGAAGGACGGCAAGTTAAACGCCGCGCCCACCAGCATCCACCCTGCGCCGCAGGCCAGAGCAAAACCACCCAGCGCCGTCCAGAATAGGCCCTCGCCAAAGTGGTTCGGGTGCCGCGAGTACCGCCACGTGCCGGTGCACAGCAGCGGCGCCTCGCCCATCTCGCGCGTCGTCACAAACTCGTACAGCTCGTTGTCCGCCACGTGCGCGAGCAGCAGCCCGCACACCGCCGCCGCAGTCGCCATTGTGTCCATCACCGTCCACGCCTGGTCGGCGCTCCCAACCACCGCAAAGATAGGCAGCGAGATGCCCACAAGCAGCAGATGCTGCACGCCAAACACGTACCACAGCGAGAGCAGCGGCCATGCCTTGCCAAACCGCTCGCGCATCGCCACGTACCGCCAGTCCTCGCGGGCGCCAATCTGCCATTCTTCGCGCCGAAAGTACGAGTGCGTGAGGCGGAGCGCCCACACCACCACCAGCGCCACGCAAACCACAAACCGCGACCAGCCGGGCGCGCCCGGAGCCAGCGCAGGATCGCCGGCAGGATGCAGGGCGGCAAGGGCAAAGAAGGCCGGCGGAATGAGCGACCAGTACGGATCAATGAGCCAGAACGAGCCCTGCACAAGGCCCACCAGCCAGAACACCGCCGTCACGTTGAGGGCAAAGAGAACGTTGGCCAAGAGCAGCGGGTGCCACCCGGCGACTGCGCACGTTGCCGCAGGCAGCGGCAGGCCCATCCAATGCGAAGCAACAGGCGTGCACTGGGCATACCCTGCCGCCTGCTCGATCACGACCTCCATGGCCTTCACCATCGCTCGTCCATCCTGCCACCAGCTTCCGCTTCCTCCAGCTGACGCCACCAGCCAGCTCGCCGGAGAGGCAAACACTCCGCCGCCACCGCTTGGCACCACGCACGAGCACGACGCCCGGACCGCCGCCACACACACCACCGCAGGCAAGGCCACAAGCACAAGCACAGCCAGGTTAATACGCTGCCTCACGCTCTCGTCACTCTCTGCCATGTTGTGCGTCTGTCACCTGTCGTGTGGGTGGGCAAGAGAGAGTGTGTGTGTTAGGGAGAGTGGGGTGGGGGTTGGGGTGGGCCCACAGGCGGGTCGGCTACCGGCTAGTGTGGCAAGGGGGGGGGATGGCGATCAGGGTACTGGAACATGATTTCGGGATGCAGATCTGTGTATGTGTGTGTGTGTGGGGGGGTAGGCTAGAGATGGTGGGTGGGGCTGATATGGATGGTGGTAGGAGCAGGAAAGGACCCTTTGCCCGTGGGGTGGTGGTGGTGGTGATGTCGAGCATCTCAATCCTGTCCAGGCCCTCCCTGCCTCAGCTAGCGGTTAAAGCAGCTCTGGAGGGGGCATGAAGACGGCTTGTAGCGGTCGGATAGCGGCATGTACATACTGAGGTGGTGATGATGGGTGCATCGGCTATCTGCGGTCTATGGAGCAAGTGTAGAGACGCTGTACAAATATGAGCCATTTCCCGCCTTCCCGCTGGCTGCATGCCTCTCATCTCATCTCGTACACATCTTGGCCTCACTACTACCAACCTTGCCCTCTGAAAGAGCCCACCACTGCTACCCAGCGACTTCATATATGTAGTCGCTGGGTAGCAGTGGTGGGCTTTCTCACCCTCTTCGTGCTTCAATCTGTTCTTTTTCCCCCCACAACGACGACGGTGTCCTTCCAGCGGCCAAAAAAATGAGGGTACTCTCCCAAAACAGGAAATATAGTCGATTGTCTGCCGAGGCGTGATCCACATACTCGCACGTGCCAGCAGAGTCGGCGAGGTTGAGGAGGGGGATGGAGAAGGGGGAGAGGAGCAAGTCTGCTCACCTCTCTACTGCTTTGCAATCCTTGATCATGTCTGAGAAGCAAGCTCTTGTCGGAAGCGCACCCGCTGGCGCGCCGCCTCCGGCGTACCACGCCGGCCAGCCTGGACCGCCGCCGCCTGCACAGGTTCCAGGTGCGTATGGTGCGGCACCGGCAGGGGGCTTTGCTGGCCAGCCTGTGGCCTACGGCTATGGGCATGCGACGGCTGTACCCGGCGGCTGCCCGCACCGAAACCTGCACACCTCGTTCACCTGCTGTGGCATCACCACGGCTGTCCTCTGCTTCCCCATCGGCCTCATCTGCTGCCTGGCCAAGCCCGAGAAGCGCTGTCGTGACTGCGGCCTCCTCCTGGACACAGGGTGCTAGGAAGGGAGAGCAAAGATACATCGATTAAATTGGCGTGGCGTCTCGTGCTTACACTGCTTCCCTCCAAGCGCACGATTTCATGGTCCTGTCCGCGGCAGACTAGTCGTACAGATCAACGATGCGGGCGAGATCACGGCCGCACGACGGGCGTGGGCACTGGCGAGCGGCACCATGCTGGATCTGGTTCCGGACATCGGCCGCGCACGCGTGACAGTACGTCCGGTGGCCGCAGGGGAGGTTGATAGACTCGCGGCGGGCACAGGCGCTGCAGACGCGGCACGGCAACGCCGCGAGCTGGGTCACCGGCGGCGGCGACCGGCTCGCGGCACCCGAGCCCGAGTCGGACGACAGTTCATCGGCGGCCATGACGGCCGGACGGACGACCATGCCGAGAATCGGTGCCCGGCAGAGCGGACAGAGCGAGACCTGGCGCGCGCAGTCGAGGCAGGTCGCCGAGTGGCCGCAGTCGAGCAGGACCGTGTTCTGCTGCGCGTCAAAGCAGACGATGCATTCGGGCGCAGGTGTCGGCGTTGGCACGGCCTCGGCGTCGGCTCCCTGGAGGTAGCCTTCGTCGTCGTCATCTGTCGAGAGCTGCAGCAGCGGCGCGCGCTGAAGGACCATGGGTGCGACCTGCGAACGAGCCATGGTAATGGCCCGCACAATCTGCCGCCGCATCTCCTCGGTCCGTGCAAACGAGAGGTCGATGTTCTCGATCGACGCCCCGAACAGGATGGCCTGCTCCAGATGAATGAGCGCGAGCAGCCGCGAGCGGAAGACCTCCAGGCTTGACATGACAACCAGCGAGCAGATGGTGGTTAGGATCGAGCAGACAATGACAAACGAGCCGTACGCAGTGGTGCAGAACGTGACGTCGGCATCCGAGTGTGCCTTGTCGCCGGTTCTCTCGTCGCGCTGCACCTTGTCGCACTCGACAACTTGAAACCGCCACGACATGAGGAATCGCCAGAGCCAAAGCGCAAAGAGAAAGAGAAAGATGACGACGGCCGCCCGGATCCGGACCAGCGACCGGTGGCCGAGCGAGGTCCAGAGCGAGTTGACTCCAAAGACGACCCCGAGTGAAATGAGCGAGAACAGCGCCACGTTGAGCAGCGAGGCGCCGTCAATGACCACAGACGCAAACGAGAGCAGGAGCTCGATGATCCCAGCCGTGCTGGCCGCCACCACCGCCACCAGCCCGGCTCGCCCAACTCCATGCCGCATCTCGGACGCCACCGCGGCTGCGAAAGAGCCCTGCGGCCGCGGTCGCAGCGGGAGCAGGCCCGTCCGCACCGTCTCTAGCCACTCAATGTCGGTGTCAGCCATCCTGACCACCTCGCCACGCCCATCACCTGCCCCTGCTGGGCCTTCGGCGCCTCGCGGCGTGCCCACGGGCGAGGCCACAAGTACAGCCGGAGCAGACTCGATGGTATCCGCCGACGACTCGGAAACGCACGTCCGTGCCGACGTATCTGATGATGACAGCACAGCCTGTGCCGGGAGCATCGGCAGAGGATTGAGGGCAACCAGCGACGAGGAGGAGGAGGAGGAGGAGGAGGAGGAGGACAACGACGGCGGCGGCAACGACGACGACGGTGCTCCTTGCTGATCCTCAGATGCCAGCCTGGCCTCTACTCTGTCCGAAGCATGTTGTGTGGTCAGCGTGGCCTGGCTCTGGCTCTGGCTAAGGCCCTGGCCTCGATCGTCGTCCATGTCGTGTTCCTCGCACCCTGGACTTGGACTTGATGCACTTTCGCCGACCGCAGCCGCGGGCATGGCAGACAGTGCCAGGTATTGGCGAGCTAGGGGGGAGTTGTGGGGAAGGAGGTGTTTGTGACCACGGTGGCGACTTGGGCTCGCCAGGAGAAGCTTGGTGTGGCAAGAGGAGGAGGAGGAAATGGCGGTGGTGTGTGGGGACAGTGGCCAAAGGCTGTGGTGCGGCTGTCGTTTGCCGGTGCGAACGATCGGATCATGTCCGAGTGACATTGGGGAGGACGTACGTTTGTTGAGAGAGAGAGGGGGGGGGAGGGGGGGGGGGGGGAGGAGAAGATGGTGGTGCTCCCCGGGCTGCTGCAAGCCAGACAGTAGTAGCTGACCATGCAGCAGTGAAGGAGGGGCTACGCGATGGGGAGCGGATGAAGCGACGGATCGTGCGGCGATGACATGTTGTACGAGATGATGTCCGAGATGTTGGCGTAGGGATAGGCGTCGACGGCAAAGAACGGATCGTGGACAAGGAATGAGTCAGGCTTGCTCGTCTCCCAGCCGATGAGGAGGACAAAGTGCGAGTTGTGGCGGACGTGGGCGATGCAGACGGTGCCGGCCTCGATGAGGGTCTGTAGCTCGGTGTACGACGGCTTCTGGGCCTCAGAGATGAAGACAATGTCGAGGCCATGGGTCGAGAGCGAGTTCGGTTTGTCCAGCACAAGGTTGTTGCAGTCACCACCAGCGCAGACGTAGCCATCGTTGCTCCGCAGCCAGGCGTTGAGCGAGCCCGGATCGATGACGTGAACGCCCGGGATGCGCGCGCCGCGGCCAGAGAGGGCCATCGAGACGCACGACATGGCACAGCCCTGCTCGCACACCGTCGCTGGCTTGCACCCGCACGCACGGCACTCGGCCTCGGGCCCCATAGTCGCATCTCTCCACCGCGAGTCGCACTGATGGTAGTGCGGATACGTGAAGGGAACCACCGTCTTGCCATGCGCCAACCAGCTCGAGACCATGACGCCCAGGAGGACAAGCCAGAGGCAGACGCTGCCTGACGGAACCATGATTGGGTATGCAGAAGGTAGGGTGTAGTTGAGTGTCGATGTCGGTCTCCGTGCCTGTGCCGGTCTCCGTGCCTGTGCCGGTCGCCGTGCTGCTGGCTGGCAACAGTTTTTTGGGCAGGTTGTGCAGCAGCGTGCGGCGCGCGGGCCGAACTTGGGCGTGAGGCCGGGTGATGGCAAAGCAGGCGGGTTGAGGGCACACAGATGAACATGCGGCAGGAAGGAGAGGAGAGGCAAGGCCAAGAAGGAGAGATCAGGGAGAATCGCGTGTGTGTGTGTGTGTGTGTGTGTGTGTGTGTGTGTGTGTGTGTGTGTGTGTGTGGTTCTTTGATTTGGTGTTAGGGGAGGGGGGGGGGGAAGGGGGAAGAAGCAATTAGGCATCGTCCTCGACCTTGGGCGCGAGGTAGAAGCGGATGTGGCCCATGTCGCCGACGGGGTACTCGACGACGAGCGGGACACCGTTGGACATGGAGATGGTGACGGTCGGGGCAAGCGGAGTGGCCTTGGTGAAGAACGAGAGGTAGCGGAGCGCAAACGACTGCGAGACGGGCTCCTGAAGCTCGATGGAGACGCCCGGCGAGTCGGCATCGTCGTCGATAGCGGCCGACTGGCGGAGCGCAATCTTACCTGTCCCGAGCTCACCCTTGGAGGCAAAGGTGACTCCCTCCTTGGTGGTGGTGATGACCACGGTATCGCCGATGACCGAGAGATCGCGGCAGATGCGGGCAAACTCAGCCGACGGCATGGTGACAACCGACGAGTAGTCGGTCGACGGGATGCCAAGGCGCTCCGAGTCGATGTCCAACCCGCGGAGCTGCCAGTCGGAGACCTTGGACCCGTCCTGGCTCTCAAACATGAGCGTCACGAGGTCACCGTTGTCGTCGGCCTTCATCGTCACTGCGTCGTTGTTGCCCACGCACCGCACAACCTTGGACATGGCGAGCAGGTTGAGCCCGATCGAGATGTTGCGGTCACAGCGGAAGTGATCGAACCCGTCCGCCCGCATGAGGAGCGAGACCAGCGAGACGTGCGACGAGTCCATAGCCTGCAGCGAGATGCCCGTCGACGAGCAGTCAAAGTTGGCATCCGTCACGAGGTCCTTCACGGCCTCGAGAATCTGTGCATGTCGGAATTCCCCACCCCCATTCGTGAGCATACACACACACACACTCTCTCTCTCTCTTTCTCGCTCCGGGGCGGTGGAGACCAGCCCACATGGCTAATTTCCACCCGGCAACAGGGGCGGGGGGGGGGGGGGGGGGCAAGATTCTACCGCTCGAAAAAAACGCTCTGCGCCATTTCGGGGCCTTTCGGCGACGTACCTTCTTGAGCAGGTCACCCTGTGGACAGTATGGCAGACAACGGGGGGAGGAGGGAGGGTGAGTTAGGGTAGGACATGGGAGGGAGGCTGGGGGGGGGGGGGGGGGGGAGGGGTGGTGGAAGGAAGGGGGGGGGCGAAGGGGGGGAGGCGGGTGTGTGGTGGAGGTGGAGGTGGAGGTGGGGGAGAGGGGCGGAGGGTGTAGAATCTTCCCATCGCCGCCACTTCGGGGCCTATCCGCATGGCCTAGGGCGAGGGGGGATGGCGATTCAAGCCATGCGGAAGGGGTGGGAGAGGGTTGTGCGGATGGGGCGGGGGTAGGGAGGGGAGTGGGGTGGGGGTGGACTCGTACCTGCGGCAGGCGGGCCTCAAACATGGTGTGTGTGTGTGTGTGTGGTCGGAGGGGGAGAAGTGGCTGACCGTGTGGGCGTCGGCGACTCGCCGAAGACAACCGAGCTTGAGTGAGTCGGTCAAAGCCCTGGGCGAGTCACCGACGCGCAGGAAGACTTTGCCCTTCCCCCAACCCATACATGTGGTTTTACGGTTGGCTGAACGGCTATGACTAGAATCCGTGGTAGGGAGCATACGAGGTGCATTGGTCGACGACAACGGCCGGCTTTGCGGCACGCGGGGCCGGGGTACAGCCCTCAGGCTCGATCAGGTACTTGTAAGGGACGGAGACCGGCGGGAGGGTGGTGGCGAGGCCGCGGTTTGCGGCAGCGCGGTTCTGGGTCTCGAGAACCACCTTCTTGGTGGGATCCCAACGTGCGGAGCGCGCGGGCGGGTCTGCATCGGCCGAGTCGCGGAGGCGAGTGGGGAGGAGGACAGCGGCTGAGGTGGCGGCGACGGCGGCGTCGAGCTCGGTGGCGTCGGGGACGACAGCGCGCGAGTAGAGCGGGGTAGCGACGGCGCGGAGCTTGGACATGCGGGTCTTGCCAAAGGCCACCTGCTGCTCGGCCTTTTCGACCAGGTCTGTTCCGCGCCATCCGGCCTCGCGCTTGCGCAGCGCGCGCCTGGAGCGTAGCGGCGTGTGCTTGAGCTCGACGCTCCGCAGGCCGGGTACCACGCCCGGAACTGCCAGCATCTCGGCCTTGGTCCGGCGCACCATGTTGCGGCGGGCGGTGGCAAGCGGCGCGCCGGTGGTCCGCGGCGGCGTAGCCAGCTCGCCGTACGGCGTCTTGGCCTTGCTCCCGCCCGAGCCCTGCGGCGCGCCAGCGGCACTCTCAGCCTTGCGCCGGCGCCGACCGCGGCGAAAGCCGGCGTAGCGGATGCGCCCAGCCTTGGTGAACCGGGCCTCGTCGAGCGAAGTCGGGACCTGCGTCGCGAGCCCGCTGTCGTCAGCGACAGTGGGTGCTGCGGCGAGCGGCGGAGCGTCGCCCGGCGTAGGCGGCACAACCGGTGCGGCGTAGGCCGAGGGCGTTGGGCGGTTGCGGCGGTTGCGGCCCGAGCCCGAGTGGGCCTTGCCCTTTCCCTTGCCCTTGCCCTTGCCGCGACGACGCGATCGCCTGCGGTTCCGCGAGCGGAGTTCGTCCGCCTCGCCCGACGCGATCGAAGCCTCCAAGGCACCAGACCTGGCGAGCGTCGGGTCCGAACCGCCGGCAAAGCCGCGGGCAATGCGGAGCGAGTCGGACGGGCTAGCGGCGGCCTGGCTGGCGGCAGTCGGGCCGGCCTCCGGCAGCGAGGATACCGACGCAACATCGTTGTTCGCCAGCAGTGGCGACGAGTCGCGGGTGTGCGAGGCCTTGATCTTCTTCCTGTCGCGGCCCTTGTTCAGCAGCGACTTTGCCAGCGTGCCCGCCGACATGCCCGCCGGCCGCAGCCTGCTGGGCACGCTGCCCCTCCGCCCGCGGAAGGCTGCCACAAGGCTCCCTTCCTCGGCCGTCATCTCCTCGCTCGCCATCCTCGTCCCGCAGCTGCAGTGCCTGTGGGAGAGGGTGGGAGAGGGGTGGGGTGGGTGAGGAGGTGGTGGGGGTGAAGAGGGGGGGCGAGGGGTAAAGGCGGACGGCGGAGGGGAACGGTCGGAATTTGGAGAGTGGAGGAAGGGGGGGGGGGGGGGGGGGGGGGGGCGAGCCTAAGCCGATGGCTTGATCTTTCCAATTGACCTTGCTCTAGTCTGGTCTGATCTACCGCGTGTGCCGTATCGATGGCAGGAGAGTCGTGGCTGGCCTGATGAGGGAGACAGTGGCTTGGTGTGGCTTATGTGGCTTACGTGGCTTGGCTTGGTGTGGCTCGCGTGGCTCGTCTGATGGACTTGCGCTGGCGCGAGCGGGTAAAAAATCGTTCGACTCAACTCGTCGACAGCAAGTTACCAGACGAGGCCGCGACAACAGGTGCCGAGCGCCATGGCTGACCAAGACGTGATCGAAGTCAATTCGCTTCTCGAGTCTGGGCTGGTGACCCGGGAGAGGGTTCGGGCGGTGCTGGAGGAGGCGCGCGCGGCGTGGGAGGCCGAGGCCGCCCGGGATGCTGCCGGGAGCCGAGGAGGTGCGGCGAGTGTTCGTGAAGGACTCGGCGAGGGCGGCGAGACAGGGCAAGAGGCGGCCAGCGGAGCAGCCGAGCGCGAGGCGGTGATCCTGGAGAGCGGCAGCCTCCATTTTGAGAAGCACTACATTTCGCAGACCGATGCGCGGATGACGGTGACGTTCCCGCTCAAGGAGGAGGTGGCGGTGCCGGCCGAGGAGGCGGTGAGCGCGCAGTTTACGCCGACGTCAGCAGCGGTGACGCTCCGCGGCTACCGCGGGCGCGAATTCCAGTACGTAGTGCGGCAGCTGTGCGAGCGGATCGTGCCGGACGAGTCGAGTGCCGTGCTGCGGACGTCGCGAAACGGGCAGCAAAAGCTGGTGGTGCGGCTGGCCAAGGCTGAGCGCGGCGTCGAGTGGTCCGGCGTGAGCGACGAGAAGAAGCGTAAGTCGGAGGAGCACCGGGCGCTCGCCGAGTCGGGCGCCACGACGATGGAGCTCATCCAGTCGATGTACCGCAACGCGTCCGACGAGGACCGTGCATCGCTGGCCAAAGCCATGGCCGAGGGCCAGCGCAAGCGCGAGGAGCGGGCGCGAGCACGGGCGTAGCAGCGGGCGCGGCACGAGAGACTGGCCTACTAGTCAAAGTCGAAGCGGACCTTGACCACGTAGCGGATTTTGACCTTATCTTCGGCGTAGACGATAAACTCGTTGTATAGCAGCTCCGAGTCGGTGTCGAGCTTGGCCGAGACGGGCTTGCCCACAGCGAGCGCGCCGTGGTCAGACGGAAAGTTGTGGGCAGGGTTGGGCACGGTCTTGCCCTCACCCATGGTCGAGTCGAGGCCCTCGGGCGGGCCTTCGAGGGCCTCGGCGGCGCGGGCGCGGTACGGCTTGCCGATGACAGCCTCGGCGAGGATGAGGTATCCGCACGGCGCATCCTTTGTGGCCCAGCAGTAGTTGGCGGCTTTGGAGACCATGTCGGCGAGGTACACGCCCTTGCCAAACATGTAGCCGGTGACCGGAGCCTCGGGCGGGGCGATGCGAAGGCCTTGCGAGAGGATGCCAGCCATGTTAGAAACGCGAGTGCCGTGCCAGAGCAGCTTGCGGTTGTCGACGCCCGACGCGGTGGTCGTGTCGAGCGTGTGGGCGGTGCGATCGACGGCGAGCACGTCCTCGACGTGCAGCTTGTACCGCGAGTGGGTCGGGGCGTGGGTGTTGGCGACGGCGTGCGAGACCATCTTGAAGGCCTCCGAGTCGGGCGCGCACGGGGTGATCGACGCGCCGAGCGCGGCGTACTTGGAGTCGGCCGGGTGCTGCGGAAGGTGTGAGCCTGCTCCCGAGCTGGCGGCGGCTGCGGCGGCATCGGCGGCGTCGGCGGCGTCGTCCAGAGCCTCGACCGACGCGCTCACTTCCAGGAGCGTGTCCATGACCTCAATCTTGGCCAGGAGCGTCTCCTTGGAGTCGATGACCGGAACGGCGCTGCGGCCAAAGTTGTGCGGGACGAGCGTGTAGAACCGGTTCGAGTAGTCGACGAGGCGGGCCCGCGAAGGCGCCGGCTTCACCAGCTCGCTCTCGATGAGCTTGAGAACAGCAAAGCCCTTGGAGAGGTGCTTGACCGTCAGCTGGCCGAGCGGCATCTTGTCGACGTCGATGCGCATGGCGAGGAGCGTCGACCGCAAGAGCGACGCGTCGAAGATCTCGTCGACCATCGTACGGACCGGCGGAGGGAGTGTCGACGGTGCATACGCTGACTCGTCAACTGTGGTGTCCGACGCAGCGTCGTCGGTCATGGCCGACGGCCCACCCGAGTCACCAGGGGCAGCGAGCGCGAGCGGGTAGTACTTGCCGCGCTTCTTGACAAACTCGGCAGCGCCCCACTCGTTACCGGTCTTGCCCTCGTACTTGTCGTGGAAGAGGTCGAGCGCGTCGGCCAGGTCCATCGGCCCGACAAGGTCCTTGGAGCCCATGCGGCGGGCGCCGACGCGGCCATACTTGTAAAACACGTACGCGTCGGTCCCAACCCGGATGAGCTGCAGCAAGTAGTATGAGTTGAGCCCGGCACCAATGTCGGTCATGTTGAGCATGACGTTGTACACCGAGCTTGCCGAGGTGTGGATGACGCCCTCGTCGTCGAGACCCGAGTCTGGATCGACGGCGTTGGGCGCCACAGTCTCGACCCGCGGTGCCTCGGCCTCGCCGACCGCCCGCTTGCCGGCAAGTGGGTCGACAACCGCCGATGCCGACCTTCCGGCGAGGCCCTTGCGCCGCTTGGCCGACGGACCGAGCGCTGCCGCGGCATCGTCGGCTTCGCGCGCCCGCTTGAGCGCCGCCGGCGAGAGCAGCCGCGTTAGCGGCAGCGCCTTGCTCTTCACCAGCTTGCGCAGCGTCGGCGACGCGTCGAGCACTGTGCCAGACGACTCGTCGTCAAACGAGAACGCCGTCGGCGGCGCAGACGCCGGCAGCTTGCTCGCCACGTACACGCACCGCGACCACTCGGAGAGCCAGCCCGAGCACTGGTACGCGCCATCCTTGAACTGCAGCTTGGCCTCGGAACACTCGGGACATGGCGGCGGAACGCCAAATACAGCAACGTCCGCGAGATGAGCCACCACCTTGTCCTTACCGCCCGACTCGCGGTCGACACCATTGACCGCCAGCGCGTCGAGGAACGTCGCCTTGTCGTAGCTCGCCGCAAGCTCGTCGCGGACCGCCCACAGCGTCTTGTTCTGCTCCTTGAACGCCACGACCTGAGGATCGTCGTCGGCTCCGCCCTTGCCGCCACTACCTCCGCCTGCTGCGCCTTCCGCCTTTGCCGCGTGGTTCTTCAGCCGGTGGATGAGCGCGGCTTTGCGCCCAGCGGTCTTGAGCCCGGCGTCCTTGAGCCTCTCTTTGAGCACGGCCACCGTGAGGCTCGCGAGATCTTCCGAGCCTGAGCCCGAGCCCGAGCCCGAGCCCGAGCCCGAACCGGATGCAGCGGCCGCTGCAGCCGCAGCATCCTTGGCCGCTCGCGAGCGGGTGGTTCGTTTCTTGGGCGAGCCTGCGTCGGCGTCGCTAGTCGAGCGCTTGCGCTTTGAATCGGTCTTGACCGCAGCCTTGTCCTTGGCGGCCTTGCCCTTGGCGGCCTTGCCCTTGGCGGCCTTGCCCTTGGCGGCCTTGCCCTTGGCGGCCTTGCCCTTGGCAGCCTTGCTCGCCTTGGCAGCAGCCTTGGCGTCAAGATCGGCGACGTGTTCAGCAAGAGCAGCGGTAAACTTTTCCTGATCGTCATAGCGAGCATCGGAAAAGCCGGCGACCTCAGCAACGTCGCGCAGCTTGTACGTCGTAGCCCGCATCCGCATCTGCTTGTTGAACAAGCACGGGACGGCGTGGAACCAGTGGGTCATGTCGCCATCGTACTGCGACATCCGGATCACACATCACGTGGCATGGAAGGAGAGAGGTGGAGGGAGCCGGTGGAGGCTAGGTGAGTCGATGATCAAGAGGGAGGGAGGGAGGGAGGGAGGGAGGGAGGAGGGGAAGGGAGGGCGTACAAAGGGTGACGGGAAGGTCCGGCCAATGCGGAAGGCACCCTCGGCGATGGCCTTGCCGCAGCCCTTGCACTTGGCGCGCGAGCTAGGAGCGTAGCCGACTGAGAAGCGGATGGAGGAGACCTTCTCTTCCGAAGACATGGCGAGTGTGCAGAGCGGAGAGCGGTGGGGGTGGAGGGTGGAGGGGGGGTGGGGCTAGCGACAGCCGCCTGGTGAAGTCGCTGCGAGTGATATCAGCCGGTGACAGCCGTGACAGCAGCCGGAGGAAGGGAGATGGGATCGGATGAGGAGGGCGGAAGGGAGGGAGGGAGGGAGGGGGGGGCAGGGAGCGGAGGGAGGAAGGAAGTCGAGCTGATGTAGTGGTGGCGTGGTAGCGCGGTGACGTGGTGGTGTGGTGGAGATGATAGTGACGATGATGCTATGATGACGATCACGATGGCATGACTCCAGGAGGCAGGCAGGTTGTGGTGACGATCATGGTGCCATCAGGCATGATCATGGGCCCATGGGCCACAGTTTGCGATGCCAGCTAGCTGCGGGGGGGCAATCGGTGAGAGGGGACAGCACAGCGCACCGGACAGTCCGCTGGTCATCCGTTCGTCGTCAGCTCCGTTTCTTCATTTCTTCGGCCAACGCCTGCCACCGGACACCGGACTCTCTCAAGTTTTTCGAGCAGGTAGGTTTTGAGCAGAGTGTGGGAAGTGGGGGGAGGGGGAGGGGGGCACACCGGTGGGCAGGCTAGCGAGGGGTTCTGGGACGGAACGGGAGAGGGGGGGGGGGGGGGTGAGATTGGAGACTGACGGAGCAAGGGGCGTTTACTTGGCATGGGTAGGGCGAGGAGGCGGCTTGGGAGGGCATGCCGCGGTCGTCTGTGTCGAGGTCGCTGTCGTCGTCGCTCGGTGCGCTGAGCCCGTTGCGGCCCGGGCGCGGCAGCGAGGAGAATGGGCTGCGTGTAGACGTGTCACCGGTGCGTGTGCAGCGGCGGCGCGGTGGAGGAGGTGGTGAAGGTGGCGGCGATCGGGATCGTGAGCGGCGACGGCGGGTAGCGTCGCGCAAGTCTGGCGAGTTTCTGCGCGCACGATCGATTGTGCGGAGTGCGGTGGAGGCTCTGGAAGACACGCACGATGAGGCGTGCGATGTGTGCGCGGATGGCGGCGATCTGCTTTGCTGCGACTCGTGCACGCGGGTGTACCACCTAGAGTGCCTAGGCATGCGCGAGAAGGACATTCCGCGCGGCAAGTGGGAGTGCGCCTACTGCACGTCGGCCGAAGAGGTGCGGATCCATGTGGTGCGGCTGTTTATGGGCGGGAAGGAGATTGACCCGAAGCGCCCGATTGGGCTGCCGCGGCCAAAGCTGCAGACGGAGACGCGGTCGCGGAAGCGGAAGCTCGGCTCGCCCGAGGTCGACAGCGTGGCGACGCCGGGCGCCGGTGTTGGGACGCCCAAGAGAAGACGAGGCCTTGGCTCGCCGGGACCGGTCTTTCTTCGCACGCCGCCACCGCAGACGGAGGAGGCCTTGGCGGCGGCGTCTCGGCGGGCGCGCGAGTGGGCGTCGGAGGTCCGAGGGAGCCGCCGTCTGTCGGACCTCCCCATGGGCTTTATCCACTCACAGTACCTGCAACGGTCGGTGCTCTCGGCGCTGGGCCTGGAGCCGTCGCCGCCGCGAGGGGCCAAGGCCGATGTGGTGAGCGAGGAGGAGCAGCTGGCACTAGCAGTTGCTGCGGCCGAAGCGAACAAAAGCCCGAGCCGCGGGCCGAGCAGCTCGCCGCGGCGGGCGTCGGCGCGGCTGCTGACTCAGGAGCGGACGTGGGCGGCGTGCGGGTCGTGGAAGCGGGCCATGGACCGATACCAGGCGCGGGTGGCGGCGCAGGGCGAAGGCGCGCTTGTCACACCGCTTGTTTTTGAGCTCTCAGAGTACTCATCGAGCGACGGCGAGAGCGGCGAGAACGGCGGCGGCGGCAGCGGCAGCGGGCCCAGTGATAGCGGGGCGGCGTCGGCGTCGTCGTCCGAGGACCTGTCGGACGCGCGGTTTGCCGAGTTTGGGCGGAACTTTGGCATGTCGCCCGAAGCTGCGTCGCGGCACCGAGTTCTGCTCAAGGCTGCCGAGAAGGAGCGGGTGCGGATCCACCGGATCGAGAAGCAGCGGCTGCAGCAGAAGCAGCGGAAGGAGAAGGCGGCCATGGACCGGTCGCCAATCCTTAAGTTTTGGCGGCGAACGCTCGACGCGCCGTGGGAAGTCCGCCGCAAGCCGGTTTTCCGACCCAAGACGCCCAAGCAAAAGATCATGGAGATGCCGCCGCGGTTCTGGCTCACGCACCCGTTCTCGCCGTTGTACTACTCGGACCTCTCTATTTCGCCGCGGACCACCAATGGGGTGTATGTGCCGTCGTCGCCCCGCTCGCCGCTGTCGGCGGGGGCAGCGTCGCCTAGAACTGTGGTCCGCTTCCCACCAGCAGCCTCACCATCGCCCAAGTGGTCCGGCCGCGGCAAGCACCCGGATCGGGTCATCTCGGCCTCAATCCTCGCCTGGAAACACGAGGCCGAGCGCCGCGAGGCCGCCGAAGAGGCTGCCGCCGAAAAGGCTGCTGCCGAGAAAGCCGCCGCAGAAGAGGCCAAGGCAAAGGCCAAAGCCAAGGCCGCCACTGAAAAGGCCAAGGTTAAGGCCAAGGCCAAGGCCAAAGCAAGTCCCAAGGCCAACAAGGCTAGCAAGACCAAGACTCCGGCAAAGGCCAAGACTAAGCCCAAGCCAAAGGCCAAGGCCAAGGCCAAGACTCCGGCAAAGGCCAAGACTCCGGCAAAGGCCAAGACTCCGGCAAAGGCCAAGGCAAGCTCTGGGAATGGCCGCAGTCGCGGCCGTGGGCGTGGATCGGCCAAAGGCGGCAGCAGTGGTCTCGCCCGCGGAGGCAAGGCCTCGAGCAAGAAGAAGCCGGCTTCACCGGCCAAGCAGTACGGTGGCATCAAGAAGCCCACCCCGCGCAAGTCGACAGGACGGGTGCCAGCTCGATCACGGGCACCCCCACTCAAGTATCGGTAATATGACTTCTGCCTTGGGCAACAGCGACAGCCACCGCCACCGCCAACCGTGTAGCCACCCAGCCACCGCCACCGACCTCAGCCACGGGCGCCGGCCACTGGCGCCGGCAAGTGGCCACACGTCACGCACCAACCACCATGGACAACTCCATTACGCAGATGCTGCGTGCAGCAGAGCACGAGGCCGAGGAGATTATTGCAGCAGCCAAGGCGGGTACGTATCTGGAGCAGGAGAGGAAGAGGGAGGGCGGGGAGGGGGGCGGGGGCGGGGGGCGGGGGGGGGGGGGTGACGACCGTCGGCGATGGGCAGCGTGTGACCTGGGGGTGTGGGCAGTTCTTTTTTGTGGGCCGCAGCAAGGAGGGGGTGAGGGGCATGGTGCGGTGCACGGTATGAGGGCAGGGGAGTGGAGAAGGAGAGGGAGGGAGGGAGGGGGAGGGGAGAAGGGAGGGAAAGGAATGAGGGGGGGGGGGGGGGTTGAGGGGGGAGGGAGGGGGGGAGGGTGGCAGGCGACTGATACTCATGGCGAGGTCGGGCGGCGGACGTCGGACGGACGGACGGATGGACGGACGGACGGACGAATGGATGGATGGACGTATGGACAAACACACTGCTGGGCAACAGCACGGAACGCCAAGCTCCGGCGTGCGGCCGACGAGGCTGCAGCCGAGGCAGACGCGATCCGGAAGCGCAAGCAGGCTGAGCTTGACAACTACCAGTCTCTGCATGCGGACGAGGTGGCGCAGGAGGAGCAGGCGGCGGCAGCGCGCCAGGCTGAGGAGACTGCGCGGATCCAGGCGGCGGTGGCCGACCGGGCGGATGTGGTCATCGACATGCTGCTCGACGCCGTGGTCGAGGTCAAGACGGACGTGCACAAGAACGTGGCGCTGGCGCACGCGCGGGCGGATGCACTCAAGAACTAATGAACTCGGTGTAGCACCAGCTGGCTGAAGCGGATTTACTGCTGCGGCTCGTAGCGGACAAACGAGGAGAGGTCGGTGTAGGAGACCGACTGGGCGCGGGTAGCGGCCTGGAGGTCAAAGGGCGCGTAGACGAGCTGGTGGTGCTCGCCAAGGAGACGGTCCTTGGCGTCCGAGGCGTAGATCTTGGTCACCGAGGAGTACATGCCCTTGACGACGTCGCCGTCGTCGACGGCGTAGCCGATCTTGACAAGATCGTCCACAGCGTCGCGGGTGACGGTGGCGGTGATGGTGACAAGCTCGCCGGAGCCGTCGGGCTTCTCGAGCGAGGTCTCGAGGAAGAAGGCGTCGATGCCAGACTCGTCCATGGTGGCGAGGCAAGCGTGCTTGACCGGGCGCAGGTGGAAGGCGAGGTTGGCGGTGCGCGAGACAATCTCGGGCGCGCTGCCGTCTTCCTCGGCCATGATAGCCTCACCAATGTTGATGGGCTTCGGCTCCTCACCGCGGGCGATGGCGTCGACGTCGGCCTGGGTGTGGAGGGTGTAAAAGTAGACGGCGTTGACCGAGTGGAGGTAGGCCGAGGTCGAGGTCGGCGGGATCTGGGCCTGGGCGCGGACCTCGGCGAGGGCGGCGGTGCCGGCGTCGGTCTGGCCCATGTCGACGAGCATGCACGCGTGATGGTTGGCGACAGCGTTGTAGATGGGCGACGAGTGCGGCATGCCCTCAGCGTCGAGGGCGGCGAGAATGTCGGCGTAGACAAGCTCAGCGTCGTCGAAGCGGCCAAGGAGGCGGTAGACGGAGGCGAGGGTGCAGATGCCGTGAATGGTGAAGAGCGTGGTCTTGCCGATGTGCTCCGAGCCGACGGCAATGACCTCGGTGAGGAGCTCGACGGCCGGCTCGAGGTTGTTCGTCGCCTTGTGGATCTTGGCAATGAGGAACTTAGCCGACGCAATCTGGATGTGCTTCTCGGCAGAGGCCTCAGCGGTGTCCTCGGCGGCAGCCTCAAAGACCTTGAGCGCGCGGAAGGCAAACTTCTCGGCCATCGGATACTGCCGCAGGTCGATGAGCGTGTTGGCCATGGAGATGAGGACCTGGACGGCCGCCGGCGAGTCCTCGCCCATGGCGTGGCACCGAATCTCGTACGACTTTTGCTGCATGGCCAGCGCCTTCTCGTCCTCCTTGGTTGTCGAGTACAGCGTGGCCAGCTGCTGGAACGGGCGGTCGGCGAGGATGTGGTTCGGGCCAAGCATAGCTCCAATCATCTCCAGCGACGAGACAAGGCACTGCTCCGCATCGCTGAACGCGCGCAGCTGGATCAGCTTCTCGCCCGTCGAGATGAGCGAAAGCATCTGCTGCAGCTGCTGCCGCTCCGCCATCGACATGCCCTGTGTGTTGAGCATGATCCGCCCGTCAGGCTGGACCTGCAGCGCTGCGCCACCGGACGCCGAGCCAGCCTCGCCACTGGCAGCAGCAGCAGCAGCAGCGGGCGCCGCAGCAGGTGCCGGAGCAACAGCATCAGCAGCAGCACCAGCAGCACCAGCAGTCGCGGGCGCAGGCGCATCGCTTGCCTCCTTCTTCCCCTTGGCCACCGCAGCGTTGTACCGCGCGCGCGCACGCCAATACTCAAAGTACATCCAGCCGGCGACGGCAGCCGAGAGGCCGGCCTTGACCTGCCATGGCCACTTGAACGGGTTGAGCGCGGACGACATACGTTTGGTGGTCGGCAGAGGGGTGGTTGTTGCCGGCCGGGGGATGGATGGCGATGGAGATTCTGTCGCGTCATGCGTAGCTGGCGGGCTTGGGACTGGGCGAGCTGGTTTTTCGGCTCTCAGCGTCGGATGCGGGGCGTGATGCGAGCACCAAGGACATGGCAAGGTAGTTTGGGATGTGAGCTTGATGGGACGCACGTTATATGTACGTGACAAGGCGCGTAGCGGTAGAGCGAGGGGAGGAGAGAGCTTGTCGAGGAAAATCGGGCATGCACGTAAAACAGCATTTAAGCTATAAATATATATATATGTGCGATTGTAAAAATATGATTGTATGTAGTGTATGTCATATTTTGTATAATGTACAATTATGACGTGTAATATATATATAATGAATATATTTAGTGTTTTGGGACTCGATTTGCACTCTTTTTGTTGTTTGCAGTTTGCTTTCAACCCCAGCCTGAAACTCCCAATGCGGGCTTGGGCTCGAGCACGGGCTCGGGCCCACCAGGCACCACCACAGACCACCACCAGCGCCCGCCCATCGTGGCCGCTTTATCGGAAGGATGCACCCACTCTGGGCTCACATCACCTACGTTTGCTTATTTACTTGGCGCCATCCTCTCCTTCCTGCGGATGAGCTCCTCAGCAGCGGCAAACAAGTTCTTGCCCATGAAGAAGCGCTCCAGAAGAACAAAACGCGAGCCAATGTTGGGTTGGCAAGGAGCTCGTCGATGCCTGCCTCGGACAGACTGTGCGGCGGTGCGGCGAGCACAGCTCGGATGCCCCTCGTCAAGATGGGGAGGATGTAGCTGGAGGTGATGTCCTTGACGGCGCGGCTAAACTGTCCCCGCGGAAGGCTGCCCGCCACATAGGCCTCGACCTTGCCGCGAACCGATGGCAGCACGACAGCAGTCTTGGGATTGTTCAGCACGATCTCCAAGGGGTTGGGCGGCGGCGGCGGCGGGGAGGGATCGCCAGCGATCGCAAGCGGGCCGGGCGAGAAGCGGTCGTCGAATGCCCAGAGCGGAAGCCTGGGCAAGCAATAGTTGCGCAGGATTTTCATGGCGGTCCGCCTGCGCTTGCGGGGCAGAGATATGCTGGAAGCGCGACGCGGATTGGCGGCCTGGATTCCGGCCGCCACCGAGCCGTACTTGGCTGTCACTGCTTTGATGATCTCCTTGCCGTCGAAGAGCCTGATAGGCATCCCAAAGCTGTTGACGCGCCTCTCGGCCGCGATGCCGACCAAATCGGCCGAACGAAGGCCGAGCTGGATAGTGGCACGTGAGTAAGAAATCTTATCCCGGCGACCAGCCGACGAGTTGACATAGAACATGATGCAGTCGTTGCAGATCGGGTCGGGGCCCCAGTCGGCGCCGCGCACCTTGCCGACCGCGCAGAGGCAGACAGGGCATCGCCGGGCAGCGGCGTCGAGAATGGCCTGATAGACAACGCCAGGTGTGCGACAGTCGAGAGATGAGACCAAGGTGTTGGAGGAGAGGGTCTCGAACACCGCGTCGGCGTGTGCCCGCCACAGTAGGTTGTCGCGCCCGATGGCGTACAGCCGCCGGCATGTCATGAGAATGTTGACCAGGTTCGGCACCTCTAGGTAGTGCAGAATCAAAAGAAGCAGCTCGTCCGGAAGCTCGATGAGCATCGACGGCCAGCTCGATCGATACTGTATCCACGCACAGCATCGGCGGGCCTCGGCGGCTGACATCTTGCTCCGCCCCGGCACGCCAGCCTCCTTCAGCCATGCCCTGATCGCTTTGGTGCTTTGCTGCGCCACCTCGGCATGCACCGCAGCAAACGAGCGGAAAGGCGCAAAGTTGATCACATGCGGCGCCAGCTCGGCCTGGAGCGGCTTGGCAGGCGGCATCATGTCCGGGACAACCTCGCCCGCTCCCGCAATCCGGACCACAATCTGGGCCTTGGTCCCCCTGGAGCTGACCCCGAGCTTCTTGGCCATATCCACGAGCTCTGTCTTTTTCATCGCCATCAGATTGCGCGAGATGTTGGGTCCCGTGCACGCGCGGGGGGGCTCGACCTGAGCCTCGACTATCCCCCCTTCCCCTCCCCCTCCCCCTCCTGCTCCTCTCGTGCCTCCACTCAGTGCCAGGTCGTCCGCAGGCCCACACTCCGCCTCACGGGCCACCGGCTCAGTCTCTGCCTTGCGCGTGACGTTCGGCTCACTAGCCATTGTGCTCTGGGCCAGCTCTGCTTGACTACGCTCGTCTGAGCTCGGGAGGCGGAGAGGGGTGTGTCGTCTTTCGCCTGTCGAGTTGCCAACCCTCGGGCCGAAAAGTCGGCCCATAAAAGGTCGTAGTTCTGGGCTACTTGGGGGAAATGGGCCGACTGGAGACGGAGTGCGCAGAGGACACGTGCTGGAGGACTCTCTCGTACATGCATGCTCCCTGTTACCCCCGTTCATCTGTTGTTCCGGCCTGTCTCGGCATAATACCGATCATGATCCTCATGGCTCTCGCTCGCCTGTCTGCGAGTCACGACGTCCAAAGCCGCAGACCGCCAACTGCCCAAGCTCAAAACCCACGACCCCGCCGCCCACTCTGCATGCACCCATACCGTCACCGTATACCTCATCCTGCATCTGTTCTCGTGTCCACACTCGCCGTTATCGCCCTGACCCCTCTTTCCCTCTCCTCTCGACTGAGAGCCCACTCACCCCCACCTACCCCACCTCGTCATGACAGGCGCACGTGCGAGCCTTGCACTTTTTGCAGCACTTTCGCGCATCCGCAGGCTTCAGCGCTGCCGAGACCCTTCACCTCACTTCCCCCCCCCCCACCCCTCCCCACATGCACCCCTTCGTCACCCTGGTCCTCCTGCTTCTTGCAGTGGTATGCACTGGTGCATGTCCCACCGTCAACACTCTCCCAGATGCTGTTGCCATGCCGTCGGCCCCCGGCTCGGCTTGTCTCTATAGTGGGGGTTTCTCTCGTACATGCATGCTCCCTGTTACCCCCGTTCATCTGTTGTTCCGGCCTGTCTCGGCATAATACCGATCATGATCCTCATGGCTCTCGCTCGCCTGTCTGCGAGTCACGACGTCCAAAGCCGCAGACCGCCAACTGCCCAAGCTCAAAACCCACGACCCCGCCGCCCACTCTGCATGCACCCATACCGTCACCGTATACCTCATCCTGCATCTGTTCTCGTGTCCACACTCGCCGTTATCGCCCTGACCCCTCTTTCCCTCTCCTCTCGACTGAGAGCCCACTCACCCCCACCTACCCCACCTCGTCATGACAGGCGCACGTGCGAGCCTTGCACTTTTTGCAGCACTTTCGCGCATCCGCAGGCTTCAGCGCTGCCGAGACCCTTCACCTCATTCCCCCCCCCCCACCCCTCCCCACATGCACCCCTTCGTCACCCTGGTCCTCCTGCTTCTTGCAGTGGTATGCACTGGTGCATGTCCCACCGTCAACACTCTCCCAGATGCTGTTGCCATGCCGTCGGCCCCCGGCTCGGCCTCACTTGCCGCCGGCGACTTTTTCGCCACCGGCGCCCTCTCTGTCGTTGCCGCACCCCCGTCCGGCGGAGACATCATCGCCTTCCGCGCCGCCTCGCCGGGGGTCTTCGATCAGCCGGTTGTTCTTTCCTCGGCCGAGTTCGTCGGGCCCAAGCTTGTGCGCGCTGCCCACATCACCCATGACTCGTACCCGGACATTGTGGTGGCCAACTCGGGCCCGTCCCCCGAGCTCGCTGTCCTCGTCAACATCAACCAAACTTCTGGGGGCTTTGAGCGCGTCCGCATCTACACGGCGATCAGCAACGTGCGCGACATGGTTGTTGCCGCGCCTGCCGGCGACTCGGTCCTCCATCTCTTCTACATCGATAATTCTGGCACCAGGGCCATCGCCGGTCTCGCACAGCTTGCGGCTCGGAAGCAGGCAGGCGTTTCGGTTCCGGTTGGGCACATCGGAATGGCCATGGCATTAGCCACAGGCGACACCAACGGTGACGGCCTCACCGAGGTTGTCATCCTTCAAGACACAGGCATCAAGGCCTTGAGGATGAACGCCACCAGCACTCAAGTGCTCGAGCACCGGTGGCTTGTTGACTTTACCCCCGAGCGGCTGCCTACCTCGAGCTCGGCCTCCATTGCAGTTGCTGACTTTGATAGCGATGGCCGTGACGATGTTGCTGTTGTTGTTGCCGCCTTGGACACCGTCACAGTCTACCTTGCCTCCCAGGCCCCTCCGCTTGTTGTCGATCCCGCTTTCGATGGCGTTGATGTCGTGCGCGCCTGTGACATCAACAGCGATGGACTGCCCGACCTGGTTGCTGCTGCCTCGACGGGCGACACCATTCGTGGCTATTCTGGTCTCGGGGTCGACGGCTTTGTTCAAACACACGCCGCTGTTGCTTTGTCGCTGCCCTCTGTCCACACCCTTCTTGTCCACGACTTTGATGCCGATGGCACCGACGATGTCATGGCTTCCTCACTCGTCGCATCCGACTTGTTTGCGTGGTACCCCTCGAAACGTCCTGCGGCTGCCTCATGCTTTGCCGCCTCTCCTGCCGTTATTGCCGCCACTGCTGTCGGAGCGGACGTTGTTGCCGCCGTGGACATCAATGCTGACGGCTTTGTCGACATTGTCGCCCGGACCTCTGCAACAGATCTTGTCGTTTACATCAACGTCGACGGCCGCGGAGGCTCCTGGCTAGCACAACCCAGCTCGGTGGGGATGGTGAGCGCTGATCCAAACTTGCGCACTGTTGTCGACGTCAACAACGACGGCTTTGTGGATGTGCTTTCCTCGAATACCGTTTTCCCTGGCGGTGATCCTGGTGTTCCTGGGGACTACTTTCTCTTTACCAGCCATGTTGTGTTTACCATTCTGTTTGACCCTGTCAGCGCTCTCGTCGCCGACTTGGACGGCAACAGCTTCTCGGATGTCGTGGCCTTTACCACCACTGCCGTCCTTTGGGCCGAGCAAGAGCATACTAGAACATGGAAGCTTGCTGTGCAGCTCTTTGCTGTTGACACGCTCACAGCTGGAGCAGTGGGAGACATGGATGGTGATGGAGCGGTAGACTTTGTCTACGCCGACGCTGCCAGTGGGCACATGCTGTGGCGTTCCAACAACGGGCCGCCGCTTGTAGGCCCGCCGATGCCGGCAGCTTCCCTCGCCAACGTCACCGCCATCGTTGCTGCTGATGTTGACGCTGACGGCTCGTGTGATCTTGTGGCCACCGACTCTGTCCTTGGCCTCCTTTTGTCCGCAACCAGGGTGGCGGTGCATCGTTCGCCTTTCCAGCTGTTGTCGACTTTGTTGCGGACTCGACGTTCCCGTCGGTCTTAGTCGTCGATCTTGACAGTGACAACGACGCAGACATAGTGGCTGTCAACGACAAGAGTCCTGGCTTTGTTGCATGGTACGAGTTTACAAGCGCCGGCAGCTTTTCGCCACGCATTGTTGTTGTGGCCGGCAGCGGCTTTGATCGGGCCGTTGTCGGCGACATCGACGGCGACTCGTTCCTCGACATCATCGTTTCGTCGGCCTCGCTGGACAAGATCTCTTTCTTTGCCGCGCGGCCTGCGCCCAACTGGCAGCCGCATGCTGTTCGCCACCTTGCCTCGACCAACTTTCGTGACATTGTCCGTGCCACTCACATGACATGCTCGTCTGCTCGGGTCATCCTTCCTCCGGACGCCGTCATCGGTTTCTGCCCGTCGCGCAGCCACGCACTCATTCCAGCTGGGGCACACGTTCACATTCAAGCTAGTCCTGGCTCGCATGCCACGATTGATTGCGGATCCAACGGCGGGCTCTTCTTTGATGTCCGCGGCAGGCTCTCGGTGACCAACGTCGACTTTGCCAACGGCACCGCCGGCACATCCCTCACGGCCGCATCGCCGTTGCGAGTCACAAATTCGGCCGCATCGCTCTCTCTGCTCAACTGTACTGTATCACGATGCTCGACGGCCACCACGTCCCGACTGCTGCTGTACGCCGGCCTCGGCGGAGCTGTCGCGGTCGTCGACGGTGCAGGGCTCAAGCTCGACGGCGTGTTGCTCTCTGACAACACCGCCGCTGTGGCCGGCGGCGCCGTGGCCGTTGTCGGCGCTGGCTCCTTTGTCTCGGCAGCCAACACCGTCTTTACCCGCAACGTTGCGCTCGGGACTTCTGCCGATCGTGGCGGTGGAGGAGGCTTGTTTGTTATTGGCGGCACACTATCGGCTTTGGACAACCTTCACGTCGTACACAATGAGGCGCGCCATGCCTCGGGTGGCGGGGTGCTTTCAGACTCGGGCATACTTTTGCTCACGCACGCTGTGGTCTCTGGAAACTCGGCCGCACTTGCGGGTGGATGTTTTGCGCTTCGATCCTCTGTCGCGCTTGTCAACGATGGAATCCTGGGTGGCTGCACTGCAGCCTTTGGTGGCTCGGTGGCGAGCATCGCTACTGACTACTCGTTTCCATCCCGCCCGACGCTCTCGGCCGTCCATCGATTCTCTGGCCCTGCAGGCACATTTCCGAGTCTACAATTGGCAAGAACCGAGTTGCAGAGCTCGTCGGCGCCGTTTGGGTGTGACATGTTCCTCTGCGGTGAGCCTGTGGACGTGCGCCCGCTGTCCCCGGCACTGCTCGATGTACTGGCCTGTGTCTCGCCGGGTAGCACGCCTGACATCCCGCCGTCGAGCTGGCTCACCACTTCAGCGAGTACGACGGCGAGCTGGAGTACACCGCCGATCTCGCTCGTGGCAACGGCCGGAACGTTGCCGCGGAGCGTCATCTCCGGCACTGCACTCGGCAGTGGCGAGTTCAAGGTGTATGATACCTTTGGCAACCCTGTACTCGACCCGGCGCTCGTGGTGAGAGCATCCACAAGCACGTCCAATGTCGAGCTCGGCAAGCTTCTCACCGGCGCCGGCTTTGACCCGCGATCGCAAAGTGCGTTTGTGGGTCAGCTCGAGATCGTCGGAGCGCTAGACGTGCTCGACGGTGACACACTAGTCGAGCTCCCAGTCTCGGTTGTCTTTGCGCTCGACGGCGAGCCCGCGGCCGAGCCACCGATGCTTGTTCACGACTTGCTTGTCACCAACTGCCCCTCCGGGTTTGGGCGTGTGGCCAGCGCCGTTGCGAGCGAGCTGGTGTGTGGCAAGTGCTCGGCCGGCGGCTACTCAGCCGGCGCGTCGTCGGCGCCGTGCCTGGCGGTGCCCGAGTGCCCGGACCACACGGTTCGGATGGAAGCGCCGTCGGCGGTCAACACATCGGTGGCGATTGTGCCGTGCACGTGCTCGCCGAACTACTGGGTTCCTAGCGGCGTAGTTGATCGCCCATGCGTTGCCTGTCCGCGCGGCGGGGTGTGTCGCGGTGGGCTTGCCGTGCCTGTTGCCGCACCAGGCTTCTTCCCCGACTCGAGCGATCCTACTCTGTTTGTCGCGTGTCCGACGCCTGAAGCCTGCGCTGGCAGCGGCGACTGCCGTCCCGGATACGCATCTCGGCTCTGTGCCCAGTGCGCGTCCGGATACTACCGGTTGGCTGGGCGTTGCCACAAGTGCACGCCAGGCGTCAACGCCATTGTTCTTGCCGTTTTGGTTGTTGGTGTGCTGGCAGTGGTCACCACCTTTATTGTCTTCAACCTCTCGCCTAGCGTGAGCTACAAGTTTGCAGCGGCCATGATCGGGCTCAACGGTTTGCAGATCTCGGCCATGTACGGTCGGCTCGAGCTAGAGTGGGGTTCGTTTGCGCGAGTCTACTTTGACATTGCCTCGGCACTCAACGTCAACATTGAGCTTAGCTCGCCCGAGTGCTCGGCAGCAGCCGGCACCGACGTGTGGGTCCTCAAGCTTGTGCTCACGCTCCTCCTCCCGGTGTTTGCCGCCGTCGTTGTCGTCGCTATCGCTGCCCTGCTGTGGGTGGCCGGCAGGCTGGGCATACCCTGGCTCTCGAACAAGTCAACCGCCGAGGTGACGTCGGCGGCGGGCCGGACGTGGTTCCAGATCATGGTTCTCCTCTTTCTCCCGCTGGCCTCGGCCGGGTTTTCGGTCTTTGGCTGCCGGCGCGACGAGTCTGGCCGGTGGCTCTTGGACGCTGATCCGGCACGGAGCTGCTACAACGATGCCTGGTGGCGCGGCCTCTTTGCGCCGGGCCTCCTTGCCGTCAGTGTGTACGGCTTTGGCTTTCCGGCATGCGTCTATGGCGTCCTCGTCAGCCGCCGCCGCAAGCTGGACGCTATCACCTTTACGCTCCGATTCGGCTTTCTTGTTGCCCGCTTTGTTGACACTGCGTGGTGGTTCGAGACCGCCATCATGGCGCGCAAGCTCGGCATTGTCATCGCCATGACATTTTTCTTTACCACCTCGGGCAAGGCCGCCGGCGCGCTCTTTGTTCTCGCATGCTGCGTCGTCGACCTCGCACTCCGTCGGCCGTACATGGCGGTTTTCACAATCACATGGCCATCGTAGTCCTTGGCGCTGTCGCCGCTGTCCTCTTTGCCGGCACCGTGGCCGATGCCCACGTCCGATCTATTGGTATTGTTGCCGGCATCTGCGTCAACGTCCTCGCCATTGTTGTTGGTAACGTCCTCGACTTCGTCCGCCTCGCCCGCGCTGAAAAGCGCGACGACGACGTGTTTGCGCACGAGACGGCAGTGCTTGACGGCGTCGACGACTGGGACACCGACGGCATTGACATCAGCTTGCAGTCGTCGATGTCATCGATAGAAATGACTCACTGCGCGAGCGAGTGCCGCCTTGCACCAAGCCTTGCCACTCCCTTGCATCTCGCGAGCAATACCAACGCGTGCTCCAACATCACGAGCGCCTCGGACGCCTCGGACGACTTTTCGTCGATCCCAACCCCCGCTCCGTTACCCGTCCCCGACTCTAGCCCCTAGCCGACGCTTCCTTTAACCTCCCGCCTTGGCCGCAGAGTGTTTGCAACAAGGCCGATGGCAGCATCCTTTCCTTTCGTTGAGCGCTGCCTGGCAGAGTAGCACCATGGCTGCGCGTCCGAAAATCCGAACTTCCTCCCTCGCCATCCCGCGGCGCGCTCGGCGGCAGAAGCCGGCGTCCACGGTGACGCATAAAACGGAGCAGCGATGGAGCGGCAAGCCAGCGACGGGCGAGCAGGGCAGGCAATCAGTATCACCTACAGCGCTTCTTATCATGGACTCTGAACTCGCAGCGCTTGTGATCGACAATGGATCGGGCATGTGCAAGGCCGGGTTTGCCGGCGACGACGCGCCGCGGGCGGTCTTTCCCTCTGTTGTCGGCCGGGCGCGATACAACAGCGTGATGGTGGGCATGGGCGCCAAGGACTCGTTTGTAGGTGACGAGGCTCAGGCCAAGCGTGGCGTACTCACACTCAAGTACCCGATCGAGCACGGCATCGTGACCAACTGGGACGACATGGAGAAGATCTGGCACCACACGTTCTACAACGAGCTGCGCGTCGCGCCCGAGGAGCACCCGGTCCTCCTCACCGAGGCGCCGCTCAACCCAAAGGCCAACCGCGAGAAGATGACCCAGATCATGTTTGAGACCTTTAACGCGCCGGCCATGTACGTCGCCATCCAGGCCGTGCTCTCGCTGTACGCCTCCGGCCGTACCACCGGCATCGTCCTCGACTCGGGTGACGGTGTCTCGCACACGGTCCCGATCTACGAGGGTTACGCGCTCCCGCACGCCATCCTCCGCCTTGACCTCGCCGGGCGCGACCTCACCGAGTACATGTCGCGGATCCTGATGGAGCGCGGGTACTCGTTCACCACCACCGCCGAGCGCGAGCTCGTTCGCGACATCAAGGAGAAGCTGGCGTACGTGGCGCTTGACTTTGATGCCGAGCTTGCGCTTGCGGCGGCGTCGTGCGGGACGACACGCGAGTACGAGCTGCCTGATGGACAGGTCATCACGATTGGCAACGAGCGGTTCCGCTGCCCCGAGGCGCTCTTCCAGCCATCGTTCCTTGGCATGGAGGCTGCCGGCATCCACGAGACCACGTTCAACACCATCATGAAGTGCGAGATTGACATCCGCAAAGAACTCTTCTCCAACGTCGTCCTCTCTGGCGGCACCACCATGTTCCCCGGCATGGCTGATCGCATGCTCAAGGAACTCAAGGCTCTCGCTCCGGGCGCTACCAAGGTCAAGGTCATCGCCCCGCCTGAGCGGAAGTACTCTGTCTGGATCGGCGGCTCCATCATGGCCTCGCTGTCATCGTTTGAGCAGATGTGGATCACCCGCGACGAGTACGACGAGTGCGGTCCGGCCATTGTCCATCGCAAGTGCCTGTAGAAGTGGTGCGCACTACGTCAGCCGCGCGCCGACGCATCCGCGTATCACCAGTGGATCTGCTCGGCCGCATGCCGGCCCGGCCGGTGACGCGTGGGCCCAGCGCGGGCCTGGTCTCAGGCTCGCTGGTCGACACTGAGCTTAAGGACGTCACGCACGCCGGCTCGATGGCCAGCTCCGGTTTTTTGTCGGCCAGCAGTGAGTCTTCTGGCTCATCAGAGCTCGTTTCGTCAGCCACCTTGACGGACGCGCGAAAGAACCGCGCGCGGAGCCAGAGAAAGATAAACGAGGCCATCAAGACCGAGTTGATCAGCAGGAGGACAACGATCAGCAACTGCTGCGAGTCGGACGAGGCGTCTGTGCCGTCGCGAAGCGAGGCACCGGAAATGATGGTCACCGCGACAATGGTGAGGGCAGCTTCCTCGAGATGGTTGAGCATCGGCGACTCGAACGGCCGCAGGCGGGTGTTGAGCAGGACGCCAAAGACCACGACCGCCGTGCCACCAGACGAGATCTGCAAGTCAACAGAGTCGATGAAGACCGCCACCGCCACAATGATCGACTTGCGGGCCATGACCAGAAACTCAAAGAACCAAACATCGGCTCGGTAGCCGTCGACCAGGAACGAATGCCGGGCACGGAAGGCATCGAGCGAGCCCAGCCGGGAAAGGTCCCACCTAAAGTAAGAAAACCAACAAGCGGGACACCGACGACGTAGACAAGGACGCCGGCGCCGGCAGCAATGGCGTAGTCGAGGTGCTTGCCTTGGTAGCAGACCGTGTCGAGATCGGGCTTGAGCCGCAGCTCGCCGGCAAAGCTCTGGCAGTGGAAGACGAGCAGGATTTGGCGCACAATCGTCGGGTAGACGAGAAAGACGGCAATGGTACCGGCCTGGAGCGCGGCCACCTGATGCGCCGAGTAGCTGGTTACGAGCTCGGCCGGCCACGATGGATGCGCGCCGCGGCAGAAGAGGAACCGCAGCCACGAGCCGCCGGTCGACTTGGCGAAGAGTGCGGCGTAGACGCTCCGGACAACAACTACGATGATGAGCGGGAGGATCATGTAAAAGACAAACTCGTCGAAAAAGCCGTGGCCGGTGAGGCACACCAGGGCGAAAAAGTCGGCCGAGAGCAGAGCGCCCGACGACGCGCCCGAGACGTACGACTGGAAGAGCGTCGAGGTTTGCGACTTGAACGACGACGCCAGCGAGAGCATCTGCAGGTACGACAACGCAATCTTGAGGACAAGCGACTGGATTTGGGTGCCGGAGCCAGCCTTGCGAATGAGGTAGACAACCACGGCGATGACTATGACAAAGAGAACGATCGTAGCGAGCGCTGCCGCCCAGACAGGCCAGCACTCTTGGCACACATGCCCAACCTTGGCTGCCCCGGCCTTGCACCGGTGGCAGAGAAAGGCGTTTGGCGCATATTCAGACGCACATACCGAGTACTGTGGACCGCCCGGGCATGAATCGGGATTGACACACTCGAAGAACTCGGCGACGTGGAGGCCATCGGCGTTGCTCCCGGCCGGATACCAGTATCCCGACGCAGCGTGCAAGAACACGCCGTCCGGCCCACACTCGCCTCCTGGGGGGCACGCAGTACACGCTGTCGCGCCTTCAAACGCGTAACTTCCGCCACCACATGGCTTGCACTGCTTGTCTTGGTGTTGCGGCGATGACTGCGAGCTGCCGCGCGGACACGGCGAGCAAACCGACGCCGCGCCGGCGGTCTTGTTGACAAACGTGCCGGCGCCGCACAGTTCGATGCATGTGTACCGGCCGGCAATGACCGAGCCGGTCAGGCCCGACGCGCATTCGGTGGCCCGGACCGAGAGTGCTACTGGCGCCCCGACACACGGAGCGGCATCGAGCACAACCGCGAGGACAACCGGCACAGACGTAGCGTTGGCAGAAGTGGCAAAGAGGCCCAGCGTCGGCAGGCTGCACTGTCCTCCTGCAGCGACGTCGAGGCTGCACGTTGCCTCGGCAGCATCGTGCGACGACGCAACTGCGAGTGAGCTCGCCAGCGCGAGCGGCGCTAGCCGCGGCGGTTCTAGGCTTGCCGGATCGCCGGCCGGTCGCACCATCACCCGCAGCACATCGCCGGTAATGACAGATTGGTTGTAGACGTCGGTGGCAAAAAAGACGGCGCCTGGAAGCGGATTGTTCCCGGACGGAACTTCCAAGGATGTGCTGGCCCCGATGCCGCCACCAACAACGCCAACGGCGACAGCGTCCGACGCGGAGATCGGGCCCTGGGCCGCGGCATTGGACGCGGCGGCGGTGGCGGCGTACGCGGCAGCGTCCCAGTTGATGAGCGCTCTGTCAATGCCGTCGGGCCGCGGCTGGGTGGCGAGGCACGTCGCTGCAGCACGACCACACTCGGCAGCGAGCCGGCACTCAAAGGTGCCGCCACCAGCGAGCGTTGCAGCGTTGGATGCAAAGAGCGATCCAGACCCAATGACTGCCTGTGCCTCGTCAGTGACAAACAAGCCGCCACCGTAGCGATCTGCGGTGTTGCCAGCAAACGTAGAGGCGGTTGCGGTCAGTATGCCGCCACGGAGAAGGGCACCGCCGCCGGCAAGCGATGCCGAGTTGCTCGAGAGGACGGCAGAAATCATGGTCACTGCCCGCGGAACAGCCGAGAGTGAGCTAAAGGCGAGGCCGCCGCCGGATGCGGCGTTGTTGTTGACAAGGCTGCTACTTGTAACAGTGGTCGGCATGCCCAGGACGTAGAGGCCGCCGCCGAGCGAGGCCGCCGAGTTGGCGTACCAAGACACCGCGCTCCACGCGGTGTTGATAAGTTTGCCGCGGAGTCGCACGCGGGCGAGTGCGCCGCCACCACCATGACTGGCCGAGCCATCGAGGCCAATGGCCGAGTTACCAGCCATAACCGCGTCGGTGACGGTGAGCGAGACCGGATCCTCCACCGCGAGGCCACCGCCGCCGAGCGCCACCGAGGTGTTGATGTGTAGGTTTGGGCCGAGAGACAAGTCCATGGCGCCAACCATCGCTACACCACCGCCGAGACCGAGCCGAGCCGCGCAGTCAGTGACGTGGACATCGGCAAAGGTGGCAATCTGTGTGACGGCCGTAGCGGTGACGAGCGAAAGCCCGCCGCCGGATCCAGAGAGCGCGGTGCAGGACGAGATTGTGACGCTCTTGATCGAGACGACAGTGCCCGAGCCGGGCGGCGAAGTGATGGCGATGGCGATGCCTCCACCGGACGTCTGGGCTGTAGAACTGGACACGGTGACCGAGTCGAGCGTGGCGCCCGCATCGAGAAGCGCAATACCGCCGCCTGTTGCACCACGGCAGCTGCTCACGACCAGCGACGAGAGGGTCGGGCCCGGGACGGCGTTGGCGACGTGGATGGCACCAGCCAAGCTCGCAGCGGTGCCGTCGCCATTGCGGATGGTCATGTGCGAGATGATGGTGGAAGTGTGCATGTTGGCCGGGCCGCCGACAGCCACCGGGTCAAGGCGAAAGGCGATGCCTGTGCCGGCACAGTCGATGATGACGTCGTCCGGCGACGCGCCGCCGCCGCGAATGTTGGTGGCCGAGGTGAGAAGGATGCCGGTGGCCGGACATGACGACCAGGTGCCGGGCGCCAGCTCAAAGGTGGCGTAGTTGGTGACTAGCGTGGTGTTTGCAAGCGCAGCAGAGAGGCAGTCGAGCGAGTACACGGCAGTCCCGTGATGCGCGCAGATGGTGGCGTCGAGTACGATGGCCTCGGCGTAGCAAGTGACAAACTCGGGGGAAAACAAAGCGAGCTTTGCAATGACGAGGGCGGTGCCTCCGACGCCGAGGTCTGCAACAGCGTGCATCTGTGCATTTGGAAGAATGCTCGGCGTGGTAAAGGTGAACGGGAGGGTGTGCAGCGAAGAGTACGCGTTGAGATTGCCCTCGGGCCCGGGCGCATCCATCGAGTAGGCATACGTTCTTAGCATGCCGACGTTCATCCGGTTGTTGTGGAGGATGGCAAAGCCGCCGGCAAGCGGGCGAATGGCGCGCGGATACCATCGGCCGATGGGCTCTTCAGGATGGAGCCAGGTCTTTGGAGTGGCGACTGTGAGGTCCGAGCGGATGCCGGCAGCGTAGAGTGGGATCTCACCCGAGTTGAGGTCAGCAAAGGTAATGACCATGCCCCCGGGCACTGCGGTGCCGATGAGCGGATGATAGACCAAGTTTGGCGAGACCAAAGCTTCAAGGCTGCTCGAGCGGCTTGTGGTGCCTGTAGTGGCGTTGAGAATGCGGATTTTGCTGGTGGCGCTGGACGACGTCTCCTGGGCCAACACAACAGCCTCGTCCTCTCCGAGCGAAAAGGCCGACGGGTTTTCTGTCGATGAACCTAGACCTGTAGCAGGCACAATGGCCGACGCCAGCTGCGGGCCGTAGACGGCAAAGATAGCCACGTTGTTCCACGAGGTGATGGTAACCACCACATTGCCGGAGGGCAGAACCTCGAGCGCGGTCGGATACTGGCCATTTGTGACGAAAAAGTCCTTGTTCACCCAGATCTCTGCCGAGAGCGGAGCGCCCGATCCATCAAAGGCGCGAACGACGGTCTCGTCCGAGTTACCACCCACGTGGTCGGACTGGTCTCTGGCGTACCAGGCGACGTAAAAGCCTGTCGAGTACGGATCTGCGGCCACCACTGGTGATGCTCTCGATGCTGCTGTCGGACCAGTATCATGCAGCATAAAGGCTGAGCCAATGGGCGTGAGCGTGAGGCGATCATAAAACCGCGCCATGACGCTGGCTGGTGATGTCTGTCCCACCACCACTAGCCGTTCATCGGCCAAGACAGCAAAATCTGAAGCAAGGAATCCTGGTGTGATAGCCGTGGCGCCGGAGCAGACGCCCATGCGACTTGCGGCAGTGTGCGGAAGGAACGCCATGGTCACTCCCAAGAGTACCACCACTATGACCACATGTTTGGTGAGCACCATTATGTGCGTCTTGTGTTGGTGCAGAAAGTGTCGAGGCGGGAGACTGGCGTGAGGTGTGGGTGGCAACTTGCCGTGCTGCCTGGAGTCCGCGTGGGCAACGGAAGGAATTTTTGGTTGTTGACTGTAGTTTTCCCATTTTTTTTTGGGCGTTGTTGTTGTGTGTGTGTTAGCATGTGGATGTGTACGTGAGAGAGAGAGAGAGAGAGTAGGGGAGGGAGTTGTGTATACGTAGCTGGTGGGAGCATACTGCGGAAGGTGAAGGAGCGTGGGGCGACACTCGGCGAAAACAGGGGGGCGGGGGGGGGCAGGGGGCCGACTGACGCGAATGATGGCGATCCAGGTGCAAGAATGGCCGTAGAGGTCAACGGATGAGGCGAGTGGGGGGGAAGGGGGGGAAGGGGCGGGTGGGCGGGCAAAGATAACCCGATCAGGCGACCAAGAGGGGAAGCCCCAACCCCAGGTGGCGATTACTCCGTCTCGAGGCTTGGCTGGCGATGCTGTTGTCTTTCTTGCTGTTCTTCTGCAAGCCCCAGGTGGTATGTGCTTTCCATCTCGCCGGTGGTCGGCATTGTCCCAGTTACAGCGACATCTACTGGAGTAAGAAGAGTCGCCAGTGCAATGGCGGACACGACATGCTCGCAAGTTGGAGCAGAGCGAGATGCGCGGAAGAAGACAGATTGGGCCACTAGGCGAGACTAGGAGGTAGAAGAAGCGAGAAAGTGGATGGCACTACTATGCTCTGGTATGTCAGCCTGAGCTATCCGTGTCGAGTCACGTAGTGAGGGGGGAGTGCCCAGGAGGAGCAAGAGAGGCCAAGTCACGGTCGCCCGGTTCGGTTGCCGTGAGTAGACGTCGATGAGTAGGAGAGACTTGAGGGGCTACGCTGGACGAGGCTATTGTTTTTACTCACAAAAAGTTCATGGTCGAGATAGCAACGGGGAACTGGCGAGTAGAGAAGATGGTGGAATGAAAGTGGGGGCTTGTGTAGTGGTACTGGGAGGCGATGTAGGGCGTCGCTGCGGAGGTCATATATTTTTTGGTAACACCGTTTCGGGGAATCCGAAGCAAGACCAAATGCCTCAGCGACGGCCTGAAAGCAGCAAGCTGCAACCGAGAGTACACCTCACGCACTCTGACCACACACTTGGAGGGGCTAGTGACGAGAGCATAGAGCTGTGGCTGACAACACTTGCGTGGCTCTTGCTGGCATTGTACAAGCGCTGCGAGTAGAAACATGTCGGACAAGAACCTCGCGACACCCGAGCGTGTGGCTTTGAAGGAAGATTTCAAGGCCATGCTGAAGGAGAAGGGCATGACGCAGGCTCAGTTTGCGAAGATGCATGGCTTGCACTCATCGTCGGTGTCAACGGCTGTCAACCCAACGACACCCGAGACGCAGCGAGTGAAGGAGCGGACGATCATCATGAGAGAGGTGGCGGCGTGGCTTGCGGCGCCGGCGGCAGCGGCGGAGACGACACCCTCGCGGACACAGGCGTCACGATCTCCATCCGCAGAGGGTGGCGGTAGTGATGGACTGCCGACACCCGAGCGTGTGGCTTTGAAGGAAGATTTCAAGGCCATGCTGAAGGAGAAGGGCATGACGCAGGCTCAGTTTGCGAAGATGCATGGCTTGGACCCATCCTTGGTCTCGAAGGCCGTCAGGCCAAAGACGCCCGAGAGTCGGCGAGTCAACGCGCGGAAAGTAGTGCGTGAGGCGGTCAATGTATGGCGGGCCGAGAGAGTTCGCGATTGTGAAGATGATCGCCGGCCAGCACCTCCCGATCTAGGCGAGCTCCCGACGCACCGCTTGGTGGCAGACCCATCCCAGATGCTTGTAGCCGTGTACGCGGCGGGCCATCCTATGCACGTCCGTGACCACATCCGCGCCTCGATGCAGCTGCCAAAGCCCAAGACGAAGACCGCTGTTGCGTTTGCCGCCATGACCGAGCCAATCGGTGGTCCAGACGTGGCACAGGGACTGGCACGTCTTGCGTGTGCAGAGCTGGACTTTGACCGCCTTGTCAACTTTATGGACGATGATGGCGAGGCGCTTTCGCATGCTGTCGCTGAAGTCATGGGTGGCACCGGTGCGGGCGATGAGTCCCTAGTCTGCGACGGCGGTGTGCTTGGCGAAGCGATATCCATTGACCCCCCCGAAGAGGGAGGATTCAAGGTGGTTGGCGTCCGATCGCGGCCCGACGGCCCAGTTGATGCCGGCTTTGTGGTGCTTCTGCGCAAGGTCGTGAAGCCCAATGATGTTGGAGCGCTCCAGCTTATGCGGCTCACGCATGAAGTCAAGAGCGTGATCAGCGAAAGGATGGAGTCGTGGGTCGAGCAGCGATTCGACATGAGCCAGCTCGAGAACGGTAACCGAGATGCAGTGTTTCTGCGCGATTCCCCCGACACTGATGGCGTCGGCAAGCACCAGACTTTTGACAACCAAGTCGGCGCTGCCGAGCGCATGTATGAGGTCATTGTCAAGCATCTGAGCCAGGAGCGGATGCGTGAGTTTACCTCCATCCACGCCCTTATCCTCACCCCCAACCGTGTCTCGCTCTGCGAGCAGACCCAGCAGCGATGCGATTTGTTTGCCGCTCATCTGGAGGGACTTGGCCTCGCAAACCTTGTCACGACCGAGGTACTGCAGGCTGGCCGGGGCGCGGAGAACCTTGCAGGCCGGACAAAAGCTTTGCTGAAGTTGATCACAAAGTCACCACGCACGCTCTTTCTGGTCATTCAGGACGAGTGCCACTGGGGTGCGGGCTTGATGAAGCAAAAAGGCTCCAAGAAGGAGTCGGACGGCGCCGGCTCGAGCTCGGGCAAGCAGACACAGGCATCGGTCATCAGCTCGATTCTACTTCACAAGACGTTTCTGGAGGCTGTGGTCGATACCCAAAACGTGATGGTGGTGCAGGTCTCGGCGACACCGCACAACCAGCTCATCCCGCACTGCACGATGAGGGACCACGTGGTGGACATGCTCGCCAACGGAGGCCGGCCGCCGTCGTACAACGGCCTCGACGAGCTTGTCTTTAAGGAAAGGTGGCATGCCGATGAAAGCTTGGAGGACTTGCTCGATGCCGACGACGACGAGCTGCGGAGTCTAGCGGCGATCTTCTTCCACGCGCGGACTAGCGTGTCGACGCGCATCTACGTCGACCTGGTGCAGCTGTTGTGGTACGCGCGAGCCATCGAGCGCAAGGACCGCCATCCGCTTGTCGCGCCGCTGCTCGAGGGGAAGCAAGTTGTGCATGCGGTGCGTCTCTCGTCGAGCAAGAGTCTGGCTCTCTTTGCTAGGGCCATCGGATCGTTGATGGCTGTCGATGCGCCCGAGGTTGCGGTTGTGTACTCGCGGTCGGGCACGGGCTTTGAGACGGTTAGTGCGCGGTTTGCAGAGAGCAACGAGACGCAGTTCTCCCGGCTTGGGGCATGTCCGACGCTGTTGGTTCTGGTTGACAAGGGCCGAATGGGCGACTCATTCCCACCGAACTTTGCAGCCTTTGATCTCCGAGGGCGGTATAGGTCTGTGGTCTCACAGTGGGCCTCGTTTGATCAGGACGTTGGGCGTGCGTTTGGCCACAACACCATATGCGAGGTGCACTCGTCACAGGCGGCGCGCAACCTGGCCGAGTTTGTAGCTAACACCAAGTTTAACGATCCGTCGTGCGACTACGTGGCTGCGGCGGCGCGCGAAGAACTCATCAAGACGGTCGGACAACACGTCGAGGCTGGCGACGATGATGGCGACGATGAGGAGACTGCAGGAGAGCTCGAGAATGCGGCTGAAGAGGCCAACGAAATTGGTTTCCTTTCCGTGGAGCACGTGCTGAGCGCGACACATGCGCTCGCGATGTACAAGGATCAAGACAAGCACTATCGCCAGATCCGCAAGTCTATCTCCGCGCGGATTGTGCTCACCGCCGAGCCACAGTGCGGCAAGACCGGGACGTTCCTGCACCTCATCGAGCTGTGTGCGAGGGCCATCCCGAACGATCGCGTGACACCATTGATGGCCGCGATCAATAAGCTGTCTTTGGCCGAGCGTGCCGAGCTTGACAAGTTTCTCAACAACAGCTAGTGATTGGTGTCTGCCAGCGCAGGCCTACCGCCCAGTCAGCACTGGCGAGCGCGCATCGCAGCGAGCGAGCGACGAACGGGAGACGAAACAAAGAACACCATGTACTCTGCGACAAACACTCTCGGTTGCTGGTTGAGCGGTCGCTCTGCTGGCTCGACGGTTTAAGATATTCCTCGCAAGCGCTGCGCTGGCCTCCAGTGCCAGCACATCGAGCCGATTGGCACGGTGACCCATACATACATAAGCTGCAGCCGCACGCTCGCGCATACCCGAGATCAAGGTTAGAATTGGGCGCTCAGAGGGTGCCCGTCGTCGTCGTCGTCGTCGCAGATCGTCATCCAAGGGTGAGTAGGTGCCTTCCCGCTCCATCGGAGCTGACTGTCTCGACGCCATCGGAGCTCTCAGCGTAGTATGGCTGCGAGTGCAAGCAACTCGTAGCAGTCGCGGCAAAAAACGACGATGCTACGAACAACCGAAACGAACGTCGCCGCCTTGCCACAGCACCGTTTGATCACGATCGCGAACACGATCACGATCACGACCACCTCCCCCCCCCCCCCCCCCCACCCACCCACCCCCACCCACCCCCACTGCCGCGCATGACGGACCGTACTCAACGCGAGGTGAAGAAGCTCTCCAGGCGCAAGGCCATTGAGTCACTTGTGAAGAGCGGCGAGCTGTATGGAGCGTCCCAGGCGTACTCTGCTGCGGTGTCGCGGCTGAGCAAGAAGGGCTACCTCGAGGAGGGACGGGCACTTGCGCTCGATGCCGTGGCTACCTTTGCTGCCAGTGGCGAAGGCCTTTTGGTGGATGATGCTGTGGAGGAGTATTTGGTGGTGTTGGGCAAATGTGTTGAGAGTGGAAAAATTGTCAACGTGGCCGTCGTCGTCGATGATGATGCTGGCAAGGTGCCTCCGCTTGGCAAGGTCGCTCTCTACAAGGCCGTCCTCCGATGGGCGACTTCCTCCTCCTCCTCTGCCACTGGCTCGCCGCTCTCGCAGTCAGAGGCCATGCACTGCTATCTGGCCCTGGCTCGCGCTGCTGAGGAGGTCGGCCAGTATGCGGTGGCTGCCGCTGCTCTCGCTCGCGCTTCCCCGCACGACATCGCCCCGGTCTATCTGGGCCTCCTCGCAAAGTGGAGCGCCGAGGGCGAGCGGGGCGAGGCGCCGTGGTTTGCTGCGCGGGCAGTTCTCGAGCTGCTGGCCGCCGATCGCGCTCTTGCCGCCCGCCAGCTGTGGGACGCGCTCCCGGGTGACGCCACGGTTGCCTCGGGTGCCCTTGTTGCCCGCATGGCCGACACCATCCTGCGGGCTGTCGAGGGCGCGTCGCGCGAGCTGTTTGGCGCGGCGTCGTCGGCCTATGCCCCGATCTACACCGAGCACGACCCGTCGTTTGAGCGCCTTGTCCGCAAGATCGGCGAGGTCTACTTTGGCCTCCGCCAACAGCCGACCGGGCTCGGCGCCATGATGCAGTCGATGATGCAGGCGTTCATGCCGCAGGGTGGGCAGCAGTGAAGAAGCTTGCACAACAGCGTGAAAGACAAAGAGCGAAGAGCGAAGAGCGAGTTTACAGCAGGTCGTCGTCACCATCGTCGGGCACGGCAATGTCCTGGAGCTTGGCGAGCTCGGCCTCCATGGCGGCCTTGGCCTCGTCGGAGATCTCGACGGTCGGCGGAGCGAGGGCCGGCGACTTGACGATCTCGAGGTTAGGGTCGTCGACGAGCTTGCGGGCGAGGTAGAGGAACGGCTTCTCGTAGTTGTAGTTGTTCTTGGCCGAGATGTCGTAGTACTGCAGGTTGCGCTTGCGGTGGAAGATGATGTGGCGGGCCTTGACCTGGCGGGCCGACGAGTCGACCTTGTTGCCGACAAGCACAATGGGGATGGCGTCGGTGCAGACGCGAGTCAGGTCGCGGTACCAGTTGGCGACGTTGTTGTACGTCGGGCGCGAGGTGACATCGAACATGATGATAGCCGCCTCACCCTGGATGTAGTACCCGTCGCGGAGGCCGCCGAACTTCTCCTGGCCAGCCGTGTCCCACACGTTGAAACGCAGCGGGCCGCGGTTGGTGTGGAAGACGAGCCGGTTGACCTCGACGCCGAGCGTGGCCACGTACGTCTTCTCGAACTCGCCAGTGATGTGGCGCTTGACAAAGGTGGTCTGTGCAGTGTGGGATGAGAGGGAGGGAGTGAGTGGGTGTGGGGGCAGGGTGGTGTCGTGAAGACATGGCCATGCTGGCTGCGACCATGATGATGATGGCTGCGACCATGATGATGGTGGCTGCGACCATGATGATGATGGCTGCGACCATGATGATGATGGCTGCGACCATGATGATGATGGCTGCGACCATGATGATGGTGGCTGCGACCATGATGATGATGATGGCTGCGAGCACCATGATGATGGTGGCTGCGACCATGATGATGATGATGGCTGCGACCACCATGATGGCTGCGACCACCATGATGATGATGGCTGCGAGCACATTGCCCAAGGCGACCATACTACGACACGCACGCCGCACTTGCCAACCTGCTCCTCACCGTGTCGCACTCCCATGACCAGACGGCCGCGAGCCAAGCAAAGACACACTCATACCATGCATAGAAACAGAAGGTATTGGCAAGAACAAGAGCATGGGCATGATGTGGGGTAGGGGGGGAGGGGGGGGGGGGTAGTGGGCATGGGTATGGGAGGGAGTGTGGCCAGGAGAAGACGACGTGACCAGGGCGACAAGGAAGGAAAATGGGCGCGAAGTTGGCAATGGCCAACACGAACATTCGCGTGCGGAGGGGGGGAAGGGGGAGGGGGGGGGCAGGGACATGGCGACACGGCGACACGGCGACATGACGAGACAGGGAGACGGGGAAAGGAGGGCAAGGGAGAAGAGGTAGAGAGGTGGCAGATGTAGAGGGGGGGGAGGGAAGGGGGGGAAGGCGTACCTTGCCAACACCGCCGTCACCGACGAGGAGAAGCTTGAATGTGGGCATGTCGTCCGCCATGGTTGAAGGATGGAGAGAGAGGGGTGCCGTGGTGGTTGTGGTTGACGCCTTGATGCCCTCTTCGGCTCTTCGGGCGTGTGTGTCGTCTAGGCGCTCGATTTGGCTCGGCTGATTGTGATGTCATAATCGATCGGTGGGGCGCACGGGGGGGAGGGGGGGCACGGAACGGAGGGGAGGAGGCTGCAAGGTGGGTGTGTGTGGGGGGGGTCGCATGGAAAGGGTGCCGAGATCACTGCGGGAGCCGCCGGATGAGAGTGTGGTGGAGATGATTAGAACGCATGATGATCGTAGGCTGATGAGATGACTGGGTGGCTGGTGTGCTGCATGGACAGCTGATGCAGCATTCTCACCTGGTGCTACACCGCACAGCATCATGTCTCGATTGCTTCCCCATGTGTTCATCACGCCGCACTGGGCTTCGAACCACTCTGTCGGCACCTCGATTAATGTAATCAATTGTTAACATTCAAGTGGATTGGACTCATTTGAATCTTTGCCGAACATGGACACCTGTCCGCACCTTTAACCATCCCTACCACAAGCATTACCACTGCGATCATAACATAAATGACATCTTTAGATAGCAAATACTACACAATATATTGGAGCCAAACATGATAGTCATAAGCGCAACTCGTCGCAAGTGCGGTCTCCCCGAAGAGGTTGCACGCCTCTGTCTCGGTCCGGCGGTTGCCGGCAGTAGAGTGCACCTTACTCTCATCCGTCTGCAAAGGCGTTGCAAACCCGGAGCAGTGCCAGGACATTGACGCTATCCACCATGACCATTACTCGAGGCAGCCGTTTGTCGTTGCTGGTGGTGGTGGCGCTCGTGCTGATGTTGGCTGTTGATGCTGTCGCCTCGGTCCGAGTCGGCCAAGTTGGTGACGTCGATCAGACCGATCGCGTTGGCGATGACGGCTGGGTCGGGGTCGGTCGGGCTGAAAATGACGGTCGGGTCGGTACCGGCCAACACGGCATCAACACAACTCCTCGCGCCGCTTCATCGACTTTGCTCGCCTCATCAATCGCGGGCAAGGTGTGGCAGGCAGAGCTTCCGTCATCGTGCTCGCTGTCCATGCTTGCCGGCTCGGGCACCTTTGTTATCGTCGTTGCTTGCCCTCAGACAGGCATCACCGATGGCGCCCTGCTCATGGGCTCGCTGAGCTACTACAACAATACCCTGCTGCTGCGCTATGTCCGCGGCGCGTCCAAGTTCTCCATCGCAGATGGGGAGCTTGGCATGCTACAACTTGCCGCCGCCACCACCGATGGCTCCGCGCTTTCCGTCGTCTCGTCCACCAACTTTCCGGCGTCGCCGACGCGACTCACCCTCGCTTCCGACCCGCCTGATCCGCTGGCGCGCGGCGGCGGCTGGTTTGCCTCCGACCTCTCGCTCTTCTTTGCCGGTAATATGGTCGTCATCATGAACGATGGCGAGAACCCAGCGGCTGACGCCGTCTCGGTCGGGATCTTCTCCTACGCCGCCGTCTCTCGCACCCTAGCCATCAATCTGGGCGTACACATCCAGGCCTCGCCGTCGACTCTCCCTCCGCCACCGCCATCGGGCGTCCTCTCGTACACCCTCACGTTTGGCTCGGCGTCTGCCATGCGCGCCGAGCTGCCCGACGGCCGTCGCTGGGAGCTTTCTCGGCGGGCCATCGCGCCGTTCGCCGGCCTCGCTTTGAGCGAGGCCTTCCCTATCACGCTCTCGTCGTCGGCTGATGCCACCTGCCATCTGCTTCTTGAGCACACGGCAGCCGGCCTCGCTATTGCCGTCGCCCACGACTGCCAGGTCCCGGCGTCGCCGTCCACTGCTATCGCCTTTCTCGGCTCGTACGCGGCCGTCTCGGCCTCGTGCCTCCGGCTCCGGCGCATGCTCTCGTACCCGACGCTTGGCGCTCCATCCGGCTTGCTTTCATCGTCCATAGAGTACAAGGCTACCTTTGGCGGCGCGCGTGACGCATCGATGCGCTGGGAGCGCGCCGACGGCGCCGTCCACCAGCTCGTCCGCCTCGAGAGGCCGGCCACAGCATGCAAGATATCCTTGTCCATGGCCGGAACGCTCGGTACCACCGTCTCGGCTGCCGTCCTCCGCAACCGCCTTGCATCACTGATTGACCTCTCCTCCTTTGGCGTCGCCATCGGCGGCGGCCTTCAGCTCTCAGCCACACCGTCCGAGTTTGCCATCGACGCTTACTTTGCCGGCGCGGCGCTCGCGCCCGACGCCAAGGACAAGCTTGCTGCTTTGCTCGTCGCAGCTCGCCACAGCGGATCAACGATGCTGTCGGGCACCCAGCTCACAGGCATTGACATGAGCGGCTGCGCCTTGCCGCTTCTGGCCATCGAAGCCTGCCTCCCGTCGGCAGCCAATCCGTGCGTCTTGCCTTCAAGTGGCGGCACGGTGGTGATCTCGGGAACCGGGCTCTCCGGCGCGTCGGTAGCGTTTGACGTCGATGGCGTCCGCGTGGGCCACACGGTGACAACTAGAGCCTCGTGTGCGGCTTGTCCAGCCCAGATCTCTCTCCCGATCCCAGCAACGACGATGTCCCGCGGTTACCTGGCACTCAACGCAAGCGGCGTTGGCGGCCGCAGCCTCGTCAGCCTCGCTCGAGTGTTTGTCGACAACGCTGCAGCGAGCGTTGGTTGCGTCATGCCGTCACGGGTTTTTACAGGCACATCGTGCGTCGCTTGTCCAGACTGCGCCGTCTGCCCTGGCGGATCGCGGGCATGGCCGCGCGCAGGCTGCTGGTCGCACTCGGAAGCCGATCGTCCGCGCGAGTGCTCCGTCGGCCACGCGTGTTGCGGCGCTATTGGCGAGTATCCGGACGCCTGTCCTGCACGTCAGCTGCCTTCGGGTGCGCGCGACACCCAGCGGTGCGATACAAGTCAGGGCGCCACCGGCGAGTACTGCTCCGAGTGCCTGCCAGGCTACTTTCGCGACGCCGGCCGGTGCTTTGTCTGTGACGATGAGAACAAGGCCCGGTTTGCTGGCCTCGTTCTGGCTGGCATTATCATGGCCGGCGTCATTGCGGCAGCCATTGCCCTGCTTCCGGTCGCCTACCTTGTCCGCGCCGTCGCGCTCCTGGTGCTCCTCCAGCAAGTGGTCTACGCCGGCCGCGATCTGGCGACCCATGTCTCGGGCAAGCGCGGGCAGCGATTGGCCGAGCTCTTCCGGGCGCTCTCGATCATCTACCTCGATGTCGGTTTTCTTGAGCTCCCCTGCCACGTCAACGACGCGCTGACGTATGTCGATCTCTTCTGGGGTACGCTCGTACTAGGAGTAGGCATGTTGAGTCTGATGGTCGGCGCAGCGGGGATCTGGTGGTGCTGCGGGCGGCGTGTGCTGTCGCAGCACGAAGAGTCGTACACCTCGTCGAGCTGGGCCACAGGCAGGTCGTGGCAGTCGCAGGCGTCGGCGATCAGCGCGGCACCGAGCGCGTCGAGCACAAGCGCCACCAGCACTGACTCGGCGGCGGGCGCCGTGGTGGTTGCCAAGGTCAACACGTCGACGCTAAGTCGACGGGTGGTGCTGGCGCTGGTGACCGGCGCCACGGTGCTCTACCTGCAGATCACTCAGCTGTGCATCCAGATGGTCCACTGCAGTGACGGGAGGCTCGCGGTGGACATGTCGATGACATGCTACGAGGGGAGGCACCGGACGGCAGCGGTGATGGCCTGGATTCTCCTCTTTGGCTTTGTCGCCGCCTTTCCCATCACCATCGGCAGTCTGCTGGTGTGGCACGGCCGGGCCGGTGAGTGGCACATGCTCGCCACCACCTACGCCTACCTCACCCGTGGCCTCCGTCGCAGAGTCTACTGGTTTCGCCTCTCACACTTTGTCTTTACCCTAGTCCTTGTTCTTGTTAGCAATCTGACAAGCGCCGTCTTCATCCGAGCCCTGCTCACCGCAAGCGTGTTTGTTATCAAAGGCGTCGCCGTCGCCGTCCTCTGGCCGTACGTTCAGGCCTGGAACTCGTGGCTCTCGATGGTCATCGGCCTCGCCGCCGCCGTTCAGACCGCGCTCTTTGTCTCGCTCCGCCAGTTTGGTGACGATCGCGCTTCGGCCAAGGAAAAGCGCGTTGCCCGCTGGACCACAGGCGCTGTTGTGGCTGTTTTTGTTGTGGCTGTTGCTGCAGCGAGAATGCTCCGCACCGTGCTCCATCGCCCGTCGTCGAGCTCGTCCTCGTCGAGGCCGAGTTCAAGCGATGAGTCCGAAACCTGGCTGGCGGAGTCTTCGACGGCCTCGGCCGCGTCGGACTAGCAGCTTACATGGGCTCGAGCGCCCAGACAATAGTGGCGAGGCGCTTCTTTGGAATGCCAAAGTCGGCGAGCTTTGACTTTGTCCGATCCTCGAGCTTGACGTTCCAGTAGCAGCGGTCGGTGAACCTGCCTGCGGCTGCGGCGGCGGTGACGAGGGTAAGGGTCTCGTCGAGCGACGATGCCGGGAGGCAGGTGAGGTCCGATGGCGGGAAAAAGTGCTCGACCTGGACTACGACGTCGTTGTCGTCCGTGGTGCAGAGGGCAACGTCGAGCGCCTCGCCCCATCGGCCGCCGGCGACCGGATTGCGGACCGGCACGGCGTGAAGAGTTGAAAAGTAGTTGATCTGCGGGCGGCGGTGCGCCATCAGCTCGTTAAGAAGCAGCCACGACGGATGGACAATCAGGTGGGCAAGCGAGACGCCGTCGCGCGCGAGGTAGAATGCGCGGAGCCATGGTGAGAGGTCAAAGCCGACCGCAGCCTCGAGCGCCTTGAGCTCGCGCTGTGTCACGCCCGACGACGCGCGGGCGGTGAGGAACGAGGCGGGTGCCAGCGAGGCCGGCGGCGGATCGGTGGCGGCTGGGCTGTGCTTGGGCGGCTTCATGTCGTGGACAATGGCGTCAGGGAGGGACTCCTCGAGAGCGACGATGCGCTCGCGAAGCTCGGCAGTCGCCACCGTGAGGGCGTCGTCGTTGGCCAGCTCGTCGACCTTGTCGTAGGCATCGTCACCGATGCGGCACCACGCGTTGAGCCAGGCATTCTCCCGGGCTCCAGCCAAGACATGCGTCGCCGAGCAGACCACGCCCTCCCGGGGAGAGCCCTCCCACTCGTCGGTCATCAGTGAGGCGGCCGAGAAGATGATCGACTGGGCCAGAGCCGTCCGAACCTGGGCGAGCATCTTGACATCCAAGTCGCCAAGGTCACCAGCAGACTTGGCAGCAGAACCATCATCAGTCGGCATGCTCGGAGGCGGCAAGTCGATCTCGGCCTTGTCCACACTCGCCAGAAAGGCATCGGCCACAAACTCGCTCCGATCAGCCTCAGCGAGCGTCGCACTCAGAGCGTCGAGAACAGAGCCATTGCCTGGGCTGGAAAAATTGACCACAGCACGGTTGACCAGTGCCTCCACCTCTTCCACAGCAGAAGGTGCAAACTCAATGGGGTGGAACTCACCGAACATCCTCCGTCCTTCTGCGGACATGAAATCAGCAAAGGTAGTGCTTTCCGACATAGTTTAGGTTGCAGGTGGGGGAGAGAGAGAGGGGTGCTGGCGTGGCCCCCCATGGGAGCAATCGAGGAAAGAAATAAGCGAAAAAGAAACATGTCGGCCAAAGAAGAGAAGAGCGCCGAGTCGCACTGTCTGGCTCGCGTGAGTCGCCAAGTTGCCACGCGGCGAGAGAGAGTTTGATCGCCAGCGAAGAGGGAGTGTGTGCAGCCAGCCACGGTTTTGCATCTCTGTCCAGCTTGTGTTGCTTCCCCGCCGGGGGGGGGGCGTCATCACGGCCGCCACGTTCGGTGCCAAGTGGGCGCGCGATGGGTGTGACGGCGACGGCGCTACTCGTCGTCCTTGGCAGCCGACGCAGCCTTCTGCTCATCAGTCTTGACGACGTTGAGCCCGCGCTTAAAGTTGTGCTTGATGGAGAACTGCTTGCCCACGACAGGCACGCGCTTGAGCGGATTGACCTGTGGACGGTATTGGGTGAGTGGGAGTGGTGGTGGTCTGATCACGGACCAGGTCGGAGGGGGAGGAGGAGGGGGGGGTGGGAGACGGTTGGAGAGTGGGTTGGAGAGGGGAGGACGGGGGATGGTGTGGAAGGTTGCAAGGTGGTTTGGTGCACGCCCTTTTCCTGGACTTGGCCAACTGGCAAAAAGGGGAGGGCGGCGAGGGGGGGGGGGTGGGGGGGGAGGGGAGGACGACGACGGAC